TCCCTCCCGCTGGGCTGCCAAAAGAGCCAAATCTCACGCCTACCCTCCCTATCCCAGCTCCCCGGAACCAATCAAGCAAATTCGTAGCGCACCGCAACAAATGAGCAATGAGCGGCCCCCTCCCCTTTCGATCCTGTGTCAAGCAAAGTACACATAAGACGGGAGGTAACAATTTCCTATTCGGGCCCTACTCTCATCTCTGAATCGCATCCATCTCGCCCGACTTGGGTAGGGCATGAATTAGCATCACCCGCAGCGCGGAAAATTAAAAAAACAAAACGATTTGATTGAATATTAGACGCGAGAAGCAGGGCCGACTGCCGCAAGTGTCAGATGAAAAAGATTTCTAAATAAAGAAACTTGATCAATTTTCACACGATAAAGCTCTTTTTCGTCCCACCCCTTTTCCGCTTAGCATGCCACGTTTTTTGTTCTTTCTGTTTTGCGTCTTTCTTTCTTTCCTTCGATCCCGTCAAGCGCGCAGCCGCCCCTTCCCTCTTCTTTTTTGCTTTTAAACCCCCCCTGGCCCAACCACGCGCCACGCCTCGCCCGATTAGGCAAAACCCCTCGCCGAGTTCGGTTCGGCAGCGAAAGCCACCAGAAATGTTTCTCTAAATATAGCTCACCCAGCTCCAGCCTCAGCTTTTCCCGCTTTGTCTTATTGTTTTGTCTTTTTGTCTTTTCAACCCAAACCACACACCACCTCACACAGAATGAGAAACAAGGTTATGTACCTAATCATCCAAGCATACTGCGCCCCCGACACATCAAACGCTCGGCCAGTGCTGACTTCATCACTCATCCCGAAACCTAAGTACCTTTTCCAGGATTAATTCGAACACCCCTCCAAATAATCATTGATGGTAATATAATGCGTAGTAGTATTAGTGGTCGTAGTAGTAGTTCGTTTCTCGCAATGTATTCCGTCCTCTTTCCGCTTGCCGCATCGCGGATTATCCCACGCTTTGCTTAGCGGCGAACGGGCGTACGATAGCGGCGGCCCCCCTCCATCTCGCTTAAACGCAAAAGGTTGGCTGAAATTTGGACAGAACGGCCGGGCAACTTTTTTTTTTTTTTTTTTCTCATCTTACACTCCCCCAAGAAAGATACAGAAGGGAAACAACAAAAAGAACCCGCCATAGTACGAGTAATACTGTAGTTCCCACTCCCCCTCTCTCTAACGGGAAACTCGACTGAACAGGGGATTCACTAGAGAATTGGGCAAGAAAGAGAGAAATTAGTAAAAAGGGTTGTGAGACAGAGAAGACTCAAATGGAAGTGAAATTACATGGTGTAGCGGGGCTGTTGGCGGCATCACATCTAGGCCTTATCCCTGTAATCTAGTTGCGAGCAAAGCTTTGGTGGAGTGCTTTATCCAGACAATGGAGAAAAGAAATTTCAAATTGGACGTAGCAATTATGCCGCTGCGGCATTCTGTCAAGATTTTATTAAGCATGTGAAGAATTGGAAACAAAGATCGGCTTTCTAATACGGCACTTTCGGTATACAATAGCCCGTGAGAGCTTGAACGCCGAAGCCGCCCCATATACTAGGTGATAGTTCGGAGTCCCTGTTTCAAAGAGAAAGGGAACCAGAAGAAAGAGAAAGAAAATACACTACAAATCACAAATAGACAAGAGAAATGATTATCAAAAGACTTTTGTTCTATTGATTGGCAGCATCCTGATGCTGGCTATGTATGACTAAGAGATGGGTGGTGCCGGCCACCGGTGTCACCGAGACATTGCGCCCAGCGCAACTCATCTAATCAACTGGTGATGGTACAACTGGGGAAAAGAGCAAGACAAAGTTGCTTGAAAAGAAATGCAAAACAACGAAACATAAAAAAAAAAAAAGAAGAAAGAAAAACAATGGCTGTTTGAGCAGAGATCATATCCGTCCACCGCAGTGCACGCGTGGCCAAAGGCCAAAAGCAAAGTCAATAAAAAAAGCAAGCCCAAATAAGACATTACCGAATGACAACGTATGCAACACCAGGCGCATGACGTGGCCCTTCTTTCACGAACAGAAGATCCCAAAGCCCAATATAATCCGTCCAAAAAAATATAAACCCAGATCCCAAACATGAAAAAAAGCAAAGGAAGAAAAGGAAAGGGTAACAAAAGATGTAAACCAGAGTGGGCGAGATGAGGTAGTCTAATTGCCATGCCATGCCGTGTATTCCGAGGCCAATCCAGTTGGCCCAAAGACCCAAGAAAAGTGGACAATGTTTCATTCGGGGTTGCCTTGCGGCGATCCGAGAAGCAAAAAAACAAAAAAGGAAAGAGATTGAAAAGGTAAAAGCCAAAAAGAGGAAGCAATCGCTTGCCTGTGAGCAGCCGTATCTCTCATTATCGTACCCAAAGCCCCCCAATAAAAAACAGGACAAATGAAAGGTCCCAATCCCGGATGCTATGCAAAACGAAACTCAAAACAATGGAGAGGATCGCGATCGATCAGAAACAGGGTTATCGCAAGTCGTAGGTGAGAAAGTGATGTACTCGGCGCTTCATTTCGCATAAGTCGCTTATGGCCAAACCAAGATATGACGCCGGGAAAGAAGTGGAGTCATCGCTGTGGCGCATCGTAAAAATCGTCGGAACAGACTCCGATGAGGGAGAAAGGTCGTCATTGTCTCATTTTCCGTGTCTTCAGTAACGTCGTGATGTAGGTTGAGGAAGTGAGGAGAAGGGGACGGGGCGAGGAGGATGTTGACATGTCTGGTCAAGGTGAAGGTGAATTTGTGTGAGAGCGATTAGACGAGGCGCTTTGGCGTGCCTCGCGGACGAGCATGAGGAGAAGGGACGACGGATTGGCAGAGTAGAGAAATGAGATCCAGTCGTCCAGCTCGAAGCGAAGCAGCCGCGGGAAGCGCCATGCCAGAGGGCCCGCTACCGAAGACAAAACCCATCATCGGTAGCTTTTGCGGCTGGAGTGGCCGCTGCCATAGCCCGAATCTGAGTAGGAAAAGTCGTGTGCGTGATGGGCACTATGGCCGGTGTGTGCACTGCAGGCATAACCGACGTAGATTGTGCGCTGCTCGATGTTGTGGCCTGGTCTTCCGTATGCCGCACAGCGGTCAATGGCGTGTTGGTAGTAGAGGCATCGGCAAGCCGAGTAGAGCTCAACAAGTTGATAGCACATGATGATTCAAGTTGGTTTGGGAGCAGGGGAGTAGAGTGTTGGTTGACGAATTGGAGATGGCTTCATGCGAAGGTGATGAGAAGGTGAAGCCGGCAGACGTCTCCGGGTCTGTATCGTGGGCCAACAAGTGTTGTGTTGTTGAAGTGTAGGGGTTTTGTCTATGTGTTGGTCGGGGAAGAGGTTGCTTTGTTTGTTGTTATGTGTTGGTGGGAGTTGATGCCTCGACAGAAAGCGGTTGGTCTCCAAGATGGCGGGATAGCTCTTTATAAGACGAGCAATGCTAAGAGAAAGGAGTAGGACAGATGAAAGAACAGACAAGGACCAAAATAGGAATAGGAAACTAGGCAAGGAAACCGATCTCTAAAGGAAACTGCCGGATGGCTATGGTAGGAGATGGGATTGTGACTGTGGATGTGGATGTGGATGTAGGTAGGGTGAAGAGAGACGAGGCATCGCAGCCTTATAGCTCTGCATCGTAGCCTAGAGTCGACAACGAGCGGGAGCCGGGAGACAAGGTGACAAGGTCCAGGTACAAGAGTGATCGGTAGTGTACGGTAGAGCATTCTGGTACTAGGTAGGAGCATGTCCAGGACGGAGGCGTGTGCAGGACAAGGGCTCTGCTTGTACTGGATTGTCGACTCGAAAAAGGAACAGACAGGGCCGAGAGGTGTGCATGGGCTAGGATGGGAGCGGACAAGAATGATACAAGCACGCCCCCACACTCAAGCCCATCGGACGCTTCTGGGGAGCAAGGGTGTACATGGGCCGGTCCCAAACCCTCGTCACTGGACCGCGTGGATTGCGGGAGGGCTGGCTGGTGGAGCGCGAGGCAAGGCGGACAAAACAAACGAAAGAAACAAGTCTGCAAGGTGCTTGTGCTTGGGCTTGTAAGCATTGGAGAGCCATGCAGGACCCGGTCAGCACCGGAAACAGGGTTCTCGGGAGTACAATGAGTCGCGCTGCTACCCAGTAGAACAAGTCAAGTACCGTGGCCCAGAAACACATATGCCAGAAAGGGACAGCATCTGCTGGAAACCCGCGGGATTCGTGTTGTTCTGGCCCGTCGAGATGGAATGTTCTGTGCAGTCGAGTGGTGGTATCGGCAGAATGCAGCAGACTTGCAGACTGCATTGTGCAGAATGCAGTGCAGAAACGGGCTGCAAGGTGCAAGGCACCAGTGATGTGATGCCAACCCGGCGGATCAGCCAGTAGCGGACGAACCATGGCGCCCCGAAAGCGAACCCACGGAAGAGGGCGAGCCTTCAATCATCTTGACAGGTGACTGCAAAGGGCCATGGCTAGAGCACAACCTAAGGCGTCGTGGCTGCAAAATGGCTGGCAGGGTCCGCTGCGGAATAGGGAGTGTGGCGGTCCTCGGAGCAGTTCCCACCGGCGAGCATGTCTAGAAATGGACGGGATTCAGAGAAGCAGACAGACGCTCAAGGCGCAGCATCCAAAGGCACTCGTATGAGTACAAGCAGCACTGTAGACAAACACCAAGTCTACTCGTGTGTATGCGTACTCGTATGGGGTGTCTTGAGCAGGCAAGGTTTAGCAGGTAGGACGGGCAGGGCTTCGAGGCCTCGAAGAGTCACCCAGCGCACGGGTCATTGGCCTTTGACTGGGGGCGTGGGAAGAGAAGCCCTTTGGGGGCCTCAAAGTTGACCTGCAGCAAGGCTGAACTGGGGGGGAGGGGGGAGGTGTGCGGCGTGTCAGCTAGCCGTGTGTCCAGTCCATGACTGCGTCGTTGCAAGTCGTACCTGTTCTGGAGATGTCGACACTATTGCCCGCTAGACGCTGCACACTGCAAGGGGCCACGAGCATCATCAGCATCATCAGCATCCTTGAGGTAACCGGCAGCGGCAGCGAACATCAGCATCACGGCCAGAACGGCGCGATGCGTTAGCCTTGGGGTCTTTTTTGCGCCAGCAAATGCAGAGAGACGGCTCTTTCTGCATCGGGGCAAATTAGTCGAAAAGCGGACAGCGCGCGATGAGGCAAAGAAACAGCAGAGCAAGCAGAGGCAGAGCGTTTAACTTGCATTTGAAATTCCAAATATGCGGCGAGCGTCTCGGTGTGGAATTGATGCAGCAAGTGGCGGACCGGCGGAAGAAGGGAACGGGGAGCCGACACAGTGGGGTTGGGGCTTCGGGAGCGCTGAGATGCTGCCTGAATGCCATTTGGGCGCTGTGATGTCACGATTTCACACCAGCGAAATCGTTTGTTTGTTTGCTGCACAGCATCGCATCTGTCACCTCATCAATAGTGCATCTATAGTACTAGGGAATTCCGCTGTGGCAGTACGGGCACGGGGCCTTGGACGAACCGAGATCCTAGGAGTTGATTCCTTTTGGGATCGATATGCGCCATTCATGTTGGTTGTGATGTACAATGTGATGTATGCAAGCCGCAATCTAGGCGGTCCCGATTCCGCGGCCTGGCGATGTCCGATGTCCCCAGATAATGCCGAGGCAGGTACGGAGGATACGGGCAGATCATGAGATATTGAGAAGTCAGGCAGTTCAGATCAACGTCAAACGCCGACGAGTACAATGTATAATCCGACAAGGCTGGATAACTGCGCAAGTAGCAAATACACCACTGCGGATCAATTAATTACCTAGTAGTAGAATACAGATATTTAGTATTGTATTTACTACCGTAGAGGAATTCCAGATATGAGGCTTGGCTAAGCCCGGCCTCTCCTATCTCCTAACCTGTATACGCAATAATACGCTGCGCTGCGCAGACTACGACGATGCTTGAGTCGCTGGCTATACAGTCGAGTATTGAATGGAAGTAGCGCTGGAAACACGGAGCATTGCAGCTGCCGAGATTCCATCAATACCTCAACTAGCAGTATCGTATCTTCTTGCCTGCACTAATTACCGAGCACTGTAGGAGAAGGCGCGCGCCCTTCAAGGTTGGCTCCTTCTAGCTGGCTACTGTCCCTGGAAGGCACGCTTCACTATCACAACCACCCTTCCCAATCTGGCGTTAGGGACTCTGTAGTAGTTCTTTCTTCAGTATTAGCTGCCCAATTCTCACCCTCGCTTACCAACTTCATGGAATATCAGCTTCAGCTTCAGCTTCAGACTGGTCGATTTACGAGCCCTAATCCGGCCTGCGATGCTGTATGCCGTGATGTTTTTCTTCCCCAAACAGTACCATCTCTCAGCATCTAAATGGCTTCTGCGCCCTTTCCGTCAAGCCGGTCCCTACGATGGAATCGCGGCCCCGCCATGCGGCCGCAGTCGTCGGTCGTCAGCATCAGCAGACGGAGATGTGCTTCCCGTGCAGGCTCGTTTTGACCTTGCAAATCAGGCGGCAAATAGGAAGAAAAGAAATCGGCGAAAAGAACCCTGCGCCCAGATTTGCCGTGAGACGTTTGATGCACTAGACGCCAGATGGAGTCGGAAAATCTCATCTCTCAATTACCACGGCCCCAAGCCGCCGCCTCTCTCCAGACCAGACCGGCCAGGTTTCTGTCCAGATGGGAGTGTCAGATGACGGCAGAATCGGATGCGCCAGGGCGCTAGGACGACCGTGGCTCAAAAGGCAGCACGTCATACTACCGCGATAATTCCCTGGGAACTGCTCTACGGACGATGATCTCTACTGTTCTCCTGGTGATGAAGGGATGCCGCGATGCGACCGAGTGACGCTCTGTGGTCAGCGCTCCTGAAGCTAATCGACAAGGAGGACTCAGTCGTAGAGCCTGAGAGCCGTACCCAGTACCTACTCATTTTACCCATCTGCTCGTTTCTACGCATTATGTGGGCAACATAGAGAGCGAGTGCGACGGTGCAGGGTACTCCATGCCCATCCATGCTCATACGATACGACCAACCACAAGCCGAGCGAAATGTGGATCACAAGCAGCGCAGAGCCACAAAAGCAGCCTGCCCTTCTCTTAAGTGCTGAGCCACAAGGGTCATCGTGGATTCAACAACGTTCCTGTTTCCCACATCTCACTCGGCTCCACGCAGGCTGTGACGAGGGAGTATTTCTGTAATGCCTCGTTAGCCGCCGTCACGGGGCGATGTAGCTATGATGCACTCAAATCATACTGATTGATCCGTCAGCATCGTCATCCATGGGCTTGCCAGGCGCATGGCAGTGTCCCTCCAGGTTGCACAGACCTTTCACCTCCCAGAACCGGAATTCCCCTTCCCAGCCAAAGGGCTGATTGATGTGCAGGCGCCTGTCGTATATCTCGCTTGTTACTCAAGCTGTGACGATGCGAATCGGGCCATCGCAATTGTCATTGCACTTAAATCTTAGAGGGGGTCAATCAAGGAAGATCCACTTCCCGACTTGGACAAAGAGCCAGCTAAGTTGGTGGCCATCTGTCGACAAATGTCATGTTCCACATTGAATGCAGTGCCACGGCTGAGAAGCTTCTCTACATATTCTCTGCCCCGAGATTGGCTCTGCATGCATCCTAATTGGGACGAGGTGGAAGAACAAGCCTCAGCCTTACGGCCCATTTAGGCAATGAAATGCAGGATGCTGCGAGACACCAGGAGAAGGGGGAAACCCGCCGAGTGTACAAGTATGTTCCAACAGGGTAGGCCATTGAGCCATGGAGCATATGTCTGGAGATGGGCGCCGTGGGGACTTGATGCTGCATGTCTCAAAATCCCGCTACGCGACTGGTCCTCTCAATTGCAGCATAGGTACGGAGCACGTTTTAGCCATTGCACTGCAGCCGGGCATGCAGAAAAAGCTACTCCGGAGTTCTGTTGCTGCACAGCGGGTTGGAGCACGTTTTAGCCGGCAACCACCATTGCTTCAACTTGGGACCAAACGCATCTCTGCACATCCCGTCCCGTCATGTCTCCATAGGCCACGAGGCGGCCTCACAAGGCGGCCGCCTCTGGCCCGACTTGGTCGTGTTCTTGTCCCGACTTGCTGTTCCCACGGCATGGTCTCCCCAGAGCTACCACCAACAGGACCGTCCCGAGAAGTCGGCTGAGGACAGGCATCTGCGCCGAACAACACGCGGAGGCAGCCGGCATCCAAAATCTCACATGCTTCCCGTGCCCGGAAGGCCACCAGCCGAATTCGCATGTACCAATAATCGGACTCAATCACCTTGTACATTGTGCCGAGGCCCAGTCTAATTGGTAAAGGCTGCTTGCAAACAAGTTGGCGAGAAAAGCCTCGTTTTTTTGCGCCAATGATTGTACACCTCTAGAACTTGAGCATCCAAGGGTCCCTCGTACCACCCACAGATACTTACACCACCCCATGGCCACAGGAGTACCTGCGCGTTAGTTTGTGGACACCACCACCACTACCATCTCCAACACGGCGATTCTCTGGCTGAGAATAGCACACACACTCTCGCGGGTTATGCTGCCTTGTCTTAGACATGCAGTTTGGGGGCCGCGGGAGGCGATGATACGGTAACCCCAAGACTCATACATCGCACGTGAGGCATATGAGCAACTCGCCGTTTCGGTCACCTGCAAATGCGGCAAGCTTGGTAGGAAGGCTGCCAAGGTCAATCCTTTACGAAGCAAAGCGCTGCGCGTTCATCACAAAGAGCCCTCCTGCGACAAACAGACAAGGCCATTGCGCGGTACGCTCGAATGCCAAGTAATACTACTGAAGAGCAACTTTGAGATCTATCGTATCACCGCTGACGGCGATCGTGCAACGGTCGCACGGATGACGAATTTGGCTTTGGATGATTGCCAGGGACCCCCGTAAGATTGATACCAAATATAGGAACCACACTAGATCGCCTGTTGGGCTAAACCCAAGGCCTTGGTATCACTACCCTCCCTTCCGTTTATTCTTCCACTTTGGCTCCTACCTTAATCTTTCCTACCCGTCCCAGTTTGCTGGGGCCTACCGTCTATTCGAAACGCACCTTTCCCTACGTGGTTTTCCATCAGATGCTGCCTCCGACACCCTCAACACTGCCTGCTTGGAAGCGCCCTGGAAATCGGCACGGTCTAATGCTACTAGCAGGCAATATGGAGTAAAAATAGTTCTCTATCTGCTGGACAATGCGCCGATGGAAAAAAGAAATAGAGTTTGAGACTAACTTGCTCAACCACGAGAAAGGGATGCTCATTCTGACCAGCGCTTGAGCAACTGACGTGAAGAGTGTTTCTATTCCTGGAGCAAATGATGCGGAGAAAAAGAGGAGGAGGAGAAAGAAGAAAGAAGAAGAAGACAATGGGGAAAGTAAACAGCTCAACATCGGCACCGCGGATTCGTATCATGAGCTCGTGCTGCCTGCGTGTCCCCCCAAGTCCATCTTCATCTTTGCACTAAGATTTGTGGCATTCTAAAACATGTCTCGGGAGTGAATTAGGGTCGGCGGAGTGGAACCAGCCAGCCCGGATGAGCTGGGGCCCGATGGCTGTCAGCCCGCCCCAGGTCCAACCGTCAATGCCAGTGGTCAATCAAACCGGACGATGCTACGAGAGGATTAGCAGACGTTTAAGCGACAGACGCGCTTCCAGCTGTTCATTGGTGGGGAAGAGAGGGAGCTGAGGATCTAAACGGCCGAAGAACCCCAGAGAATCTCTCTCGTGAAGCAGTAGCTCGACCAAGGTCGGCCTCGGCGCAAACACCAACCGGGACCGGGCCGTCAATATGGAGCACAGGGCAGAGGGCGACCTGCCGAAACCGACGAGACCTAGGGTTTTATTTTGGCATTCCGAGTATCGATTGTTGCTTGATGCTTGATGCTTGATGCTCGGCATGTCACTGGCGAGCCGGGAGCTTCACCTGGGTGCTCACCGCCGCCCTCTCGGCCCATCACCTGGCTTAAGCAAGCAAGCAAGCAAGCTGTACGCACCGGTCACCGTGACAAGGCCGATAAGGCCACATCTCTGTCTTTGGCCTCACCTTGCAAGCCCAGCGCAGTAGTAGCGCAGATGACCTCATGGAGTCCATCACCCGTCGCTTGCAATATGTATCTATCGGTGACTAGCCCTGCTCCCCGAAGCTGTCCGCGCGTGACTTGTATCAACTGGCGCGGCGTCGTCATCTTGGCCAGTCTTTGGCTCCCCCTGTCGTGCTACCAGAGACAGGCGACCCCCCCAAACGTGCCTGCGTGCCTGCGTGCCTACGCGCTCAAAGAGATTCTGTCATGTTCTGTGCATTGCTCATTCTCGACACTTACTGCACACGCCTCTCATGATTCAATCGTCCCTTTGACGAGAGCATTAGCGAGCATCAGCGGTGACTAGCAATCCGGCCGTTTCGACGCCCCATATTCGCTGCGCCTCTTCACTGTGGCTTGCTGGAAAAAGGGTCCGCTTTTGCTTCCCCCCGGTCGCCCGTCCATGTCCGCATCCGGTATCCGCCCCGGAGTTGCCGGGCACGCCAGCAAAGGACGGCGACGAAACAGAACGGCGAGATCGTCAAGTCGTTCGTGACGTCTGTCGCGAGCTCCGAAGCTTGCAAAGACACCAAATGACTCGATGATTCCAGCTGGCGGAGCGATTCCATGGCGCCATCTGTCGGAATCTACATCGACGGACTCATCAATCGCCACAATCCGCCAGATACGCAGACGGCGTTGCGGATTACGATACAATGGCTATGTTTCCAAAGGCATCAAACTCCGGCTCTGGCAGCGTTGTCCGGGCGGATCTTGCTTCCATGAGAGACAGCTGTTCCCCGTAGTTGGTCGGCTAGGCAGCCGTGAGGTCCCCGCACCCATCTTGGACGCTGACAATTATCACGTCGGATTTCAGACAAAAGGCGGACAGATTCACGCATTGCATATTTGTAAACGATGATTACCTTATTTCCACCTTGCATAGTTTGTCAGCAATGTCCGATTGCCATCCCTTGCCCGGCAGCCTGATACTACTCCCGGCTCTCGACATCTGGAGTCAGTATCTGCTGTTGGCTCTCGCGCCTGAAGCTGTGAAACGTGCAACTCTGTGTGTCTTCAGTCACACCCTGGCTGGTCTTCCCCTGCTGGTATAGCGAACAGCGACCCGCTATCCCGCATCATTGGATTTTCTTCGATACACCCCCCTTGCCTTTTCCTTCTCATCCCATGTCAATGCCCTAGCAGATCCACGGCTTTTTTAGGGGACGAATGAGCCTCATTCTCTTGCGAAAGATAGCCCCCGATTTGGCTTGGCCTGGTTTGCTTTATTTTGGTCGTCATGCTTGTGATGTTCACAGTCAACCGACCAAGTGCCGCTCTTACCAACCGCGGCTCAGCTTCCGCAGCCCAGCATCGAGCAATGATCTCTGCAACGGTGGCGCATCAGTATATCGAGTCCAGGATGACGATTCCTGGGATCCCTAGCTCCCGGCTTCGATCATTTTTTATTTTGTTTTATTTTATTCTTTTTACTGACATTAATCCGGGCGCCTAATCTGACCAAACATGCAGCGTCCTACACCCCCCCTCCCCCATGTTGTTTTACGCCTTGCACATCGACACTTGAAACAATGGCCATGTTCTATTATCTGCATACACTTGATGCCATCTCCACCGTCAAAGACTGACTCATTGAGGCTATCACCCAACAAGGCCATAACTTTACCAGGACTTTTTTTTAAACTCTCGCTTCTCGTCGCCCAAATTGGCTTGCCGCCGCGCCGTCCCTCGAGCTAGATCGGCCATATACATGATGTATCCATAGCTTGTCTTACAAACAGCCGCGCTCACTAGCTTGGCGTCCTGCATGCAGTCTTAGAGCGAGGAGGCCTCAAACAGGCCTCAAACAGGCCATCGTGCAGATTGCACTATCAACAACTCTATCAGCTGCATTTCAGCTTGTTAGAGAATGCCCGCCTGACTTGGCAATTAGACGAGTTTACTCGCCAGTGCAGATTAGGCACGAACCCTCCAATTCCCCACCGTCGTACTTTTGTCATCTTAGGCTAAGCAATGCAACTCCATCTTAATAGTCTAGTAAGTTGGCATATGCACACGCACATTCCATCGTGGTGTTACATCTTATCACAAAACATGGCACATTATCACACATACACCCTCTTCGTTTCTCTCTTCCCACTTCTTTTACCCCTTGCTTTAGACTGATTCCCATTATTCTAGGCCCCGTCTCACAAGGAGCCCCCACCACCATGGGTTGTCGTATCATCGGATTGCTTCTCTCCTGTTCTAGGCTTCTTCTCTCGCCTTGGCTATAGTCCGTTGCGCACCGCTGATTGGCTTCTCTTTGCATGCAGGTAATATCCCAACAATCAAACCCAGAAGCAAAAGGAAAAATGAAAAGAGTCATGCGGTAAAGGTTTCGTGTTTGTCTTGTCCTATTAGCAGGCAACATTTCGTCCTCCTTGTTGAAACGGCCATCACTTTGTACTTGGTTGCGGCAACGGAGACATGGGATTGGCTTATGGCGGGAGAAGGGTCAATTTAAACCAAAAGGTCATTTTTTCTCAAATTACTCATTTCCGTTGGATATAGTTGATTATTATCTACACTTTCGTCGTAGGGGCGAAGAGGTAGTTTGTTTGTCTTCCCCCCCCTTTCTATTCAGGGAGCCCGTGTAAACTAGGCAGTAGAACTACAAGACAATGAGAGAGAAGAAAAAAGGAAATCGATGGCACGTTTCTTCGCGAATAAGAAACACTCCCCCCTTCTTCTTTTTTCTTCTTCTTTGTCTTTTTCTAGCGTTCTATGTAAATGTCATGAACCCCCATGCGTAGCTTCGGAATGTAGTTGAGATCCGAATAGGTGAGTTATCGCACGCCAAATGAAAACAATAAAAGGAAGAAAAGAAGAAAAACATAGTTTCGAAATGGAATCGGCAAAAAGGAAATAAAAAACACTCGCAATACAAAGAACAAAGACTGGTTTTGGTTATCCCAGTCCAACATGTACCGGCTTTACGCCCCCATCCCCCTTTGCGTTGTTCGTTTCGTCTTTGAAATCGGCTGTAAAAGAATCGCAAAAGTAATAAAGAAGAGAAACACCCGCAATGGAAGGGCGAATCAGAAAAAAAGGAGTCTTAAACAAGAAAAAAGAATATACATGTTCGGCACGCTTTCAAAGCCATTTGCCAGCAAGCACGTAAAAAAGAGCCGCTATACTAGACAAGAACGACGTAAAAAATCATGCCTCCCTTTATTGTTCTTCTTCTTCTTCTTCTTCTTCTTCCCCCCCCCTCATCTTTGGTTGAACAAAACACTTCTCCTTCGGCCAACCATTTCTCGTGAGCCCACTAAACCCAATAGTCTTTCCCCCGCCGTTGTCGACGTTGTCGCCCCTTCATCTCCCCTTCTCCTTCATGTCGTAAAAGAAACAGAAAAATAAAACTTCAGCTGCCAGAATGGGAAACTCCAAGACCGGGACTTGTGTAGGCTCGTCTGGTTGACCGGAACAACAGTGGAATGTGAATCATCTCACCCAACCCTAATGCAAAGAAAAAATAGGAAAAAAATAGAATGGAAAAAAATCAAGCGAATAACCAATGAGTCATGGTGATCATCAATGTAAAATGCGAATGACCCTCTTAAACTCCCAATATGTTATTGTTCGTACACACTTTTTCTTCTTCGAGTCACTTGAGAATGCAGTCCTAAGCTCGTCGATTCATAGCCGCAGTTGCGCCCGCGGCAGCAATGTCCCGGGTTCCGCTCACGATCCGGCCCGCAGCCCGCGGCAAGCTGCTGGTGCTTGATGTGGCAGTCAGACCCGTCAGCCCCTGGCTCACGGGCCCGGCACTCGTCCGCCTGTTGAGGCTTGCTGTGGTGGCTGCCGTGGCTCCTGACGCCCTACGCATGGAGACGGGGACTGGCTTACCGGGGCTGGCACCCAAGTTGGCCTTGCCTGAATGTCCAGGCGGATCGGGCAAAGGACGAGACACCGAGATGGTGTTGTGGCGCTTTACCGGGGATGCTTCGCGCATAGGTAAGCGGGGGATAGGGGTGGGCACCTTTATTCCCGTGATGAATTCATGCCTGACAGCATCCTCAGGTTTCAGACGGCGGTCAGGGTCCCATCTGAGACACCGGGCAACAAAATCAAGGAACGCCTCGTCGTCACACTTTAGCACCTGCTGCAGAGTCTTGGATGAGGGGCGCCGTCTGCGGCCCTTGGATGAGACTGTCAGTCGGGGCTTGCCCATGGAGTCGAAGAAGAGCTTCTTCCTCGTGCTCTTTTCAATGAGGTGCTTTTCAGGAGGGCCGAAAACCTCCATGATGCAGGCTAGCTGCTCTTGCTCATTTTCACCAGGGAAGATGGGCACACCGGTATACAGCTCTGCCAGAATACAGCCCACACTCCACATGTCAATAGGCAGACCGTAGGTCATACCCAATATCACTTCGGGTGACCGGTAGAATCGCGATTGGATGTAGGTGTAGACCTTTTCGCTCTCAAAACAAGAAGAACCAAAGTCGATGACCTTGATTTCGGCGTGGAGCGGATGGCGTAGCAAGATATTCTCCGGCTTCAAATCGCAGTGGATAACCTTCTTCTGCTTTAATATAATCAGAGAACTGAGAATCTGCTTTGTGAAGCGTCTGATGATCCGCAATGAGAAACCCCTGAAGGAGTGGGCCTTGATGAATTCGTAGAGGTTCATGTCTAAAAGTTCCGTGGAAATGCAAAGATGGCCACGGAAGTAGAAGCTCTGAGTGAAGTTTACCATGCTGTGTCTATTATGAGGATCCTGCGGAAAGAAACAAAAGTTGGTTAGCAAAATGGCACTCAAATTCATTAGGGAGAAGCATGTCTTATAATGCTCATATGTATATACTCACCCACTCGCGAAGCTTTTGCAGAATGTTAACCTCAACAAGAGCTTGCTGATGAAATCTCTTCTTGTTTCTAATGATCTTGACGGCAACGAGAACTCCGAGCTTATGGTCGATGCATCGAACGACCTGGCCGAAGCTTCCTTTGCCAAGAACGTCGATAACCTCGTACCGGTATGCGAGGTGGTCGCCAATTACAATCGAATAGTCTCCGCGCTCATCGTCGTAGCCAAAGTTCGGGGCGTCTGACGACAGGTCACCTACGACCTTGTTGGCGTTCTGGGTGCCGCAGAAATACACATCGTTGTAGTCGATAATCTCACCACGCTCATAGATGTTGAGCATGGCAATGCGGATTGCCTCGTGAGGTCCGACCCGCTCCTTAGGTGAAGCCCTCTTCTTCAAGGCATCGAGCGTCCTGGCCGCGATTTCCGTCTCCTTGCGCCGAGATCCCAACTTGCGCATCTCTTCTTCGGCAATGACATCGTCCTTGTCAATCTCGGCAACGTACGAGGTTGAACTGGGCATGGCGCTCGAGGCCGTCTTGGGTCTCATAAGCTTGGCCATGACCGAAGGGTTGCGCGCTGGGGGCATAGTCGTAGGATCGGCAGCGGCGGCGGCATCCTTTTTAGCTGTCCACGGGTCACTCTTAGTTCTATCGTGGGAAACATAGGCAGCGTTCATACTGCCAGCGGAGCTTTTCCTTCTCTTCGACTCAGATAGTCCCTGAGGAACAGATGCGCTCGGACCAGAATGCTTCCCGGTTGGGAGGGAGTTCAATGTGGCAGATGCGGGTATTCGAGGAGGTGGATTACTGTCTTGTTTCATGCCCTGCGCCTTGTCTACGACATCCTGGGGCGGAACAATGGCTCCCTTCGAGTTGCCCTTCTTCCAAGACAAGCTAAGCTTCCTTCTGAGCGTGCTCATCGAAGAAGGCGTTTGAGGTTGCTCAGCAGGTACACTCGGCGGAGGAGACTTGGGTACAGGTTTGTCCGTATTCGGTGGGCGCGGGCCAGCAGGTTTCTGGTGAGGAGTCTTGTCATCAAACAGTGTTCGATTGACATTAGCGTGCTTCGAGTATCCCTGTGTGGTGTTGTTCTTGGGGAGAGATGAAGACAAAAACGGAGTGATGTTCGACTTGGTAGTCAAATCTTTGAAAACCAAGGAAGAGTCCGAAGAAGAGGTCGTCGCGTCTGGCGGGCTTGGGGTTCTGCGATGATGAGTTCGGTGTGCCGAAGTACTGCTTCTGATGGGCGGTAATGGCTCCATGGTATCATCATAGCGCGTCTTTGCAAAGAATGAGCTCTTTGATGCTGTCATTGGAGTCGTTGGCGTCTTGGGAAGCTGTCGTGAGGCCGGCGGGCTCATGTTTCGCTCATCCTGCATTGCGGCCACTTTGGCTGATGTAGGTATGTTCAACGGACCAAGATTCAGTGGCGGCAGTCGAAGAGGCTCTAAACTCTTCTTCACCTGCGTGTTCTTCTTCTCCTCGGCTCTCGGCATCGTGGGCGCGTATGCTGCTGTCTTGACGCTCGGCTTACGTTGCAGTTTGACAGTTTCCATTGTGGGTGCTGGGGCGGCAACGCTCGTGGTAGAGTTGCTGGTGCCAAGGTTGATGGTGATGCTGTCGAGAGTACCGAGGCTGGATTTCTTCTTGGCCAAAAAGTAGGCATCGGCCTCGTTGTCCTTTGGAGATTCAAATGCTTTGGGGATTGCAGGAACGGGGGGCACATCTTCTTCGTCGCCTGAGGGCAATGAGCCGTGAGTAGCAGTATGCTTTGGAGCGGGTAGTCGAGATACAGAGGATGATTGCGATATGCGCGGCTGAAGAGAGCCAGTAGACGTCCTCACGGTGTTGAAGCTAATGGTAGAACCAACGGAAAGACCAGAGCTGTACGATTTTCTGCTAATATCTGGCGTTGTCCGGGACGACGATGGCGTGGCAGAAGCCTTCCTAGGAATCATTGACGGCGATCTAGAGGCGGCTCGCGTCTCCATCGAAACCGGTGGGTTTGCTGGCACATTTGAAACTTGGCTTGAGCTCATGGACTGTGGCATCATGGACATACGCTTCAATCTTCTGGTATCAGTTGGGCTGATGGTTCGGGCACCTAGGCCGGTTGCATGAGAGGCATGACCCGTAGGCATGACGGATGCCCGCCGCCCCGAGGATGATGGCGTCAGTCCCTTGCTCCCAGGGCGCGGCGATTTGGGAGCAGGGCGAAGTTGCTCTGGCGTGAGCGAAGTTAAAATGTTTGTTTGGCTGACCACCGGCGAGGGCTGCACCGACTTCGCCTTGACGCTCCTAGCGGTGGTGGCGAAGGTGCGGGTGGTATCTGCTATATCAAGGGAGGCTCTGGTCATATCGCTGGTCCTCTCCGAGAAGAGACTGGGGCGGCGTTTCGAGGAGCTCCGCGTGACCGTCTCCGCGTCGGCAACGACGCCAGGCCCAATAGATTTTCGAGGGGGTTTAGCAGCGGCATTGGAACCAGAGACTGGAGGATACTGGTTCGAGCGGCGGGTGCGTACTCCAATAGTCGCCGTGGAAGCATCGATGGAGCCGGACGTGGTTGAGATGGATGAGGCGCTGTTCTGTCTCGACGCGCTTGGCCTGTGGAGGATGGATCCCGACCTCGTGGCTCGCGAAGACGAGCCCGAAACGCCCACGCGCGTAGCACTGCCATTGGGATTAGCGGCCGATTTGTCGGACATCCTCCTGTCGGCCATGCTCAACGAAGATTCGACGTCACTGCGTGACGCCGCTGGAGAAGGATACTTGTTGCGGCGGAATTCAGTGCTGGAGCCGGCGGATTCGATGCTGGTGTGGAGGTCGTCGAAGCTCACAGAGGGTAGAAAATCGTAAGAGCCTGTGGTGGTGATTGTTTGTTCTGCCTGGCTTGCCTGTCCATTTCGACCGTAGGAAAAGTGAGTGTGGTTGGTGGATGATGTGGTGCTGAGCATTGGAGAATTGGATATCGAGCTGTTGCTCCTCGAGGTCGCCGTCGGTACACGACTGGATGATTTGGTATATGTTCTACAGTTGCCATAGCATCAAGTTAGTACACTTATTCGCCTATTTCTTTCTTTCTTTTTTCACTCGGGCCTTTGCTTATCCCCCCTAGAGGAGAGAGTGTGCAATGACGAGCCGAGGCGTCTCCCTCTCCTCTCTACTCCTCTCCCCTTCTCTCCTCGGATTCTAGGGCCGTCGGCGGGAGTTCGAGATCTTACAGGCGAGGTGACGTGTTTGCTGGTCGAGGCCCAGCAGGCGCCTTGTGCTTAAGGGTCATAGAGTTCGCAGTGTCGCGAGCGGGAGCGGACGATGCAGGTGTGCGGCTGCGTCTGGCACACAACGAAGAGTGGAGGGTCGTTCGCTGGGAGCGTCAAGCCTCAGTCCGGTCAGGGAGCTGAGAGCGTGCGAATGGCTACCTCATCCCGACCCGGGCCTTGGTCTCTGTTGGGCTTCTGGCTGTGGCTGCAAGGCAAGGCAAGCGCGGGTCTGGTGGAAGCTTGCGAGACGCCAACGGCAGCCTGCCTCCAGGGAATACGGATTGCCGACGATGCGTGAGGCGAAAGGGAAAAAAACGAAAGGGGCGGCTTGGAGAAAGCGTCCAGGTCGTAGGTTGTTTTGCGAGAATCGGGGGTTGCACGCTTTCAGTGGACTTGGGCTTGGGCCTTTGGGGCGACAGGGCCACCTAACCTGACCTTGGCTACAGCGCAGGTATAGCACCTGGCAAGCCTAGGAACGCTCGTGGCTAACTGCCGCACTAGCCCCAAGGCCACTGAATGCTAGAAGGTCGGTCAGGTCCAGGGCCTGAGTCGCGGTAGCCACTTAGCGGTTAGTGCTTGGACGGGCAGCCAAGGGAAAAGTGTGGGTGGGGAGGTTCCGGTACCTCGTGATGTGGAGCGCGCGTGAGGATTTGGGTGGTGTCACTGCGGTAGCGCGAGGGGAAGAGACGAGCGGGCGAGGTACCGGTACAGCGAGACGGTTGTTTTGACATGGAAGATCACATCAATAAAATCATGGATCGAGTGCGATTGGGGGGGAACCTGCCAGGCAGTGCTGTGCAATTGTCTGCAAGTCGTATTGGAGCCTAGAACTGAACTCAGACGCCTAGCAGTATGCACACCTGTGCTCTTATTTGATTGATGTTTAGCATTCAAGGTTTCAATGTTTCTTGTTTCAAGGTGCTTTTCAATCAATATGCTTTGGGTGGCGGCCACGATTACAGGTAATTAATTACACGGCGGCGTTATGGGTAATTACATGGCTACTCCAGGTCCATGCCAAGATGCTACATACGGGGAGCTCAAGCATCAAAACACTCCATTTTATAAAATGAGGAGCATGAAACAGCCTTATATCAATTTCAGCTCCATCCCATCTCACTTTGGCATCTCTTTAATATAATTCCCCTTGTTTTATTGTTTTTTGATGAACAATCGGGCCCCCGTCAATTTACTCCCACCGAACCTGTAGATTGCAGTCAATACACGAAACAAGGACGATAGTCGAACCGGTTTCTGCCAAGGCTGCGTTTACTCCCACTTTTTTTCTTTGCTTTTTTCGCATCGGATCTCATTAGGCACTTTTCTCTTTCTTTTCTTTTTCCTTTTCTTCTCAAGAATTCAATTCTTTCTGATTTTTTACGCCACTCGTGAAAGCGGGTACTGCCCTCAATTGGCCTCCAACCTTGCTTAAGCGCCCGCCTCATCGGTCCAAATCGAGGTTCCAGCACAAAGTACAAGTACGAAGCTGCAAGCAACCCCATGACGACGTGGTTTTTGTGTGGCACTGGAAAAGGAGAATGCCGGCTTCTCTCCTTCATCTTGCTCGCTTTATCTCGCCTATCATTTGGGCATCTCCACACTGCCAACCCCTCCATGTTCCCTTTCGAACTCATCGAGCTCTCGTTGCTCATAAAGCAGAGTCTATCAACTGGGCCGTGTTCCATAATACGATGTGCCATTACAATCAAATGATGTGTAATAAAACAAAATAAGAGAAAAGACAGCCCTTGCAGACTTGCTGCACATGCTTCGGTTGTATCATCACCACGCGCAGGTCATGCGGTTCATCACCATGGTCCGTTGCCTACAGCTACAGTACCTATTTGTCATGTATGTATGTATGTACTCACTCAGAATGAACGCCGCACATTCGTCTGGCCGACTCAGGTGCGTCCACGTATTGCATCAATCCAAGAATGGTCAGCAACCTATTAGAACAGGCGACATTTGAGGGCTTCGCTTATGCCCGTCCGCCCACGATGCCAAATGCCAACAGCCAACCTAATGAGGTACATGCAGCATACAGGTGCCGACAGCGTCCTTGGCAGAGGCAGCGCAGGTAGAATGCAGGTATCCCGTCGTGCTGCTTTGCCGTTGCTGCAGTTGCCGCTGCAAGGATTCAGCTCTACTCGATGTTTTGTTTGTGTGCCGTGTCCCGTTTAGGAAATGGCCTTGGGTCTCCGTTTTCGAGCAGCCCGCTGCTGGTGTTAGTGATTCTTGTTCGCCCTCCGGCTTTCCTGACGCGCCAATGGGACTGCTTTGGGGCTTGCAGAGTGGTGCCATGATTGGCTGCAGGTTGTCAGATCTTGCAGACACTTAGAGTGGTGCAGCTGGCAGTGCTCCGTTCCTAGTACGGAAGCTCTCACGTTGGGGCTCTTGTCCGTCCATGCATCTCCATTGTTGGGTATTACTTGGGTGCCCTATGGGCCGCATTGGGTTGCCACTGTCATCCTCCTCCGGGTGATTGTCATGACAGAGTGGCGGGAGAAGATGGAGAGCCAATTGCTGGTCCAGTTGTTGATGGCTCTCCTGTTTAGGAACTCATCACCATCGTACAGGTTAAGTCGCCGTCATATACGGAGTGTTGTAGGCCCATTTTGCTTGTGTTACCAGGACTACAAGGACAAGGCCGGGCTTTGGATTCGACGCAAAGTGCGGAGCATTGACATGGGAACACGGCCAGATCCCAAAGATTGATTGCTGCTCCATAGCATCCACAAGACCGTTCTGCACAGTTGTGTCATCGGTCCGCCACGTATCGTTGTGATGGAGCCATAGCAACGGTTGACCTTTATCCACCAAGCCTAAAACCGTCGCCGTGCATATATCACTTGACGCAAATAGCTCTTTGCGGTGAGAGCCCTGTAGACCGCCTTGGGGTCCTATCAAGTTGCTCGGATCAGCTCCATAAATGCTGCATGCGCGGACAGGGTGGGCATGGCATGGCATTGCTGTTGGAGCTGTGTACAGTACGATACGATACGAGTTCCGCGTATTGTTAATTTGTTTGTCTCCTAACTCATCGTATTAGTCGAAATACAACATCCATGAATAATTCGTTGCTTCATCTTGAAGCATTGTGGTTGCTCTATCCGGAGTAAACCGGGCACAGTTGTCGAGGCAACGCCCTAAAGCCGATTGAGCACATCGTGTGTGTGCGTGCTTTCTAATGCTACGCTGCATATCAGGGCGAGCTACCAATTGAACCCTTCATCTTTTAGCGGCCGCCGGCTAGCGCTATTCGCAATCCCCAGTATTAACGGCCGGCGAATCAGTAGCTCTGGAGGCGAGCGTGTGAAGTGCCGTCCCAAATCTGGGTTGAGCAAGTGTGGCGCCGCTACGCCACAGAGTGAGATCATCGCCTGCCGCCTCGCGCGTCACATGCCGAGCTTAACCTCAACCTTCTCCTGGCTGCTATTAGTTATCGCTATCGCTGTCATCCATCGTCCATCGATCGTATCGTATCGTCCGCGGCATGAGATAGTCCTGGAAGGAAAGCGGCAGCATTAGCCCAGCTCATCACATGCCATGGATGATTTCGCGGCAGAGCTAATGGCCGCCGGCCGCGATGAATCGCCGGAGCGACCGCCTGAGCGCAAGGCACCTGCGGAACTCGATCCATCTACGGCATCACCTCAGCGATCCGGCCTGCGGGGCGGCCTTGCGGCCCTCCGAGAGAAGGCGAACATTCAAGATCGCTTAGTAGAAAAGTGTGTATGTCGTTGCGAACGAGAATGGTGATGCTAATGTTGTATCGTGCAGACTCCTTCAACAAGTCATCCCGGATGAAGACAGCCATGGCGCCGAAGCCACTATATCGTCAGACGGTGCGGCATACCCGCAGCGGCCTGGCTTCAACCTCACTACTATGTCCAACAACTTCCGGCGGTTCAACGCCCGTATTGGCGTGGTCTTCAAGTTCCAGGCCCGAATGACGCGCATTCTATCCTGGCGCCAGCCCTCCCACACACTCTCTCTACTCGCTACATATACCTTCGTCTGTCTTGACCCCTATCTCCTCTGCGTACTGCCCATTGTGGGCATACTTTTGGGCGCCTTCATCCCAGGATTTTTAGCACGGCATCCGGCACCACCAAAGGGGACTCTGTCCAGCGAGCAAAGTATGGGCTATTCTCCAAGGGGACCACCACTGGCACCGGCAGCGACAGTTCGTCCCGCCAAGGAGCTGAGCAAGGACTTTTTCCGAAACATGGGTGACTTACAGAACTGCATGGACGACTTCACTCAAGGACACGACATGGTGGTGGCGCTGCTTGTGCCCATTAGCAATTTCAGCAACGAGGCGCTCTCCTCGGCCGTGTTTCTCTTCCTCTTCGCGGCCGGCGTCTTCATGACCATTGCCGCGCACATGATACCGTGGAGATTTGTGTTCCTCGTAGGCGGATGGGCCGCCATCGGGTCGGGACATCCCGCCATCTCTCGTCTGCTGGCTGCCACGCGCGAGGAGCACATCCAGCCTAGGGAGGAGAAGGCCAAGACGTGGATGGACGACTGGATCGCGACCGACGTGATCCTCGACTCGGCCCCCGAGACGCGCGAGGTGGAAATCTTTGAGCTGCAAAAGGCCTCTGGCGCGGGCGAGTGGGAGGCCTGGCTCTTTTGTCCGTCGCCGTACGATCCCCTGTCGCAGCCTCGCATCGCTGGCGAGCGGCCACGCGGCACGCGCTTCTTCGAGGATGTGATGCCGCCGGAGGGCTGGGAGTGGAGCGAGAAGAAGTGGGCGCTGGATCTCTGGAGCAGAGACTGGGTCGAGGAGCGCATCATTACGGGGGTCGAGGTCGAGACGGAAGGGGAGCGGTGGGTGTATGATATTTTCAACGATCGCGAGGAGCGCACCGGTGTTGTCGACCAGCCCGAGAAAGCGAGCACTCGAGCCGGCGCGCATATGAGCTGGGAAGAAGGCGAAGATGGTATAGGCAAGAAGGGGGAATGGAGACGGAGGCGGTGGGTGAGATTGGTCAAGAGAAAGGTTTCAGCGGCTGTTTCTGGATCACAATAGGATTTTATTAATATTATGGGATTAGCAGGGTTTTGGGTTAGCTTTTATTCTTTATTATATTCACATGAGCCATCCAGGTTTTGGTGAGGCAAAATTGATACACGTTAAGTGTGAAATTGTATTGCTGCATGCGTGATGATGATGCTTATTGTACAGGCTAATGTTTGCCGCTATGTTACGCTAGAGAATCAGGTCGAGCTGATTGATATGCAATTTCTTACCCATCCCACAAAATCAAGAAGAACAAATGCAAATGAAGAACAAAATAAAAAAAGTCATAAAACCCCTCGCTATGGCGCCGATGCGTTGTAGCTGTTCCCTGCATTAATTTCGTGTACATCATTAACACCCCTTTCATCTCGCAAAAATGACGAGACCATGCCCCCCTCTCACGACGATATGGTCATCTTATCCAGAATCTTGTAGATGCCAGCGGCCCGACCGTTCTCATCGTCTAGCTCCGCGACCATCTTGCGGGCCCGTTCGATGAGGGTGCCGACTACCTGGCGGGTGTAGTCGAAGCTGCCCTTGGATTCCATGTAGGAGACGGCGTAGCGCTTGACCTGCACATCTGTGGTCTTTTGCTTGAGTATGTTGATGAGCTGGAGGTCGACGGGGTCGGCGCGGATGCTGTGGATGACGGGGAAGGAGAATTTGCCCTCCGTCAGGTCCTCGCACATGCCCTTGTTATGGCTGTACTCGCTCGATGACAGATTCATGTAGTCGTCGCGGATCTGGAAGATGAGGCCGATGATGTTGACGAGGGGCACGCAGTCGACGTTGGTGGTCGACTCTGCCTGCATCAGCTTGATGCCGAGGCGGAATAGGCCGCCGGTCTTGTTGCCCACCATCTCGAGGTAGTCATCCTCCGTGGGGCAAGTGAGGGTGTCTCTCCAGAAGAGGTCCATGCCTTGGCCGCGGTGCAGATTGAGCAGCTCCTCGGCAAACAGCTGGATGACGTTCTGGTTGCCGAGCTTGACGAGCTCCTGCAGCGCGGCGAAATATATGTAATTCGCGGAATTGATGGTCTGGGCGACGCCGAAGATGTTGTGGGCGACGGGAAAGCCGCGGCGCAGCTCGGACGAGTCCTGGACGTCGTCGACCAGCAGCGAGGCCTCGTGGAGCATGCCCACGACGCTCGTGATGGCCTTGAGGCTCTCGGGGGGCACGTCGAGGAAGGCGTTGAAGGCGGCGATGATCTGGGACCGAAAGTCCTTGCCCGGGTGGCTGGTGGAGTACTCAAACGGGCCTCTTACGATGTGCTCCTTGTCGTCGGTCCAAGTACCGCGGCCGCGAAAGTCAAAGTCATCGTGGGCGAAGCGCGCGACGTCGGGAGGCGCCGAGGGATTGATTTGGTGCTGCATGTCGTCTTTGCCGTTGTTGTTGATGATGTTGTTGGTGCTGTTGAGCTCGCCGTAGTTTACTCGCTTGGAGCTTCTCCGGGGCGGAGGTTGAGGGTGCAAGGGCCGCTTCGCCATTTGTTCTGGGCGTTTGCCTAGCTTGGAGCGTGGGTCAAGCCACTCGGCTTCGCTTTGGAGCTCGATTAGGGGTTCGACAACGGCAGCGGCAGCAGAGCCGGAAGCGGAAGCGGAACTCGAAGATTCCAGACGTGGGAGGGACGAGGCAAAGGCGTTGGTAAAGGTGAAGCTCTGGCTCTGACGCTGTCGCCGAGACTGAAGCCCGCTGCTGGATGTCCTGGGAGGGATTGCGCCTGGGGAGACTGTGAATTCGGGCTGCATTGGAATCGTTTTCAACCAGAGGCGGATTATGGTCTTATACTTGCAGGTGCTGCTGTGGCGCCAGCTGAGGGCCGTGGAGCTGGTTGAAAGTGGCGGGGTCTTGGTGGTGAACAAGTCGAGGTGCGGAGTACATGTGCATACCGCAAGTTTGGTTCACCGGAGCTCTACGAGTGCTCGTACTGGACTACATATGTGTACAGGCGGGGCTCAAGTGATTAGTAGAAGACATGATAGTTGACAGCGTTGCCCGCGGCCCTATCAGAACGACGCCGGACTGCAGAACCTGCAGAACGGGGATGCGGTTTATGCATGTTGGCTGCAGTCAAGAGCTTCGGGAAGCACCAGAAGGCCGTTGTGGTCGCCGGTTTGCCGGGTTCGATGATGAAGTTGGCCGAGCCGAATTGTGCTGCCTGTCCTCGCAGCTGCTTGCATACGTGGTTCGGCAAGGCTGGAGATACTGGAGGGATTCGCGTCAAGATGGAGAGGATTTGGTGCAATGGACTGTAGCCTGGCTAGTCGGAGTGTCTTGATGGCAGCCTGATGTTTGAGTTGAGTCGATTGGCGGAGCGGAAGCAGGATACTTTGTGCTTGTGATAGTATCAGGCAGTTGCCAAAGGCCTTGATCCATATCAAGCAAGAGTTGTAAACTGAATCGAGGCAATTTGATGCTACGCGTTCACTACAACGCCCGTTCTGACTAGTCTTAAGAAGGGATGGGCTCTTCATGTCAACTGGGTTCTTGGGTAAACGCGTCATATGGCAATTGGTGCAGAATTAGATCGACCAAAACGTGGAGCAGGGCTGCGAAGCGAGGAGTATGGAGTACTATCACAAGCAGGACTTGATGGAATCGATCCATAACCTTACCAGCATGTGACGTGCTGGGGCTAAGTTTCAGCTCTAAGCTCAACTCGTACGCCATTGCATGGTTGAGTGAGAATAGCCTTGGTTTGCCGCTTCGGTTCGGGTGCTGCAGTCTGATTATGCATGCGCCTTATTAATAAAGATGCCTAGGGTCTATGATGGAGACATTGAGAGTTGAGGAGCCAGCTCTAGGCTTATACGGGCGTTGCGGAATAGCTGCATATCCGCGGCAAAGCCCGCATGTCGAAATACTCTTGAAATTAGACCTTCACGACTGCCATTGGCGGAGGATAGAATTGGATCCTCGCATGTACGGAGTACAATCTTAATGTTAGTCATCCAATCTCCAGTCATGGGCTGAGCCGAGCTTCCAAGACATCAATCAAATCGTTCTGGTCGAATCATACCGGGCACCTCTATTGACAAGGTCCAGGGTCCAGTGTAATTTTCGTCGAGTTAAATGGCGTGCAGCCGTCGTCCGCTGCAAGCACTGCAAGTTTCAGAGCCTGGTCAGGTCCCTTCGGCGCTCCCGCGAAGCACTAGCCGGCCGTCACAGTGGAGCTTAATCACTGCCACCCCGCCTGTAGGCCACTAAACTCTCGATTTCGTGCGTGCCTGTACCTCCGTAAGGCTCCCCGTCTCCCTGGATGCTCGCCGTTGCCGGGGAAATGAGCAGCGGCAGCCACATGATGCTGAACCAGCCCTCTGGAACCTCCCGGCAGATGCCTTGCTTTTTTGTCATTGCACTGTCATTGATTGACGCAGTTGCATTTCGCATCACCTCTCCCTGATTGTTGATCATCTCTCTCTCTTTTTCAGGTCGTTGCTGCCACTCCTCCTTTGATACCCCCCAATGCTTTATACCTTCTCTTTCGCCGTGTATTAACATCACCGCACCATATCCTGGCATCTAATTTGCCAGCAGAACATCTCACTCCAATACCTTCGTTTCTCAAAATTAACTGCATCCCACCTCCCCACCCACTAATAAACAAAGCAAACAAAGAGAAAAAAAAGAGGAACCCTGTTTTTCATTTCTTCGCCAATTTATTTAGATCCTTCTTGTTGTTGTTGTTCCTCCCTATCAACACAGGATCAGCCAGTCCTTATCAACTAATAGTCATACCCGCTGCCATCGATTACCGAGATTACCATTACCCGCCCCCAATGGAAGCTCTCTTGTCACTCGCTTTCGACAACCTCTCCTCCTACGATGGACCCAAGATCCGAAAGGGTCTGCGCCAGGTAGAAGGCTTGCTGGCGCAAATCTGCCTGTCAAACGCTTCTTCGGGGCGAGGCCGATCCTCTTCCTTGTCTTCGAATGTGCCCAACGACGACGACGATGCCTCCGCCGTGGCCCCTCGCAAGGATCTCGCCCAGCTCACCCAGGACCCGGCCTTTCGCGAGTTCTTCAAGCTGCAGGAGGGATTCGAGTGGAATGTTGCCATGCGTTTGATCAGCACGCTGGATAGGCTCATGGCCAAGGGCAGCGACGGCCAGAATGATTTACTCATTCTCAGTGCGCTTGACCTTATTCAAGGTGTCACCCTGCTGCACCCTCCCAGCAAATCTCTGTTTGCGCGGGAACAAAATATGAATGTAAGCCATGAACCCCAAGGCTCTTATGATGAATGCCTCGGGCTGACCACATATCCTTTTCTTTCATAGCTCTTGTTAGATCTCCTCGAACCTTACAACTGCCCGGCGATCCAATCTGCTACCTTGCTGACTCTCGTCGTCGCTCTCATTGACACACCCAACAACACACGAACTTTCGAAGGGCTTGACGGCCTCATGACCGTTACTTCTCTCTTCAAATCGCGATCTACCTCTCGTGAGGTCAAGCTCAAGCTCGTCGAATTTCTTTACTTCTATCTCATGCCCGAAACACCCTCGCCTCCCCGCGCCGACCAGCGGGAATCTGTCTTCCAGCGCAGCCCCTCGAAGCTTGTTGGCTATGGCGTCGACGGTAGAAACGGCCGCAAGCGTGCTAACAGCAACGGGGTCATCACACTAACCACTGCGGAGAAGCAGCAGCTCCTGAGTCGCCATCTTAGTAGTGTGGAAGACTTGGTCAAGGATCTGAGAAACTGCGCGCCTTTTGGCGGTATTGTATGCTGAGTCTGGTACTAGCATATGACGCAATGGTTGAGGGCTGAAGGAAACATTTGGGCGGTTTTTTTTTTCGGTTTTGTTTTTTCCATCACAACCCCCCCTGAAGGATCTTTTTTATTCTTCAGCACATCACATTCTATTCTTTTCTTTATACCCCGAGCTAGCCTCGCTATTGGGTTTGGGGTTTGTGGCGTTTGGGATCTGCAGTCACTTACATCAAATGGCTGCGAGCATGAAAAGAATCATGCTAGGAATTTTTGTTCAATTTCTTTCTTTTTTGCGTTCTTGTTCTCTCCCATTACGATGGGAAGATTCTTCAAGATATGAATTTGGACGGTGTTGTGTACTACCAGGCTAGGCGTTTTACTCAATAGACGGGTTTATAAACCTCAAAACATCTCTTTCTCCATTAATCATTAAACCTTCCCTTCCCATCAAGGCTGTTGTTGTTCATGGCCTAGGTGAGAATTCGGATCATGGTCCGGCATTGGCGGGCTTGGTAATGGTGGACTGGGCAACGGCGGATTGTCTAATGGCGGATTGTCTAATGGCGGACTGTCCAACGGTGGACTGGGCAATGGCGGACTGGCTAATGGCGGACTGGGCAAGGGACTGGTTGGCGAAGGCAATGGCCATAACCCGTCCGACCCGTGCAGCTCGAATCGTCCGTCCGTAGTCTCCGGCCCTCGGATGTCCGCCAAAGCCATGCTGCTGACGCCGGACTTGGGCGAAAAGACCTCGGAGCCTTCCACTTCCATCCGCTGGTCCGTCGCAAGCTCGACGGGATCCGGGGCAGAGGACGGGGACCTGACCGTGCCTGCATCGGTCACGGCGCCGGATGGCGTGACGGAAGAGACCATTGTCCAGCGCTGCGCCGCCTGGGCTTGCGGCGACAATTGTGTATTGGCCATGGGGATGTCGCCCGGGGCGGCACCGTTTGCGCCTCCGGATTGTAGGGAGGCGTCGTTGTATACGCGACGACGCTCTGCAGCATTTCTCCGCTTTGTGAGATAGAACCACACGGCTGCCGCGACGATGAGACCGCCGCCTACCACTGCGCCGACGGCGATACCCGCTTCCGCTCCGGGAGAGAGACCGCCGGACGATGAGGACCCGGAGTTGGAGTCATCACCGCCGGCCTCGAGGGTGCTGGTCGGGCCTCCGGTTGCGGTGGAGCAGTAGGCCGATCCGGCGAACGAAGTACATGCCTGGCCGTTGTTGCAGCAGCCGTTGCCGTCAGAGCACCGGAACTGACCAGTAGTACATCCGTCAGCAACGGGAGTGAGACCGGGAGGCGGGCTCGTCTTCGTCGAGACGCAGTGCCCGCCGGCCTGGCAATTGGAGTCGAAGGGGCAGCAGTTGCCGCCGAGAGACGAGGCGCAGAGGTAGAAGCTCGTCTGGGGACAGGCGCGGCCGCAGCAGCCGGTGAGGACGGTGGTGGTTGTCCGTGTGATGACGGGCGCTCTGGATGTCGTTCTGGTGGTGGCGGATGAGGTGGATGTGATTGTGACTGTGCGAGTGACGGAGCAGCGGACGGCGGTGGCCGGGCAAGGGTTGTCTGAGGTGCAGGCCTGGCCGATTGCGCAGCACTTGGGCTCGTCGGAGGTGTTTACGTAGCAGTAGCTGTTGTTGTTGCAGCAGCGGTCGCCGTGACCAATGTCAAGGCCTGTGTAATAAGATTAGCAATGCGAAGTTATGAGAAGACCCAGAAGCGGCGACAAAATCAATGGTGGTGAAACTAGAGAGAGTGAGAGAGGAGAGTTGTGTCGTCTTACAGCTGTGGGCGTTGTCGCCGCATGATCCCTCGCGCTTGAACAGCGGATGCGACTTATCGACAAAGTATCGCGGCGTCAGTCCATCGGGGACGATCTGCAGAGCGGCGTATCGGTCCCTGGCGGCGCTGGCAATGGCGAGGCCGCAGAGCGGGAGGATGAGGAGGAGCCTCATCGTTGGTTGGGCGACAAGGGCATCCTTTTCCTTTGCTGCGTTGTGGGTTTGATGCGATTCTCACTTCTACTCGGATATCGATCCTCCCGGCAGAAAGAGAGAGAGCTTCTACCAGCAAGAAGAAAAAAGATGAGGTGAAAGAGGAAAGATGAAAAACGCTACGTGAGCAATTGTTGCGCGCCAGCCTTGTGGCCCTGTCGTGCAAGGATTCATGGAGGACAGCAGGCTAATGTAAGAGGGACCCCGACATCAGCCCGGCCGGCTCATCCATGCATGCTGCGACGCCCATCTGCGGGCTCTGCATCCTCATTGAGATAGGGCACCAGTGCAAAGGGAATAAAGGAAGAAATAAAGCCGAAGGTTGCATATGGAATCCGTCCCATCCACTGGCGTTCCAAATGAAGCCAAGGATGCGGTGAGCAAGTCAGTCACGCTGGCATTGCTGAGAATGAATGGGCTCTGCTTCGGTCAGATTTGGGGCTCAATCGACGGAAGCTCGGCCTCTTGGCTCTCCCCTCTCTCCCATCAGAAACCAAAATGATGCTGATTGTGGATGAAAGGCTGGATTCGCGAGTGGATGCAGCCGGGGCGTGCTGTGGATGCGACTTCATTTATTGTTGCATGAACGGGCGTCTGTCCTGGTTGCTTCCCCCCCGCTCAAAGACTCACGAGACACTTTTGTCAAATGGGAGAGTTTTTTCCGGGTGCCGACGTTTGGTTTTTGGACGAACCACATGCGTTTGTTCTGGTGAATGTCCTAGGTGTGTTTGGGAATAGGTGCACTGCTAAGGCGATCCGTGTTAGGCAATTTAGGAGCAAGTGCTTATTGCCCTGCACAAAAGGACAGAGACGGATCACAAGCTTCAACATTTGTAACGACACGCAAGTTCAATCTTTTTTTACTACCAGCTTACACATATGAACCCAGATACGCAAACGACAACCAACATGATCGTCTTATCATACAACTTCTGACAAACACTCATAAAGAAATCCAACCTGGTATAATCCAATCCAAATCCCCTTACCCTCTGGCGACGCCTCTCTCAGCGCAAAACTTGTCAACCTCCTTCCGCAGAGTATCCCTCTGTCGCAGTGCCGCCTCCATAATCTCCTCGGCCACCTTGCCCAAGCCGTTCTGGTGCTGGCCCTTGGTTCTGTCGTGCACGTCCACCATTTCCGCCAACACGGCTTCCAGCTGGTTGGGGAGCCAAGTGACAATGGGGCTGCCGCCAGTGGCAGTTGGGTGAGATGTCTGCTTGAGGATGTACTCTCTGGCGAAGCACCAGTGGCGCCAGCGGAAGTCTCGCACCTCGTTGAGGATCTGGATCCACAGGCTGCGAGACTGGCGGAGGAGCTCCTTGTGCTCCTCTGACTCGGGCTCGCCCTTGTAGCCGAGGGCATAGTTCTTGAGATCCAGCTCCTGAGAGCGACCCTTGACGTACTGCAAGAAGGTCTTGTGGTTGCTGGGACGATACTCACGGAAGTCGTTCAGGATGGCCGTCAGAGGAGTATCAGGCATGGGCATCTGCAAAAAGTTGTCCATGAGGGGCACCATGGAGTCGTTGGCGCCAGACTCGCCTCGGAAGGACATGGGCTTGTTATCATAGAGGCCTTCATAGATGACACCGTTGGGGAACATGGACTGGGCCGTGATGCCAAAGATGAAAGTGCGGAAGCTGGTGTAGTCTCTGGGACGAGACTTCCCCCACATGGTCTCCATGACGGCGTTGATCTTCTTCATCGAAGTGACGATTTCAGAAAGACCTTCGTTGAAGGACTTGCGCTGCTCGATACTGGCGGGGCCGGAAGAAGCCTTGGAGGCTTCTTCTAGACAGCGGACTGTAGCCGCAACAAGGGGGCCAGAGTTTCTGACCATGTCAATGTGGACAAGAACGAAGCCAGCCTCGGAGGAGGTAGGGTCGAGACCGTGCTCAAAAGCGCGAATGAGACGGATGTTGTCATACTCCAAACCCTTGGAGGGATCCTCCAGTCGGTAGTTGTAGAGTGCATAAGAGCCAGCATACTCCATGAAGGGCATGAAGCCAGTGCTGTGATAATAAGTTAGCATGCTTGCCCTGGTTACATGGCGTATACGAGATGTGACTTACATCTCAGCGCATCGAGCAATGGGACGAGCAATGTTCTTGGGAAGAGTCTGACGTCCCAAGCCATAGCTCTCACCCTTGAGGAAACGCAAGTGGCAAGGCTCAAGGAGGTATGCAGAGGCAAGGAAAGAGTAGTCTCGGTACAAGGCATTCATCAGGGGAAGGTTATCCTTGTAGAGATCCATGTGATCAGTGAGGTCGGGGAAGCTGGAGTCAACCTCATCACCAAGCTTGCCATGGGCAAGAAGGCCGGGCTCGCCAGACAGAGTCTTGACGGGCATGCGCTGGAGGATGGACTCGAGAGGGTCAAACTCCTTGGGGAGGGTGACGATGGGGTCTGCACGAGGGAGAAAGCCTCTGGTGGTAGACACCAAGAAGGCAGGGAGGGAGTTGTCATCAGGACGGGCATCGGTGAGGACCTCGAAGGGAGGCGTGCTTGTTGAGAGAGAACCCATTGTGTAGGATATGGTATAGAGATGGGAGGATGATGATGTGGTGAAGTAATGTGAGGTAGTGTGAAGTGATGTGAAAAAGGTGTAAGTGGTTGATGGTGTAAGTGATGTGGTGTAAGTGGTATAACGGCTGACTGAGAGCGCAGTCTTCAGGGCAAAGGAGCCAAAGAAAGAGAAAGAGTGGTATCAAGAAGAGGTGGCAAAGAGTCAAACTCGCTCTGAAGAGTCTGAGAGTTTCGGGGCTCTCTCATCGTCAGTCCGGGTCCGCGCCGCCGCCTAAGTACCCGGTGGCCGGAATGGATTCCGGCCACTGGGTGGGGATGAGGTCACGACGCACGGCGGCGCAAGCGGGTCGAGACTCCTGTTGGCACTGATAGAGGAAGGTGTCGGAGAGCTAGTTGCGTAACTTCACGTAACAGAAACAAGCCAGCGCCGTTATCTCTTGTACTCAAGACCGACCACCGGGCCAGGCAAGGGGGGAGCATGACCAGCGAAGGGCGAGTTGGGCCGTGTGTGAATGAGATGTGCAGATACTGTCTCTTACACACACTTACATCATGTCTTTGTATACAAACAACTGTAAGGATGTAACTAGATACTGAATACTCGGTAGAGATATGAATGTTCAACAGCATATAAACTCGCATTCACCCATCCGAGACAGGCACGATTACAAAGTGAGACATTGTGATAGGCTCTTCCGCTCTCTCTGTCCCGTCCCTGCAGAACTTCTTCCCGTCCCTGATAAGCCCCTAAAGTACAGTAAAACAAGCTTCAGCTTTTTGTGGGGGAGGGGCCGGACTCATCACAGCTCGCCCCACAGGCTACCGATACTGACCGGCCTTTTTACTGGACCATTGGCCGGAATCATTCCGGCCACAGACGAGATCGGACCCGGCCCTTGCTTTGTCGACCAAGCCAGGTACAAGCTGCCCGCGGTCTGCGTGGCGCACAGCAGAAGTATCTCGAAAAGTGGGCGGGTTCCGTGCAACCCCCGAGTGCGCCTTCCGTTGCTCGTACAGGTACAAATGGGAGCACTAAGACGTAACATGAATCCGGGAGTCGGTGATTAGGCCGGAGCGTTGATTAATGGAAAAGATGTGATTCGCTCGTTTAGAATCGGGCAAGTTGTGGGAGGGAGAGCGTGGAAGAGATTTCCTCGTCCCACAGGAGATGGACATTATCCCACGTAGTAAACATTACAAACGAGAAACAAGTAGCAAAAGAAGAGCAAAAAAAATCAGTGAATATTACTCCGTACATCTAGTAGTGTACATAGTCAAAAAGCAAAGTGCCGATCCAAACGCCTTTCGTCATGTCTCTCTCCTCCAGTTTCCTTTCCGCGTTTGCCTTTCCATATTTTCCTTCCACTTCCCCCCTCTCTTCCCCACTATCCCACTATCCCTTCCATCGTCTTCCAAGACACATCAAGCCGCTCTTCGGAGGGTTCTGAACCCACTCGAAGCAGCCGACAGCGATAGCCGATGAATGCTCGCTGAAGCATTAAAGGCCATGGCCGTGATTGTAGGCCGTCCCTGTTCTGCATCAACGCCTGTTGATGTTGATGTTGATGTTGATGACAGATTGAAAGGTCGGATATGATCACCGCTCAGGGCATCACCGCTCAGAGTTGTTCTCGGCGGATTTGTGTCTGCTGTTGATGCTGATGACAGATTGAAAGGCAGGACACGAGCACCACCCAGAGTATCAACGCTCAGGGTTGTTTCTGGCGGATTTGCGTCTGCTGTTGATGCTGATGACAGATTAAAAAGCCGGACACGAGCACCGCTCAGAGTATCAACGCTCAGGGTTGTTCTTGGCGGGTTTGCGTCTGCCGTCGCACTGACGAAGGGAATAATGGCCTTGAAATTGCTCTCCTAGGCCGGCATTAGCATTACCAGCTATTCTGGGTGGCTACCCAAGGACTTACCATTGCAAGGTGGGATGGGAACGTGGTCACCGTGACGATTCCCGTGGGCACTACGGTGACTGTTCGCGTGATCCGGGTAGTTGATGTGATTATCGTTGTGGACATGCTATCTGATATAGCTGAGGTGTCCAGGTCGACGGAAGCCTCTTTGAATAAACCTCCAAAGATGGCTGCTGGAGCGTGAATCAGTATCTAAACTCTCGAGTCTATTTCTGATCATAAAACTCACTTGCCGGGGTAGTCTCTTGTTCGCGCGTTGTTACGACCAGCTTTTCAGGCTTTGGAGGCGCCATAGTACCAGAATCCGTGAAGGCATTTTTCGCGGGCGTAGAATCTAAATCTAGAGAAGAGTCAGCTTTGGATCGCATCATGTTGAAAATTTCTTCTTCAAGAGTCTTGATCTTATCGAGGATGGTCTGCAGGTGGTGCTGGGAAACTTGGATTGTGGTATTTTGAGTCTCATCTGATGCTCGAGCGGCAATTAGCTTCGGAGCTTGTTGAAGGGGTGATGTGTCGGCAGAAATTTGGGCAGCGGGTTTGTGGTCTGGGAGAGATGGATGATGATGAGATGATCTTGCGTGATTGTGGTGGTGGACAAGGCTCAAGGCGAGCCCGATGAGAGGAAGATGCTGAAGAACCATGGTGATTGTTAATAAGCTTTACTATAATTGAGGTTCAGAAAGATAAAGAAGTAGTTGTGATGAAATCGACCTGGCATTCGTTCACATCGAAAGACTTTCTGCCCATGATATACCTTCTGAGGCCAGCGGGTCGTTGTGAGGAGCAACAGCATTCCAGCAGCTGGGATGACGACCAGGCTCCATTGTTGCGCGCCCTAGATTCCAGTCATCTTCGACGATGCGTTGGATGAAACGGTGTCTCGGACGAAGCAATTCAATTGCCAATTTGTGATTCGTTTGGGTGTTTGGGTATGGTAGCTGGCATATGTATGGAGTCCTTTGCTCACTGCGAAAGGCCTTATGTTGAGTTGAGTAGTAGGTTGAATAAGCCGTCAACTGAGTCAACTCATTCATATTCTAGGAGAGCTCCTTTAAACAGTTTTCATATTATTTGTTATACAGCAAATCATCGGCTGCGCGTCCGGTAGGGTCTTAACAGCTGCATCCTAGTCTCTGGCACTGATTCAAAAGCTGGACCCTTGATCGTAGTAGGGCTGATAAAGTATGCTTCGATCACACTCGAAACGCAATTTGAATGATTGATCAAGCATGTCTGGTTCTCTGATTTAGTTTACAGTCTTTACAGCAAGAATTACGAATGTTCCGGTTGTATGCAGATGATAGCTACAATATCAGGAAGAAGCATTTATATGAACATCTCAGCGCGCGATTACCTGTTCTTCGAAATCATTGGTAACAGTGACTGACGTTTCAGTTCTTGTCGATGAACACTCAACTACGGCCAATTCGTCGGCAGAGGACAAACTTCCTCATTATCGCACTTCGAACTTTGGGAGATGATCAACAAAAAAAGCGAACTGAAATCAAAATAATTACTCAGCGCATCAGATGACGTCGGCATCTCTTGCAGCTTGGGAAGCGCACATGGTGAGATATTGTCGGTAAGTTCGGATTGCGTATAGAAGCCAGTGGAATAGACGAGTCATCCATGAACAAGTTGGCTGCGTGTCCGCGTGGGAGAACTGCCTAGGGTACACACTCGGAACCCCCGCTTAGGAGATGCAGAATGATGATGCTCCCGAAATAAGGCCATCCTGGGCGGGAATGCACTGCGCCTAGCTGCAACACTATCCCGAGACCCAAGGTTCCAAGGTTTGGAAAAGCACTGTACGGAGGCGAAATGGGCCTCGATAGTTTCAAAATGGCGCGGTCAATCATCTAGATGCTTTCGCCGTGAAGCCCCATAGCACAGCGACCGTAGACAAACGCTCTGCGCATTGGGAGACGGATAAAAGAGCAAAGCGCGCAGCTCGCAGTCGGTAGGAGGCTCACTGATAGGGAAAAGGCAGCATCTCGAGTTTGTCTCTGAGAGCGTTTTTTTCATTGCTACCGAAACCGAAATTGAATCTTGGCGACGGCGGCTTGTGATTGCCAGTGGGACGCCGGCTTCGGTTAACTGGAGATGGCTGGAATAAGCCCGTTTTTGGGTGGTGAGAAAGAAGGGCGAAAAGGATCCAATGCGATGCCCAAGGCAAACTTGTGAAAAATCCCCAAGGCTGCGCTGCACTTTGCTCTGCGAGCTCAACGAAAAGGTACAAAGGAGCGCTCCAACCGCGGCCTTACCTAATCTGACGCAGCCTATCAGACGCGCCCAGGATCAACCTTTCCCAGTCCGTCGCAGGGCTAGCCAGACTAGCTCGTGATTGGCCCGTCGGAGGCTTGAATATTGCGAGGAAAATCAAAAATACTACTTGAGCTGCCACCTAAAATCTCAAAAAGGACCTCTTCGGGACTGGCCTGCCTTTTGCGCTAGTCCCGTTTTGGGTCGCCACTAAGCGCGGCACCTGAATCTTCCACCCCTCGCCCTTTGTGTTGGAGCGTCACGGTCCTGACGAACAAGAAACCTCTGGGCTGCCCGATTTTTTGCGTTGTGCGCCGCCGCCCTTCTGGCCCGAAAAAAAAAAACGAGGATGAGACCAAAGCCCCGAACCTTACGAGACAAGACCCCAGAAAATGAAAATCCCTCCGCCTCCCGCCTCTTTTTCTCCCCTCGCCTCTCCTCTCTCTCAGACCGCGATGCACCTGCGCTCATGACATGACACTATCACCGCCGGCCTGCTAATATAGTCCAGAGTTCCAGAGTTGCCTCTCTGCTGCTGCTCCACGCAAGGCCCCCAGACCCCCTGACCACCACGCCGGATCACCACCAACCTTAGGTATTAGCCCATCGCCCGTGGTTCAGAGCACCGCCCAAAAAACCTGCGCGGCCTTCCCGTCATCCTCCCATTTTTGCTCCTCTCCATCATCACCAGCCCTCTGCCATCACCACCGCCGCACCCGTCAGCGTCGCTCCACCACGCCATTGCCGACGCAAAATCTTTCATCGTCGTCGGGCTTGATACCATCGTCGGGCCGCTTGACCATCGGCACCATCAAAAGAGGCCTGCCTTGCCTTGCCTGCTCCTCGCTCTTGCAAAATCAATCAGTCCAAACTCCTCCACCAAGACGCGATGCCTCCCTCCAAGGCAGCCGACGGCCGACGCAAATCGGCGACCAAACACGGTTTGCTCGTCACCCTCAGCGTGCCGCCGGCTTTGCTACGCGACATCTTTCCCTCGGTGTCTATTGACGAAGGGACTCAATCCCCAGACTCCAAAAGCTCAAAGGAGACCTCGGAAATTAAAGAGTCGCCGGCCAGCCCAAGCGCGCTGGTTGTGTCTACAGCCGCCTCGAATGTCGACAACGCATCCGACTCAAATGCCGCTACTCCGGCCGCTGAAACCACACCTGCTCCAACGCCAATGGGACCCCCCGATGAAAAGAAGAAGAAGGGAGTCAAGCGATCTGCGGCTGCTGCAAATGGCACCATAGACGGCATACCCAAGCCCAGAGGCAAGCCGGGCCCAAAGAAGAAGCCCCGATTGTAAGTATAACCATATACATGGCGTTCAACGGCAATGAATTTCTTAATCAATATGCTAATTTTGTTGTCTCAATGCAGGGAGGATGGCACCATCGACCACAGCAGTGCGGCGGCTCGCCCGTCTGCCCACAAGCTTGGTCCCAAGGCAAACCAAGGAGCCATCAACGCAGGCCTTCGAGCCCTCGACCGGTCTGGCAAGCCTTGCCGGAAATGGGCCAAGGGCGGCTTCAAACTCAAGAGTTTTACAGGAGTTTCCTGGGAGATCCCACGATGGACTGCGCCTCCGCGAACCAATCCTGGATCCAGCACCGAAGACTCTGCTGCCCCGTCGGCTGAAGGTAGCAACAAAGAGAACAAAGAGGAAACCGGGAACGAAGGCAACAGCGTTGCCAACAGCAATAGCGGTCCTGATGTCGAGATGCAAAGCGCGCCTAGCATCCAAGCCTCGTCTCCAGCACCCATTGCCGTGGCGGCAGCATCATAAGTGCTTTCGCGCCGAGTTTTTCTTATTCTCTTCTTCACTTTGGCTTACGGGCCGCCTACTTTCTTCATCTACTCATTGTGTTTTTGATTTACCACCACCCCATCTTGTTTCTCTCTTTTTCTTTTCCGTCCTACATTGGGCACTGTTTGTTCCAAACCTAGAAAAAAAATTGGGCTCGGGTTCTGCTTTCTGTTTCATTGGCTCCGAGGACGGTACACTCGGGTATCTTTGATAATAGCCTGTCTTTTACAAAGCGACACTGCTGTCGCTGGCGTTGGCTGGGGGGAACATTCTGCCGGTCCTCGAAGGATCTGCGCAGACGGGAGTAACGGGATCATTGTCGGCGTAATTGCATGTATGTAAGGGTATGCTCAGGGTTCAAGAGTAGATAGGTTGGCATTGTTGGCCGGCTGCGGCAATACAATTATTTTCTTTTGGCTTAATACCGCCACTTTCCCCAGGTTGAATATTGTGAGCAGAAGCGGTGAAGACATGTCTTTGTTGTAAATGCTTAAATACTACTATACCAGGCCGCTGCAAGCGGGTTGTGTTACGCTGCATGAGAATCGGTGAATACCTAGGCAGGCAGGCAGCGCCGTGCGATCTCATGTCTCTGATCTGGCATCATCATTGCCATAAGAACTCCGACCCGACGTCCGTCGCCTCAATTTCCATTCAACATCTACATTCACAATCTTGTAATGCATTTGCATAACAAGTAGACTGAAAACATGCCGTTGGGCATGCGTCTCAGCTTAATCTGGGCTTCCTTGCCTGAACAACTCCCAGCTTACTTTGCGCCGGGGGTGAGCCATTTATCGACACTTGTTCACACGTTCTTGGCTCAGCTTGTCGAACGGGGTGGCGTGGCGTCGTGGCCAGGTAAGGTAGGGCCAGCATATTCTTCCTAGTTTCAGTTTTTACTCGGGTTTAGCTCGAAGTTGCATCACATTATCAGTCACAAAATTTTTATTTTCTATTTTAGCCCATGCCGGCGGTTGGTCGCCTTTTCGGGCCCTCTCTTGTATGATTTCCCTGCGTTTGGGATGTGGGAAGGAGGGATTTGCTTTAGTTTTTTGAGTTTTTGATTTGCAAGTGTTGGTGATTCACTGCTAAGAGTTAACTTGGGGATTGAGAGCTTTCGGTGTACTTTGTTGGTTGCGGTGCGGAAGTTGGACATCGCGTGCTTTCATGCGGCTTAGTCATTCTTTGTGTGGCTGACTATGCCGAGTTGAGTTATGCCATCATAAGGCGGAGGTGGCTGGCGAGCTGGCAAATGGCTGAAACATGTGCTTTGCTTTGCTGCTTGCCTGACTTGCATTGAGGCGAGGGAAGGATCCAATGCTGATAAAAGACAGTACAGGCGCGTGGCAGCTGTATCGTCATAAAGGAATGAATATTCAAGGACCTATGCCGTCTCTCTAAGACTACTAGGTAGGTACTTACATCTATCAAACTCGTCTATATTTGCCTTTACTTATGCTCATTCTACATGAAAAGACCAGTTGGCTGATTTTGTCAACTATCCAAACCTTAGTCCCCATCAATCGTCATACGAGTACTTGTAAATCTCACGGCTGCCACCATTGTAGGTGGTGTATGGATGTACTCTGGGTAGTGCGCGTAGGTACAGCCGATGCAAGCAACTGAGCTTCTGATGCCGGCTCGGATAGCGGATGCATGTACAGACAGACATACAGGCATTCACATCATAGCACGAGTATTTATAGTAGTAGTTCCTTGGAATAAATGTCTCGGGCCGCTGAAGCATTCCATGTCCCCGTGATGCGTCGCCCTGAAGCTCAAGCTGCTAACAGCATCCGATCAGCGCCAGAAATGCGCCGCTCCAGGCTCAGTCGAAGCGCTGCCCACTGGCGGCTCCACTAACAAGACCCGAAGTGATAGTGCTAGAGCGTGCATGACAGCGTCTCGACGTGGTTTGATCAGTTCCATTTGCAACTCCACCCGATCAATGACAACTACGACGCTTCCGCCCAACAGCTGAGCCAGCTTGTCGAGCCTTTGCCAGCCCTCCGCCTCTGCTCCCTTCGACCCTTCGAGACCGCCCAGAGCCATTGCTGCCCTCTGGGCTTCCAGCGCCAAACTCGTTTGTGCAAAAGGCGGCTGCTATCACTATCACCGTGTCGGCCCGCTTCGCCGTTTCCCCCTCCCTTGATACGCCGTTATCTTGGCCCGGCCGATCTCTCTTTGCCTCCTCTTGATACTGCACATCACCGAGTTGGAAATCCTCCCTGCCTTCGTGGTTGCGCTTCAAATCCCACCTCCCGCGTCATTGCATCCCTCCGGACATCTGTATACGGGGCCTTTGTATACCGACGCCGGACCTGGAACGAGTGGCGCGTTGACTGAAGCTTGTTGGAAGCTGCTTCAGTAGCTGAGCTGCTCGCTTGCCAGGCACGACCCCCCCCAATCCCTCTCCCCTTCAGCCTTTGCCGTTTGCCTTTTGCTTGCCCTCTCTCCTTCATCTCCCTTTTCTTTCTTTCCTTTTTTGCCTCGTCATGTCTAGTCCGGAACCGCATGGCTCATCTGGTTTCACAGACTCGGAATCGTCTGCTGAATCCCTCGATTACCAACACCAATATACGTCCACCCACGACCCCGTTCCTCCCGGCGAGGGAGGCAGCTACAACTTTTATACGCACCCCGCTCGAACATCCGTGCTAGACGCCAACGGTGAATTGCTCCTCGATCCCTCGCTCCGTCTAGGGCCTGCGCCGGCCGCAACCTCGACTGAAATGGATAACCCGGCAGCTCAGGGCGACATGGCCAACGTGTGGAGGCCGACCGGCAGCTTGCCGTCCTTTTCTCGAGCATTTGATATCTTTTCTGTGGATTCCAGTGACGACCGGTTCTTTGTGCCCTCGTATCTCAAGGGGTCGACATACGTTCAGAAGTTGGAGGAAGCGTACAATACCAAACTAGAAGCTCAGAATGAGGGCAAGCGGACCAAAGGGAATGGGCAGGATCTCAGCTCTCCGGGTCTTAGCACGACACCCCTGCCTCCTGGCTCACATAGAGGCATACTGCACTCCGTCCTGGAGAGGACGCCGTACGATGGGGATGACAGTCTGGCCCCTCTGCCGATCCACTGGAACCCAGGTGATATGTGGCAGTCGATAGAGGTGACGCCAAACTTGCTCGGGCTCAAATATGCTGGGCCCAAGAGTCACCACGAGCGCGATCATGAGGCTAGTGCTATCCGAGCAGATAATTTCATGCCTCCTCAATGTGGGATATACTACTACGAGGTGCAGATCATTTCGGGCAAACGAGACGAGTATGTAATAAGATTTCTTCCCCTCCTTCTTTTGGAGGCGGGCCATGCCGTTGATGAGCATATCACTAACCGTGGCACTTAGCACGACGATTGCGGTTGGGTTTTCTACCAGAAACGCAGCATTATCACGGCCTGTCGGTTGGGAGCCGGAATCTTGGGGATATCACGGTGACGACGGCCGGTGTTTTACAGGCCAAAACATTGGCAGGCCTTTTGGCCCGGTGTTTAACAGCGGTGACGTGATCGGGTGCGGAGTCAACTTTCGAGACCACACAGCATTCTTCACCAAAAACGGACAGATGCTTGGTACGTGTTTGCGAAATGTTCACGGTGCCGCCCGCATATCTGCAATAAATAGCTAACGAGACACAGGGGTCGCATTTCACGACGTCACCAGGAGCAGTTTATACCCGACCATCAGCCTTAAAAAGCAGGGCGAGGAAATTTCCGTCAATTTTGGGCAGTCACCTTTTGTCTTCAACATTGATGACATGATGAATGTACGCACAAAAGCTACCTCTGTTTTGTAAGGTCTTGGCAATTGCACAGGAGGACACTAACACGGTGTGTAACAGGAACAACGAGAAAACATCCAGAATGCAATTCAGCTGGCAGACACTTCGCAACTTGAGCCTGGCATGAACGAGACAGATCTCATCCAAGCACTAGTGCTGCAGTTTCTCCAACACGATGGCTATGTGGAGACGGCTCGAGCTTTTGCAGAGGATATGAAGCTGCAAAAGGAGGCCCTGAACCTGAATCCAAACGTGACGGTGGACGGCCTCAACATCAAGGATGATGAGGACGCCAATAACAGACAACGTAAGTCGATGCCGCCTTTTATTAGAGTGTGCCCCTGTCAAGTCTTTATTGACACTTTGGTCAGGAATTCGGCGAGCGATACTCGATGGAGAAATAGACCAAGCGCTCGATTACACCAATACATATTACCCGCAAGTCCTCCGCGACAACGAGCAGGTATACTTTAAGCTACGGTGTCGCAAGTTCATCGAGATGGTGCGAAGAGCTGCCGAGCTGAGCATAAAGTACGACGCCAAAAGGGGCACTGAGCTGGGCCAAGAGATGGACTTGGATGTCAACGGCAGCCACGGATGGGGAGACAACATGGAGACAGATGGAGGGGATCATGGTGCGGAGCTGACCAAGCTGGAAAACAAGATGCTAAGCTATGGCCAGGCCTTGCAGGCCGAGTTTGCCAACGACCCTAGGAAGGAGATTAGCAAGTCGCTGAACGAAATCTGGGCCTTGGTGGCATACAAAAATCCGCTCAAGGAGCCGCAGGTCAGCCACCTGTTGGATGGGAAAGGGCGGGTGACGGTTGCAGAAGAGCTGAACTCTGCTATACTATGTGGGTTTTCTCCTTGTCTACGCTTTCGAAGTTACATCTAACATGAGCTATTTAGCATCGCTGGGGAAGTCATCACGAGCATCGCTGGAAACGCTATATGCGCAGACCAGCGTGCTGCTGGAAGAATTACGAAAGGATGGCGGCCCAGGAGCGTTTGTCTCGCTGCAAGATGTGGTAGATAGCATTCAACCGTCTCAACAGGTCTGAAGAAACGACCCTGCCGAGACGTTCATCGTCCCCTTTTCAAGTTGCCCCTCGTGTGGCTTTTCGCATCTTTGGAGTTTTTGGTGCTAGGATGGTTTTTTTTCCCCCCTCTCTTCTCCTCTTCTTCTCCTCTCTCTTATCCAAATTTTGCTCCCCCCTTTTCTTCCCCTCCCCTCTTTCATTCTTTTGGTTGCTTTAGGCGTTTAGATCTGGGGTATTCTGGTAGCAAGCGGACGCAATGCGTTCACTCCTCGTCAATGGAGAAATAGGCACGGGTCAAATTAATGGCTGATGCGTGGTTGCGGTGCAGGAAGCTTGGGGCCTTTGTGTATAAGCTACAAAGAGAGGTGTCATGATAAGTAGGGTGAATGGGCTGGGTTGATCTCTTGGACTAGTGACATTTGAGCTTCTTATCAGATAGAGCCAATGTATTATTGAAGACGGAATTGCGAGGGTCTGGATTATATGGTGTGTTGATTGGATGTATTGATGGCTACACTCGCTTTTTCTTACATGGAAGAGCATCTTGCTCTTTCACTTTGGATGGTGTTTATTTATTGTACATTGAAGGAGTGCTTTAATTTGTATTTACTTGTTCCCCTAGCGCCTCGGGCCAACACCTTTCGTATAGCCTTCTCCTGTGCTCGACCAGATTGTCAAACTTGACCAGGCATTGCGCAAGCGAATAGTCATCGGCCCAACCAAACGCCTCGTCGAGGATCAAATACGTGTAGGCAAACACTTCGGCATCAAACAGGCCCGGGTCAGGTAGGCCGAAGAACCAGTCGTTGTCTGCGAGCAGTGCGGAGAGCGAGCGCAGGGCGTCAGTGGCGTCGACGAGGAGCCGGTGCGGATCGACGAGGCTGCGGCGGGTGGTTTTGAGGATCTCGTCGGTGGCGGCGTTGCGGAGGGTGTGGAGGGAGGGGAGGTAGAGGATGGGCGAGGGGGGGAGGTAGAGGGCTTTGAGGAGGGGTGTGTTTGCGTCGTGGAGGTAGAGGGCGTAGAGCTTTTCAGAAGAGGTTAGCTATGGAGAGGATGAATGATGGATAATGGGGGACATTACCCATGCGGGACGAAGGTTTTGTGAGAGGAGAGCTTCGTAGGCTTCGGTGCGGGAGGGGGGAGAGTCGGAGAAGGTTGTTTCCCTGGGGGAGTTGTCTTTGGCGTAGCGGTGGATTTTTGAGCCCGTGAGGGGGATTGTTGGTTTTGTTACGGCATTGCCGCTTGGTTGTGTCGATGATTGCTTCTCTGGGATGGATGTTGGTGTTGTTGGGGGGAGGAGAAAGGGTAATGAGCCGGAGGGAGAGGCGTGGTTGTTGGAGGGGACGAGGTGGACGTCGACGCCGGCTATGCGGAGGAATGTCTGGTTGGATGGATCAAAGTGTTAGTTTAAGATGATGAGCAATTACATGATGTTGCCATTGATATCAAAGAGCTGAGTTGTATGCTTGCTTACCTGCCACTTCAAGCACTGAGGATTGAAACTCGGCCTGCTACTGCGAGCATCCTCAAGCGTCCGCGCAAAGACGTACAGACTCGGTCGTACACGCGCCCGCTCGGGAGCTCGCTCGGGCAGAGACTCGGCCGGGAGGGTGGTCAAGGGGAAGATCTTGAACAGCTCGCGGACGGGGGCCGGAACGGCGAACCAGCCGGGGCGAGAAGACGGGGGGCCGGCCATGTGGCGGGAGGGAGGAGTCCGGGGTTTGATACTCCAGATACCGAGGCGGGGTGTGTGAGGTATTGGTATTGGAGAGGGTTGATTGGGGGGGATGATGGGTTTCAACACGAGCACCCCCTCTTTTTTTCACTCTTCTAATTCCGCTCTCGGGGTTCTTTTCAGCTAATATCGACGAGGCGATGCGAGGCTGAGGCTGAGTCGTTGTTGGTTTCGAACACGGGAGTTAGACCAGGCAGCAAGAAAGAGAATGGAAGGAAAAAATAAGGCCGAGCTTCTAGAAGGGGTCCATCGATCAACCCCGGCCTGTGTGTTGGGTTCGGGAGAAATCTCGGAGCAAAAAAAAAAAAAGAAGACGCTGGCTTGTGACGTTGCATGTCTGGGAACAAAAGGAAACTTTTTCTTCTTTCTTGTTGGGGGAGTGGGGCGGTTAGAAGCAGATTGACGGGCGCCGAGTGGGGGGGAACTTCAAGGGTCTCTGTTTTTTTCCCGATTCATTTTGTTGCTTGTAATACAGGTTTGAGTAGTATTTGGAGGATGCATCGGGGGGTATCGGGCATTTGGAGGATGAAGATGGTGTTGAGTATATCACTTCATGCTGCAAAAGGTGGTGTTGAAGCTGCTTTATGCCCGGTATGTGCCAGCATAATATCGTGATTGTCGAGCACGGTATCAGAAATCAGGTCATGGACGGGCTGTCTACAGTAGCTTGCAACCCACAGCTGCTGCAGCCCGTATCATGTACCATGCAACACGATCAAGGGAGGGGAGGGCCATAAGAAAGAAGGCCGAGTAAGAAAGAAAAAGCCGCGCGAGTCGTGTGAACGCATGTGTTGGTCGTTTTCTTCTTCTTCTCCCCCCTTTGCAATCGGCCCTAGATAAAGCATATCGTTTCGTCGAAACTCCATTTTCCCTCCACACAAACACGAGAGAGGGGTTTCCGTGGTTGGCTCAGCTGCTTAAGTTTTTTCCCTGGTTCGCCTCCTCACCCCCAAATCTCCATTTTCCAGATTTAGTTTCGGGAATTGGGGATAGTAATATCGCCCTCACCGCTCCTTGCGCGATTCGTTGTTTGGGTCAGTGATTTGAGTATGTGTGTTGTATTGCTGTCTTTGGAGACTGCTTCGGGTCTCATACAGATCAATGGATACCGTACCAACAGGTATGGAGTTTGCAAGGTGTTGCAGTGGACGGAGTTTAGAGTGCAGGGCAGCCAGCTAATGCTACAGTAGAGGCTCATGCACGTGCAGGGCATGGCAAGGCAAGGCAAAAGACAGCACAGCGCAGACCCTGAACGCTTGAGATGCAGGGACGTCCGAGGAGACCCTGGATTGGGTCCAGCCAATTCGCAGATCGCTTCTAGTCTGGCTTGTTTGCTACTAATCTAGCATAAGAAATAACGAGGCTAGTCAAAGTTTGTGAGAGGATACTGTATGGAAAATGCTTCTGCCTACAGTAGTCCCGTCAACCCGTCTTGCTCTTTGTTCAATGCTGTTGGCTGCTGTGCTCCGAAGATCGGGTTCGGTTTATCCGATCGTTTTTCTAAGGCTCGCCTTTCACTTTTTCTTACACGCACACGTACGAGTACTGTGCAAGGTATGTATGTACATTTATCGTCCCATTTGCCCACGGGCTCATGCAAGAGACGGACAATGTGGCCTCGTCTCATTCGGCCGAGCCACCGGCGTGTCACGGCAGCCGAGTTGTGACAGTAAATTGCGCGAATCCAAGCAGAGCACCTGTACAGAAATGCAAGTGAATAAATGCGGATATGACAAACAGTCGGTGCTGTGAATGGACGTCGAATCACCCCCACTCGCTGCTATTGGCTGGTACAAGCACCGACTTGGTTAGCAGGCACCTCTAGCACCCGCTGATACTGCCTGTAAGACGCCTTGAAGACGTGGGGTTTTGGCTCTCTGTCACTGTCTTGTGCTTGTGCTTGTGCTTGTTCTTATTTCATGTGTCGATGCGCTTAGGATAAACTCGGTCCAAGTAAGCAGTACAGTACATCACCGGCGGTTCAACACTTCCCCTCTCCCAAAGAGATCACCTCACTTCACTTGGAAGTAAAACAAACTGAATGATTGAATCATGAATGAATCAGTAAAAATAGCATCTCCCCATAAATCATCTCCCATTGACTCGTCCATCCTGTCACTTCACTTCACTCTGGCAGCGGTACGGTAAGTACATGCCGAGGCAAGGCCGGATCTCCCCAAAGTCCCTTTCCCCCGTAAAACCGCTGCTCAAGTCCTCCCGTGCTAGCGGCTGGCGCTGTCGTCATAACCGTGCGTGAGAACCAAGTCCATCGTAAGAAAACCGACCCGAATTAATTCCCCCCCACTGTCACTGTCCACTGTCCGCTGTCCATTGCCGGCAATCCAGAACTCGTTCAAGTTCGGTCCATTCCATAGATAAAGACTGCTCTATTCCCCTTCTTTTCCCGAACTTGATTCCATCACACTCCCCCCCATTTATCTCTCCTTTAAATTTCTCCATCAACCATCCAATCCTTTTTCATCCATCCATCGCTTTTAGACAAAGGGGGACAATAAACCACCAAAAAAGTGAGACATTGATTCATCAGGATTTTGCTTGCAGCCGACCCCCCACCAGACACACACACACACCACGCAACAAAGGGTCACTAGGCACACGAAAGAGCTCCAGCTTCTTCCCGGCTGAATTCATCCAAAAAAGCGCCCTGTCCGAGATAAAAAGCCGTCGCTTTCCACTACTCCCCCCGGAGTCAGTCCGTCATAACCTGGGAATACACTCGACTCATAACGATCAACGTTCCCCCCAGCGCAGATCCCCCATATTTTTCTCCACGTCTTAGCCAGAACTTGCGTCGCTTCCACCCTCGGGTCTTTGGGTTTCATCGTCCGCCGCTCTTACATACAACAACCAACAACACTCTCAAAACTTCTCAAATACAAAACACCATCACCACCATCATCATGGACGCCTCCTCCGCTTTCAACGCCGCCTCAAGCGCCTCCTCTTCATCATCCTCATCTACCAGGCAATCTCCCAGCTCCTCTGCCGCCATCATGGTCCCGGCCCCCGTCCAGACAAAGGCCCCTTCGACCGAGCCCTTCCTCAAGGACTTTACTCTCGTCGCCGAGGCCGCCAAGCGCGCGCAGGCCGCCGTCATGGTGCGCGACTTTGCGGATTTCAATATCTGATTCAGTCATCATCCAACTATTTTATCCGGCTTTGTCGTCATCTCATATCTCTCTTTCAAATGATTCCTCGTCGCCGATACACGCCTCTGCTGAGAATATGTCGGCCGAAGAGACAGGTTGTCAATCTTCGGCTCGGCTTGCTAGACCTCTTCGGCACTACGAGTGCGAGAGAGTGTGATGTTGAGATGGCCGTCTTTGTTTTTCACAAGCATGATCTGGGTTTTTATAAACTTGGTTCCTTTTCCCCGTTGCGATACATCTTGCTTTTTTGTCGTTCCATATACACGGGAGATTTCGGCGTCAGAAAGTGGTGCGCGCTCAGTCTTTGCGCTGTCTCTTTTATACTTGGTTAATGGGTTCTATCAGATGGATGGGACGGTGTTGGTCTACAGGGAGGTCAGGACTTTTGTACATATACACGGCTGCTGTGTTGGGATTTCATTGTTTTTTTTGTTTTTTTCCCCCCCCCTTGTCATCTTTTCTTATCATTTTCCCTCTCACATTGCATATATATAGCCAGCTATAAATACCCGCACCTACGCTAATGGAATTTGTACGAGGCTGTCATGGACGCCTCTTGAATTAATCGCCATCTCTCTTGCTTGATCTGCGTGACATCGACATCGCTTGTGAATCAAGGCACGGCAGTAATAAAATCGTACATGTCCCCGTTTAAAGCTTGGATACATGGGACACACCACCGTCCACCCGGATCAACGCTCCGTTACAGAACGCTCTGGATTCACATCAAAGTCAGTCTTCTCGACTCACAAACACGTAGAGAAGAAAATACTCACCCAGCTCGGCTCGCCAAGAACAAACTGGCTCCCGCCACATCCTCAGGCGTACCGATCCTACGCAACGGCGCCTCGCTCCGAACGTAATCTCCAACCGCCTCGAGCGTCGCCTTCATCATCTTAGTCGCAAACGGTCCGCAAGCAAGCACATTGCTCGTAATATTCCGCGGGCCTAGCTCCTTGGCCAGGACATTCGACATGTGGTGCAGCCCGGCCTTGCTGGCGGCGTACGCAATGTTGGACACGGTGGGCACGCGGATGCCGTCGATGCTGCCGATGTGGATCAACCGCGCCGGGTCCTCCGCCGTCGCCGTCTTCTCCAGCAGCGGCAGCAGCAGCTGCGAGAGGGTGAAGACGCGGTGCAGGTTCAGCGTCAAGACCTTGTTCCACGCGTGGTCCGGGAACGAGTCGATGTCGGCGCCCCACGCCGCGCCGGCGTTGTTCACCAGCACGTGGATGCCCTTGGGCTCGAGCTCGGTGAGGCGCTTCACGAGGTCCTGGCACTGGGCGAGGTCCTGGAGGTTGCCGGGCAGGGCGTGCGCGGAGCCGCCGTTTTGCGCAATCTTTGTGAGCTCCGTCGCCGCGGATGAGCAGGCCGGGGCGTCGCGGCCGGTTAGGTAGACTTTGGCTCCGTTGGCGACGAAGCCCTCGGCGATCATGCGGCCGATGCCCTTGGCGCCTGCGGACGAGAAATCATGTTAGTTAGGCATTTCGCCTGGGGGAGGAAAACGTGCCTCCGGTGACGAGGACGACTTTGCCCTATAAACGCGTTGGTGAGCTGGCTTGCATCAATGGGGGGCTTTTAGCGAGATACTTTACCTTGACGCTGAACAAATTAGTGACATCCATAGTGATGACACAGTGTAACTCTATTGTTTATTATAAAGAATCCGCCTGTCAATTGGTGTGATTTGGTGTGATTCGAAAGAAACGCAACGATGTAAGAAAACAGTAAGAATATCATCAACCGTGGAGATGGCCGATATGTCATTCAAGCTGACAAGCCGAGGCTCATGGCTTGTCGTGCCGAAGTTGCTTGTCCGCTTTGGGTAGGCGGTATCCTGGCTTTCTTCGTTTCAGGGCCCCACCGAAGCAAGCCGTGGCGTTATCGATATGCAGCTTCGTCCTTTTTTTAGTGGGTGACAGCTTCACTGTGAAAAAGATGCAGCTCTTGATGCCTTGAGATTGGAATAGACACAGACGATGGCATTTGCTGCAATGGACATATATGAATTAAATCCAATACAAGATAATTACACTACCTCGTATACCGTCTACATTTCCTAAGTCATACCGTAAGAGCAATCCCTCTCAACACAAATCCAAACCCCGAGGATGGACAACCCCGTACCCCGAACCCGAGATCCGTCCCCGCCACTAGAAGCATCCCCACGAAATCAATTCCCTTTGACCCTTCCGACAAACGGGGGAAAATGCTGGGTTTCGCTAACTAGGTCTCGTTTCCTCCAGCAGTGGATTGATAAGTGGCGCTTTTTTAATTGCTTTTTACTGTATTAGTTGTTTACTATACGTCACGTCCATTCACCCGCCGACCTGCATGTGATGATGTGATGCAGCTACTAATGCTGCGACTATTTACTAAGTCAATTAGCTCACCCTCGTCACTACACCAAGCCCAAGCATCGTCCTTGCATAACCACATTCACTACATATTACATATCCCCTCCATAACCCATCCATATCCTTCCTCTCTCCATCTCTTTCTCCTCTAATCAAAATCCCCAACACAAGTCACTCACAGACACACCGCAATGGACCCTCCCTCCAAACTCCGCGAAACCTTCGCCTCCAAGCCCGTCTCCGAGCACAACGACACCTGGGACGCCCTCTACCAGCAGTCCTTCCACCCCTGGGACCGCGCGGGACCGTCCCTGGCCCTCGCCGACCTGCTCGCCCAGCGCACCGACCTCATCCCGCCGTCCCTCGAGCGCGACCCCCGCGGCAACCCGCTCCGCGACGCCGCCGGCGCCGTCATCCGGCGATCGGCTCTCATCCCCGGCTGCGGCCTCGGCCACGATGTGCTGCTCCTGAGTTCGCTCGGCTACGACGTCGTCGGATTGGACTATAGTCAACGCGCTCAGGACATGGCTCGTGAGAACCAGAAACAGGCTGCCGCTGAGGGCAAATACAAGTCGATTGAGGAGGGCGTCGAGTGCGGTCGCGTGACGTGGGTGTCTGGCGACTTCTTTGGTGACGCTTGGGAGGGCGGCAAGGGCCAGTTTGACCTGATATACGACTACACAGTGAGCAACGAAAAAAAAGACACCTATTCAAACTTTCTATAATATGCCCCCGTTCTATGGGAAAAAATGCTGACAGCTCCAAACCCCAACTCAAACAGTTCCTCTGCGCTCTCCAGCCCTCAGAGCGCCCCAGGTGGGCAAAGCGCATGGCCCAGCTCCTCGCCCCCGGCGGCCAGCTCATCTGCCTCGAGTTCCCCTCCGGAAAGCCTCTCTCGCAGCAAGGCCCTCCCTGGGGCGTCTGGCCCGAAGTCTACGAGGCCCTCCTCGCTAACCCCGGTGAGCCCATCGAGTACACCGACGACGGCAACGTCAAGCCCAGCGCCACTCCCAAGCAGCCTCACCCGGATGCGCTGCACCGCGTGTGTCTCGTCAAGCCGCCGAGGACGCACAAGGCGGGCACAAATGAGGACGGGAGCGTCAGGGACTTCATCTCCGTGTGGTCTCGGTAGTAACGCCACTGCAGGGTTGCTGAAGTTGAAGTGTGTGCTCTTGTTGCAAGGAAGGTGACGAGAGTGCCGTATATAGATGTAGGTAGGACGGGGGCAGCGGTAAGATCGAAGCTGGGCCCCATGAGCTCCCTTTCTTCTTCCAGAAGGAGAAGGGAGAGGACAAAATAAGCTCTCCCCATAGACCTGTGATATAACATGAATACGCAAATAAAGACTCTCACGATATCGTCATGATGCATGCTCAGTCTGCCGCCGTCGTGGTTGCTGCCGCCGTCGCCCTTCTCAAGGAGTTGTAGTGCTCTCCCAGCCCATACCCATGCCGATAGTAGGCCAGCCACAGCGTCTTTGCTTCCTCTCCCTCTCCCTCCCCAATCTTCTCCGTCCTCCCGTCCTGTATCACTCTAATCTCGACCCCGTACTGTCTCGCCACGGCCATCAGCTCCAGCTGCCCGCCCCATTCCGCCGTATCCCTCATCTTCTTCGCATAACCCTCCAGATCCTCCTCCAAAAACGGTGCAAAGTCGTCTGCGTGCGCCTCCATGAACCCGGCCGCCTTCTTCCTCACCGTCCGATACGCCGGCTCCTTTTTATCATCATCAGCAGCACCAAGCGGGATGCCGTTGTGCGCAAGCTGGTCCGCCAGCGCCGCGAACAGGCAGTGGCCGTCCGGCTGGATGTCCTTCTCGCTGAGCCCGTGAGCCGCAAACTCGCCCTTCATGTATGTGCTCTCGCGCGCCCGGTGGTCCGTCATGTTGGACGCTTCTTGCTCGGCGTGCAGCATCGCGACCTCTTGTTCAGCAGCGCGCCGCGCCAGCCGCTCCTTTTGTCGGTTTCGCTTCTTGCCGGGCTGCTGCGCTTGCTCGTTGCTGCTCTCCTCCAAATTCAGCTTCGCTGTCGCTGTTTCCAGCTCTTTCGCCCCGTTCGTCGTCGCGTCGTTCTGCTGTGCCTCTTCCTCCTGCTCTTCCTCCTCGAGATCCTCTTCTACCTCTCCATTCAAGGCCGCAACCTCAGAAGCTTGCTTCTCTCTTAGTTGGCGTTCCATCTCGGCGCATTCGTCATTGACGCCCTTGCGCGTCTTCTTCGTGGCGTTCTTCTTCTTGCTTGTGATTCTTCCTTGGAGGTCTTTGAGCTCACGACGGTGCCGCGCTTGCATCTGCTCTAATGTCTCGGCCTCCATTTTGTTGTCTTTTATATGTTGATTTTGATTCTCTCTGATTTCTCTTCTTGTAATCTTTTCTTTTGTTTTTCCCCTTTCCAAACGAATGACAAATGCGTAAAGCTGGAAAGAATGAAGACAGTCGTAAGCTCGAGTGGTGGCACAAGCGTTAATGGCGGGGTTAAGTCCAACTGCCTTCAACTGATTTTCTTTTTTTTCCCTTTTGGCGGGGCCGGTGTTCGCCCCGAATCCGACCATGGAAGCAAGCATATGACAAATTGTTCATCATAGTAACACCATGTTCGCGACATTGAGTAATAATTTCGTTGTATTACGAGCGTATTGATCTCAGTTTTTACTATCTAGTGTTGGCCTTCTCTCAACATCTCCATGTTCCCAGAGAAAGGCCGCCCAATCTTCCTTGCTGAAAGGGCATTCATCCCGCCGTCCCTTCCAATCGCATCTCCAAGTCTATCTTGCTATATCCAGACCAAAGACGCCTCCAATAGCGTGAGATCATGGTGGAAATTGCTCCCTCTTGCCTTGTGTACACCCCTTTTTGTATATGCTTCGGAGTCCCCTTGACCCCTACATCCATCCGCAGACAAAAAAAAATATGTTAATACAGACGTATATGTTCAGGAAGAAAATCAGCGCCGTGCACCGCAAAAATGAATGATAAAAGCAACAAAGGAACAGCCAAAAAAAAAAAAGAAGAAGAAGAAGAAAATAGTAAAGCGGCAATGACCGTAATTCATATCAATACAAGGCTTGAAGCAAAATGTAGATGTTTATAATGTCGAAAAAGAAGGGTATCCCGTCGTGGTGTTGCTTGATCCGTTATATTTGGATCGTTGGTATATTAAAAATGAGTGTGTGGTTGATGGTTGATTTGTTTCGTGGGTTGTGGCCATTGCAGACCATTTAAAAGCCCCTAAAGGGGTCGTCTCGGAAAAAGTCCTCCTCTCCTGCTGTCTTGCTTCCGCTGAAGAATTCGTCTGATCCCCGGGTGCTCCTTGACAGCTGGGCTCGACGGCGATTTCGGCTGCTGCGTCGGCGAAATTCTTTACTCTTCTTTCGCGCAAGCGCTCTGTAATCATCTTCACCTTCTTCTTGATATTCGTTATACTGCTGGTATGCATGAGGGCTAATAAACGCCTCCATGCGCACAGTACCTATGGCATCAAAGAAGTTGCCTTGCTGAGATGATACCGTTGACAACGGTGTTTGGGTTATACCCCAGCTGGCAGGAGATCCTTGTGACTGGTAAAGTTCAGAAGAGCCAGTCGTCTCGATGCTGGCACCGGCCGTACTGTTTGAAGAGTGGTGGCTGATTTCACCAAGAGTCGGCCCTGAGAAGCCTCGGAAAGATAGCGGCGGGGCCACACGACCTCCTGTGTTGCTACGCTTGCGGCCATGATTTATTGGCGTATGGCCTGTCCGATCATTGAAGCGAGGTATCATAGGTGGTTCGGCGGCATCTACCGAGATTTCCCTCGAGTGCCCGACTCCAGTCACGGACTCTGCCACTCGAAACCTGGAAACATCGCCCATCCGTACGGTGGGAACATCAGGGATGCTAGGCATGCTCGCCAGCTCTGTCTTTGGCGGACCTGCTCGGCCCTTGGCCAGTCGAATAGAATCTCGTATTCCTCCTCTCGTCAACTTCGTAGGGCGTGGCGGTTCAAAGTTCGGGAGAGGGTGCTGCTTAACCGAGAGGTGTTGTTGGGGCTGGGCAGGGAGGACGTCGGGCACGGCTTGATAAGAATGGGCCAGGAATGACAACGCCGTCAGCCAGAGATAATGTCTCTCAGCTGTAGGCGCTGTGAATTTGAGTGCTCGCTGTGGTGTGAGGATAAGGATTGATCGGTTGAAGATGGGCGTTGTAGCACCTCGAGGTGCCGGGTTGTCATCTTTCACATCGAGGACCGATTGGATAGCAACTATTCGAGTATGTTAGTATTCAACGGAAATTCTCACTTCAGGGGCATACACTTACGCTTGCGACCCGTCTTTCCTAACAGAGCACTGCCGGAAGATGGCTGCTTGCTGCTCCATAGAATAGCTCGCTCATACGGTGCTACCCAGACCCATCGCCTGTGCCTATCGTTGCTGTTCTCATCTTTATGGCCTGCGTCTCCAACGCCAAATGACTTCCTTCTGCGAACATACTTGAACATCCATTCTCCAACCATGGTCTGAGCAATCGCATCCACGACTCCCGGGGTTTGTGAGCTTGCCTGGGATACGGCCTCGGATTTGGCAGTCATGACAGTATTGTTGGATAGCTGATGGCGATGCCTCTTATATGTGCTGCCTTCTCGGTGGCGCGGCGTCGTGATATCATTTTGGGGCAGGGGAGGGAGACCGGGACTTTCAGGGGCTTCAGTGGATGGTGATAGAGGTGGTGTTCGGCTGCCTGTCCTGCGGTGACGTTCATGGTGTGGCAGAGTGTTTGCGGAACGAACACGACGAACATGAACGCTGTTTGCATAATAAGTACGGCTACCGCTTCGGCGATGCCCGCTAATGCTTGATGGAGTGCTGCGCCCATCGCTTGGGATACTGGTGCTGATGGATGGCTTCCGTGAGCTGGCTCGGGCTGGGATAGGAAATGGTGCTTGATTCTTGGGCTCAACAATGGTAGGGTAGTTAGCCAAGCCTGTCTGAGCCATGGTAGCCTTTCGCGTGACGCTGTTGCGGCTTGATGGACCTGGTGCAGGCGCTGGTGACTTTTCGTTGAGCCTGCTTGATCTCCCGGACTGGGGCTCATTCTCACCAACACTATACAGGTCGGTGCTCCTTACTGATCTTACAGACGTCCTACCAGAGCGCTTGGAATGTTGATCAGGTGAAGTTGCGACTGTACCCACTGAACTTCGCTTATTGGTTCGGCTCAGATTAGATGGAGGTCTGGGGGCCGTCAAGGCGGTTCGATACTCAGAATCGCTCATGTCCAGCTCGCCAAACTCGTCAATCTCATCCGAATCGGTATAAAAGCCGGAGAACAGGCTGCTGAAACGGCGAGGTGGGATTATTGGACCGCGTTGGCTCGATAGGAGAAGATCATCGTTGTAGTCGTGTAAATCATGGTCATCCATTCGGAGGCTGATGGGGGAAGACGGAAGCTCGGTGCTATACCGGCTGTTTTCCAGCCGTCGAGGGTTTCGAGGAGGTAAGCCGCCAGCAAGAGGATTGGCGCTCTTGTCGGGAATAGCAATGCCCGAAGGATGAGGCGAGGTAGGACGGGAAGTGATAGAAGACGGCTGAAGATGGGCTGGAAGAAGAGCCAGTCTCTTGTCTGTCTGGATTGCCTCTGTTTGAGAGCTCGAGTCAACCATATCGCCTTTAACAATGATATGGACTTGGCATCCAAAGTCTTTGAAATGTTGGGGTAGCTTCGGAGTGTGCGGCGAGGTAGGCCGGCTAGTTGGTGGTTGAATGCTGATGCTCGGGATATAGATTGGAGGTAGCGCAATAGGAGCAACTACGGGAGCAGGAGCCTCGGTCTGCGTCGAAGAAGTCGTCATCTTCGGTTCAGGCTTCGGCGTCTCGACCTCCACAGGGGAATCCTCGCGCAGCTCGTACACTGAATTTGGTGTCTTCGGAGGGGTTAAAGGAACCTCAACCGTCTGCGAGGCTGATGACACCATACGTCGGGGTGTGGCGGGCGGTTCGATAACAGGGGGTAGACTAACTCTCTTCTTTCGCTGATTTGCTTCAATTTCGGACGATCGCGGGGGTGTCTCTTCATACGGTTTCTTTTCGACTACCTCAGAAATGACAGACTCCAGTTCAGGAGATGTCATCACTTCCAGTGTAGGAGAAGGTGGTGGAGAAAATTGGATTCCTGTATCAGCGTAAGAGCTCTCAGAAGCAGGTGAGTGCTGAACGCCTGTATCAGCGTATGTGGGCTCAGAAGTAGCTGTGTACTGAACTCCAGTATCAGCGTACGAGGTTGTAGAGTTAGGTGCATCTTGAACTCCTGTGTCAGTGTATGAAGACTCGGAAGCTGTGGAGTGTTGAATTGCTGCATCGGTATATGAGGGTTCAGGAGTGGGAGAGTATTGAATTCCAGTGTCGGTGTATACAGGCTTGGGGGTGGAAATAGGAGCTGTAATGGTAGCCGGAACGGGAGCCGGAGCCGGAGGAGAACACTGGACGCCTGCATCACTGTATCTATGCTCAAAGTCAGGAGAGCACTGGACTCCAGTGGTGCTGTATGTATAGTCGGAAACAGGGGAGCACTGGACTCCAGCGTTGTTGTACGAAGTTTCAGAAGCAGGAGAAGATTGAACTCCAGCGTCAGCGTAAGATGGCTTAAAGGTAGCGCGAGTACGAGCCGGAGCAGAGTCTTCTCCCTCGGTTTCTTCATCTTCGCCTTCGAGAGCCTCTAGAACTGATTGGTTCATGAAAACTCTGCCACGTGCAACGCTGCCAGGACGCTTCACGCTTTCAATGCTCTTTGTCCTTCGATGAAGCTTGCTAATGACACTCTCACGGCTAAATGTTCGCCGGTGTTGTTGTCGTGGGCTTGAGAAGACGCTTTCGCGCCCGTCAATGTCTGTCTGGTCATCCGTATCATCAAACTTGAGCTCATCTGCCAGAGAATAGCCATTGAGAGAAAAGCCAGGTCCATTGGCCAGGGAATAACGAATGCTGCTTGTGAGACTCATTGTTCTCACGCTGCCTGTGTCATTCTCCCTACCGCTGTCTTCTGCATCGCTCTCATGGCCACGACCCTGTTGAGAGGCTCCATTTGCGTGATTCGCCTGATAGGCTGCGACCTCATCAAGTACCATTTTGAGGCGGCTTTCCGCCACATGGATTCGCCGCTCATATTTGCGCTTCTCATCTTCCCAGTTCTCTTTTTCTTCGGCCCACTGTTCATGAACTCGCTGAGAATCTTCCTCTTGGATACGAAGTTTCTTTAGGGCTGCGTCTAGGCGCTTCTTCGTATCAGTCGCTGAGTCGACAGCCTCGTCTCTTTCTCGTGAAAGATCGCCCAACGCTGAAGAAGTTCCACCCTCTAGTAACGACAGCTGCCGTTGCAACGAGCGTGTCTCCTTGGTTGCTGCATTTACACTGTCTTGCAGAGCGTCCTGCTCCTCTCTGCTTGCTTGGAGTGTACTTTCGAGACTCTCAATAACCTTGACCTTTTCTTCTTGGTCTCTCCTCAGTGACAAGATTTCGGACACCAAGTTGGCATGCAGAGTGGGAGTGAAGCGTCGTGGATCAAGGATGCTTATTTGCTCGTCGGTTGTGATGTCCCTTGAGGAACGCTTGGAGGTGTTTCCATTTCTTGACGGCGAAATTTTCTTCTTTGCTGGAGGGGTGATTGAACGTGCTGAACGCCTCGACTTCCTTGACTTAGTCGAAGGTGTTCTATAAGGAACGTACTCTCGCGCAGGCAGCGAGACTGCGGCCTGCGCATTCATGTACTCGTCGTCTGTCCACGCCGACATTGCTGCTAAGTTGAGTCAATGCAGCTACCTAGTTTTAGGCCTGTATGTGACGGGTAGCAGTCAGTTGATAACCAACCTTTGTCATAGGCGATGATCCTTCCATTCAACATTAGTATTTTGCAGACATAAGCTGGTCTGAAATGTCTCAGGGTTCATTTGTGCTGAAGGGTTCACTGCCGTGATACATCCAAAGCAAGGGAAACGACTTACAAGACGGCACAAATGTCTAACAGGCAATCCCTCTGGCTACTGTGCACGCCGCAGGTGATGTGAGCCAGTGGCTGGGTACTAATGTCTTGCTTTCGAAGTCTAAAACACGCAATTCGTATGAAAAAAGGAAGTCGTCGAGACTGTTGAAAGAAATTCGCTTCAACAATGAAAAAGCATTGGTTATGGGGAGGCGGGGGAATGAGAGGTGATGGTTTTCTCAAACGGTTCGGTTACTCGATCTAGTCGAATGCGAAGGGGAATTTGGAATGAAACACGGAGATGCCGAACGGTAGCAAAAGGGTCTCGACGCCGGTATTCGCAATGAAGTGCTAATGCAACGATTTAAATAAAGAAAACGGGGAGAACTGAAGCAATTAAAGGCGTCAGTTTGTCTTTGGAATTCGTAGGGCTAACGAGGCAGCTGGCAACAAAGAGCAAGAGGGCGTCGCCTGTTCCTGCCACATGAATCTCACCTTTGGACGCAAGGGAAAAGAAAAGGAAGGAAAGAAGCAAAACCGCCTGAAAAGGCTTCGTGGATAGTTTTCTGAATGTGTCTTAATCCATTGAAACACAACAGACGCCGAAAAAGAAGAAAAGCAAAGCCGGCTTCTAGTCGGACAACGCTCCTGCAAACTGCGTGGCGTACGAAGCTGAAGATTGTCGCTGGAGCAGCCAGCAACACAAAGACACGACAAACGGCGATAACGACAAGTACAGAACAGGAGACGGCGAGACGAAAAGATAATGACGAGGTATTCCGCCGGGGTGCCGGGAGAGCAGGAGGCAGGGAGTATTAATTGTCCACATCCACTTTGCCTGGTTGGTTGACGCGCGATCGGGGTCGACTCTGTCCATGTGGGCCGTGCTTGAGGCGATCCCAGGACGCTGGAAGCTTGGGAACAAGGGCCAGGCAGATGGAGGGCTGTCTGGACTGGCTACGGACTGGCTACGGACTGGCTACGGGCTCGCCCAAGCTGAGGAGAGGCTTTGCTACTGTTCTACCTTGCTGGTGTGAGCCTCCTTGAGTCCCTTGAGTCTGGGGTCAAGTGCTGGCCGTGCTCGAGCAAGTCTTCAAACCACTCTCCCCAGAGTATCTTGGTCCCTTTCCAGATCATTCATGCAATCTAACATTATACAATGCAGAACCTGGACTTTGCCTCGCACGAGAATACGCCAGCAGATGGCCGCATATGCACACCACTGCAAGCTGCCCGGCAGGCATCTCCAAGGGCCCCCTCCTAAATCTACCGCAGCATCCATGATTATCCCTCCTTGAAAGCTGAAGGCACAGGACTTGCTTGTTTTCTCTCTTCACCCTGCCCCCCTGCAAGCTTGTTACCCTCTACAGACGCTGTACCGCTGCATCATTGGCCAGGGGCCTGCGTCGGTTCTCTCATCCGCGCTGGCCCAAGCGTCCACTCCCAGCATGCTACTCCCAGTCCTGATTAGCGGTCCTCAGTCAACGCCAAAAACGCCCACCAGACGAGTGGCTAATATTCGTCCTAATAACCCGATGGCCTGTCAGGTTCCCCCTTCAGCTCAGAGCCACCAGTATTACAGCTGCTGTTGGTCTGGCAGATGGCGCGGTGGCGTCTCATTCCCGGCCGCAAAGCGTAGGATCCGGCCAGTGGCTTTCTTTATTTTGTTTCACCATTGTCCGGTGCGAGACCGAATATGATACGGCAACATGAGTGTGCCCGCTCCTCGTACGGAATACGGTTGACTATCAACGCACCCGGATTGGTGACGGACTGAGGGCTGGTAGAAATTATCACCAGCATGGGGCTTCCAGCTCTTACCTTGTATGGGATATTGCGCCGGCCTTTTCTTATATGAGGGAACAACGTTAAATTATGTAAAGAGCCAACGGTCTTGGAATGGCCTAACTTAATAACAGCAATAAGGAGGGCCCTCGGCTACGTACCGTTGAAAGTGGACGGCGACACTTGATCTCGCGGAGGCATTCATTCATGTAAGCCAGCGTGGATGCACGGCAATATCACATATGCAAGGCTACCGGTGTCACCTGGTTGGATCCCTGTCAGGACCACCCTCACGACATTATCCGAAATCGCGCCTGTTCAAGTGTATGCGCGGATAGGAGGAGCATCCTGGCTAGAGCGAATGTTTCTAGACTACCATGCTTGTACTCGTAAAAGTACTCGTATGGAACTCCAGGTCCAGGATGACACTCGCCACGGCGGCCGATGAGCAGCCACTACATTGCTTCTCCAGGAAATGATGGGAGGATTCGCAATTGTTGGCCCAAAGTTAGTCTCATTATTCGGTCATCATTCAAGGTCCGCGAGCCGTCATCACCAGTACTATTGGTACCCCATACAATGGACTGTGCCTACGAGTACTTTACTTCCTCCCCCTTTACGGACGGGTACACGTCGCCGAGTCGCCTGCGCTACGGGCCGGTACTATGGTGAGACTCTGCTGTGTCAGTTGCCCTCTCGACCGAAGCACACGGGCGTGATGTTGCAACAGAGTACGAGTACACACAAGTGCCTGTACCGGGTTTATTATGAGCTCTCCCACCATGGCGGTGCTCGGCTATTTTCCACGCTCTCGAATCCTGAGCGCGTACCTTGCATCGTCCTGCAGATTCTACGATGCTACTTGCGCAGTACTTGCTGTGCTCCATTCTTCCAAGGTTATGGGGAATGCTGTCCGTAGGGGGCATAGCACTGCTGGTAGATCGTACACGTGCCTGGCATTGCGCTTGTATGGAAGTCACTGGTATGGGGTACGGGTTGGCTCATTTACTTTAGCTGGCCTCCCTGGCTGCTTTGGAAATTAATCGCGACCAGGGCCACTGTTCTTCGATTTCAAGAGGCCCGAAACTATGCTGGCCTAGGAAGCGGGCCGAGCTTGGCAAACCAGCCCGGTCCTCGTGCTCTTTTAGGGGAACCAACCTTACTTGGTACGGTCCATCCCCAGTTAATTGAGCAGACATGGGGATAATGGTCCTGCTGATGATTTTTTTCTTTTTGGCCCGCATGTTCATCGGGGTCGGCATGACCGAAACCATCAACAGATACGAGTGCAAGTTTCGTACACGGGATATTCTTGTGATGATCTTTAATTGTCTGACAGCTAGGTTATCCATGGCGAGGCTAAGTCGCCATCAGAACGTTAACAAAACGATATGAATCTTGCTCCGTGCGCACGGCATTTGAGGCTCTCTCCACGGAGACAGTCAACTGACAGATGGCGCCGGCGTCTCGTCGAAGCCCCTCAATGGCACGGACAGATGACTTGAGCAAAATGATAAGTGGCAAAGGAAGATTTTTGCTTTTTATCTCCCGTCCCTGCTGTCGAATCTAGGCCGTTCGTAGTCCCTCCACAGAAGACGGACGCCGATCATCAGCCTTTTTGGCCAACTCACTTGTACCCACCTGGTATTAGCTGTTGGCAAACAAGCTACCACCAAATTACGGAATTGCCAGACCTTTTTGTTCCTTCATGCAAACCTCATGTCATCTGAGGGTCTTTCCAGCCGATGATTGATTAACTCAGCGGGCCATATGCAGGGGAACATGAACGGCCAGAGCACAACTGCATGCTTCTCTGTCTTAATAGGAACTCCCACTAGCAAACGCGGCATACTCCACCTTTCCAATATGCCGCCACTACATCAGCTCTCTTGGTGCTAGTCGAGCTCGCTCCCTCAGGTTAGCCTGAGATGTGATGGGTGATAGGGCGATTACCATGCTCCTGCAATTTCTCCGCTTTCTACTGCTACTCCACCTCCATCCTGAACGACTTACAGCACTAATACAACAAGTTCTGTCTGTTTTCTTGCTCGCCAATTACATGTCTAAAAAAAGAAAAGAAAAAGAACAAGGAAATGAAGTTGCTAGGCCGCTAGATCTGATACTTACGAGTGCTGTTCGGCCTTGTCCAGTACAGAGACGAGTACGGTAGCCCTCATCGCCATTTATCTAGCTGTAGCTATGGCATATCGGCCGTAGTCTCTCTGTGTCCCATTCACACAGAGGTGGGAGTTTGAGAGGCTTCGATAGTTGTTGAATCCGTCAACATTGACAGAGGTTACATGTTCAGGGCTCAAGCATCAAGCAGCCAATCTCCAGACGTACCGGTGGAACAGAGAAAGCTACGAAATACTACCCCCGCCTGCCAAGTCCATAAACTATTGCCTTCTTAAACGCCCCGGGGATCCAGATCACTTTCCCAGGGTGGAAAGATCAGCATTCAATAGAAGCCACAGGCTACTTTCTTACATTCAGCTGAGTACAACCAAGACGGAGCTGAACTGCCCTGGACATTGAAGAAGCGCCGCCTAGTACGAGTACATACGTAGTATGTGGTACAGGGAATCACTCTGTACTCTACCGTGCAATCTTTTATATGCTACCACAGCCAATAACTTCTGTGCCCACCGAACAAACCGATAGCAGATCATGAATGCCACTTAACCCGGGGCAAGGGTGTCACGGGGAGACCAACTCAAACATAGCGGCATGCCGGCAGCAATAGCCGACCTAGCGGACATTGCCTTGAATGTTTCACTTAATTGATGGGCCAATCGCCTCAATCAAAGTGTACCGTTGAATCTACGAGACATAATGATGAGGCCCAGGCAAATCTGAGACTATATCAGCCGCCTGCACAGCGGGACGTTGGCCACCATTGTTCCGGGCCGTCCATCCGCGTCCTCCTAGTGATGCCTGTTTTTGATATCATTGTGTTCTTCCGCAATTGCTATGGCGGGGACTGGACTGCCAGCTTGTGGATAACGAGGTATTCCCGGAGATGCCGTTGGTATGGAGATGTGTCGACAACATACTCCGTACTTGTACAAGGTTTTGGAAATGTACTCCTTACTGGTCTGCGTTGGTGCTCACCTTTCCTCGCCTGCTTGGGGTTGGTATCCGGCTAAGACGCCTTCCACATCCCCGCACGATCACGTTTTCATCGGGATTGGTAAAACGGTATGATAGTACATCTTTTCCCTTTTTGCCGTTGGCAAGTTGGCCGTCTATGTTCTTTTGTGTTGTTTTCGAGGCTCCACGCGCTCTCGTCACAAAGGATCCCGCTCGAGCCGTCACTGTCACGGTAACACAACATTTACAATGGGTACTGAAGGGAGTTTTCTATTTAAAGAAGTAAAAGGCCCGTAGGTATGTTGGATCTCGGTCTAATGAAGAGCGTGGCTTTCCTTTCAGCTATCTCGGCGGCTTGTTGGTCACACACGAAGTCTACTCTGGCCTTGAGAAGCTCAACAATATCACAGTGCTGGCAGTCACTCTCATAACTGTCAGTCATGAGTACCTTACACTTTAATAGGGCGGGCGTTGGGGGACAAGGGTAACAAATGACAGCCGCAGTGGCATCCACATGTCAGTCAACTTATTTCATCGAGCCTCGACTAGTTGGGAGTTGGCTGCTAATATTAGGCAGGCCACGAGCCTAATGGGGCTCGTTGAGGCTTTGATCGCCTCCAGTCCAGCGGCAGTGCGATGGCGGGCGTTTCAAATAAATGGTTGGTCCTTGCTCCAATGACTTTATTTACTCTAGCTTGCGTTTGCGGAGCAATCTCCTGAAAAGATTGGCACATAATGCTCCCTCTGACATCAAGAATGCTCTATCGTATCCCTGACTCGTCGTCATCCTGCGACTGACCGGCTGCCTATCAAGACTCAATACGTGATAGTGGCTTGCGGGAATACATGTGGCAAATGTGCCATGTGCAATGAGATGCATTCATCACAGTGGCTTGTTTGATGTAAGTGCGTCACACTCGGCTACGGGTTGATTCCAGGCAACGTCTCTGCAGATGATGAAACTCGGTTATGTACCGGTAAGGAGTGCATGGTGGCTTGGGCCAAATCTTGTCGGGGTTTGCTATTAAGCTATTACGATGCTTATCAAACCTTGAGAGTTTCATTGAGTTTGCAATACCACCTACCAAAGGAGTGCAGTGATGGTATGTTGCGCATGGAAGGTTGTATCGTGTCGGTTGGTATACCGAGGCCACTATTCAGGAACTCGCATCGCAACCACTCTTTGACTCTTCCATTTCTTATTCAGTAAAAGCATCTATACTATTATATCAATTAGTCTTCCCAAGTCGAATGATAATCTGCATCTTTTGACACAGATCTATAGATAAACGGTGGAAGTGGTCACTTACACATGGTGAGACGCCTCCCTCCTTACCCTACAACACGACGAGGAAAGGGCATCCGCATTCACTGCATGTCTGTTTTCATGTGAGAATTTCAGTATCTAACGACGTATTATTAGCCGTCTTGTTTTCATTTCTGTTGATATAGGCTTTATGATGAGGATTGGTGGGTTGTCGATGGCGACATTTAATCATGTGATTTTGTAGATCTAAACTTTAACCTCGGCGACGCTTCATCAACTGCAAGTATGACTCAAACCCAACATAACGCTGGCTTCGAGTATATCGATGCCGAGACAAATCTCTAAATTCAACTTCTTCCTGGCAAGCCTCATGTAAAAATAAAGCAAATACACAAAATACACAAAAAAGCAGAAAATCAACCATGCCCTCAAAAACCTCACCCCTCACCAACATCAAAGCCCTCCTCTTCGACGTCTTCGGCACCGTCGTCGACTGGCGCTCCTCCGTCACAGACGAAATCTCCCTCCGCACATTCCGCAAGCTCTCTTCTCAAGAAAACCCCCTCCCACCTGCTTTAAAGACCCGTCTCGAAGGCCTCACGCAGCAGGACTGGGACCGCTTCATCCAGGAATGGCGGGATTCGTATAGTGCCTTTACGAGATCTTTCAACAAGGACACGGACGCCTGGAAGAGCGTCGACGAGCATCACCGCGATAGTCTCGTTGAGTTGCTTGGAAAATGGGATCTTGAGGGCTTATTTACTGAGACGGAGATTGAGAGCTTGAGTCTTGTGTGGCATCGTCTTACGCCGTGGCCTGATTCTGCCGATGGCCTTGCGGAGCTGGGACGCAGATATGCTACCGGCACGCTGTCCAATGGAAACACCAGCCTCTTACGCGACCTCGCCGACTTTGGCGGGTTGTCCTTTCAAAAGATCTTCTGCGCTGAGACGTTCAAGACTTACAAACCCGACCCGGCAGTGTACCTCGGCGCCGTGCGAGCGCTGGGCTTGCAGCCGGAAGAAGTGGCCCTTGTGGCGACGCATCTCGGGGATCTTCACGCCGCTAGAGCTTGTAGGTTGCGGACAATCTACGTCGAGAGGGATAGGGAGGAGGCGTGGGGGAAGGAAGAGGACCGTTATATAGAGGCGAAGAACTGGGTGGACTTGTGGGTGACGGAGGGGGAGAATGGGCTGCTTACTGTTGCGGAGAAGTTGGGGGAACTGGAGTAGGAAGAATGTGATAGATGACGGGGAAAAGAGGGTTGTGAATATGTGGAAACTACTGGCTTCGCTGGATTTGGGGATTGAGTGGATGATTGGGGTTGTTGAGTGTGGGGATTGAAGACTCCGTTTTGATATACGAGATGTCTTACTTATAACGAGTTGCCATGATATGAAACGAATATAAACCCGAGTGACGGTAACTACTCGATTTGGAGGGCATATCTTATAAGACTGCCTGAGTATTGGCTGTGTAGTTTCATTACTCTTTGGACTATTGAATTGCATTCATTCTGGCAGCCTCGGAGCGGGATACGAGATAGATGAGTTACGATATTACCTATGTATAGCTTTAGCCAATTGCACACGCCCACTTACACAGACTGACTGATTCCAAATGGATTTCAAGAGAAGCTCAGGTCTGGTTGTCCTGGGGCGAGACTTCAGAATCAGTAGATCGTGGCAATCTAGGCTCTCAGTCCCCTTGACGATTCACTCCAATGTCATGCAATACATATACGGGTGTCTACAATACGAAGGGAAAAGGAGGGTCAACTCAGCCACTGCATGATACATGATACGGATCCAGCGAGCCACAATCTTGCGGCTTGACTTATAAGACGGGGCTTGCTCCCAATCATCACAACAGGCTGTGTCTCCCGAGTTCTCATTGGTAGCAGTCTTTTTCTCCCACAGCCATTGAAAAGCTTGGAAGCTAGAGCTCAACAAATACACGCTGACTTGTTGAATTCATAGCACCATGTCCCATTGGCTCCCATTCGGGAACTCCCGCAGCTACAGGAAACACTCTTGATCCTGATACTGGGGAGGAGCGGAACCCTGGCAAGGGCTTTTCGGATACTGCCGCTGATGCAATTTAGTTAGACGTGATACTTACTGCAGGTGTTGTGGAGATTCCTGGCGGGCTCTTTCGTACGAGTACAGCTTGGTGTTCATGTGAAGCTTGCGTGATACAAGGTCAGTCGTATTGCGCCGACGGCCAGTTAAGTTGCTCCAGCTGGACAAGACATGCATCGCATTTTGTTGTACGCATACTGGTACAGTCATCCATCTTTTTCTCCCAACGATGGCCAAGAATGCGAAAAAATCCGAAAAAATCCGTGACCCCCACCACGCAGCTTACTCGTCTCAATGAGGTGACCGACGACGTTGGAGTGAATCCTTGGGGCATCTCAGTTTGCCCGAAAGCTAGCACGAGAGATGGTAATGGGCCGCTTCGGGTGGATGAACCTTGCATTCGGGATCGACTTGCTGCTCGCGGGTAAGCATCACCCGCGTGCCGGTATGCAGGAAAGACGTGGGATGCGAGGGTTAGCCAAAACATGTCGCCGGATAAGCCCGGTGGCCAGACCGGGAAAAAGGACCTTGACCAGACGACATGCTTCCCCGCGCTGACGCAGTGGTACAGTAATCAGAGCAGAGAATGGAGGCTTCGCGTGCATACGGAATGCTATAATCAATAGTAAGAGTGAGAGTAAGGATAAGTAATGGTAGCATGTTGTGCTAGCACGTCCTCCGGCGAGTATTGCGCGGCCAATCGGTGAGGAGGGCCGTGGATGGCTGCCAACCAAGAGTGGCAAATATTGCTCTGTCCATAAGCGAGAGAGACGCAGATAATCCCCGACGGGCGTGACTTGTCTGGGTGCTGATTTGGAACAGAGTATATCAGATGAGGCTATGCAGGTCTGACTTATCTTTAGCATGCCATCTGCATGGGATGAGATGGCAGAGTGGAAGAGCAACCAAAGGGAGCAGATATGATTTGCCAACGCTCTGTATACTGCAACTGGTAGTCACAAGCGCAAGGTTCGTCATGTCATCGTACAGGTGCCCGGAACAGTACTAAGAAGACTGACTGCTTGTAGAGCATCATATCCACCAATTCCTCTGGTCGACTGCGTGTTGAGCGGATGTAGTTTGCGGTCTGCCGCTGCGGGTCGTGCTCCATGTGCTCAGCAAGGCTAAGCTAGGCTCCCACGCACGCGGCGGGAGGTTGGGGGCATACGAGCACAGATAGATACAGAATGCCGTTGCCGCCTCTCGGAGACAAAGGGAGAAGAATGCCATGTTACTGGCTGAAGGCGAGGCGCCGTGGTCTGTCTTTGCCCTTGATGGGGCTGGAAGCTGCGGCCTTGATCTCAACCCGGAGAGCCCCATATTCTGTACTGTATTCCGGACTAGTGCGCTGTGTGTTGACTGCAGAAGCACTTGTCTCGTGAGCCTTCAGCCTTCAGCTTGGATGGGGTACCGACAAGCACGAGCAGGCACTGCTGGTCGTGCGTGTAAGAAGCTGACGAATTGATAGGCGGGCATTCCCAGAGCAGGGACATGGCAGCTGTCATCTCACAAGAGAGGCAGGCTACATGCCGACTCTGGCAGGATGAGAGAGGAGACTGCATCCACAGCTTACTCTGCGGTGGGTTCGTGCTCTGTGCCCCCGTTCACGCACGGCCATATGCATAAATGTGCGAAGCCGATGCGAGTGACTTGATGCTCTCCAGAAGTCAGTCAAGCACGTCAGCAAGAAGCGTCAGTGCTGGAGCGGGAATGGTTTCCAAAACGAGACGCTGATGTGGCAAAACGCTGTCTGTCCGTAGCCGGAGGGACTGCGGCTGCTGCTATGAGGTTTTGCTGGTGCTTGTCCGGAGCACTCAGCTCAGCTCACCAGATATGACAAGAGAGCGATTCTTCCACCCCCGTCTGTCTTTTCGTCTAGCCTCTTTCCGTCAACGCTGGCCTGGCATTATGGGGGGCAAACAGCGAGGAAATCAGACCATTGATCTCATGGTCCTTGTCCGCGCGCCTGGTAGCGGCTTTGCTGGGATCTCGGAATGCGAATGTAGCCAGTCTGGAGTTACGAAAAGCACGACTACTGCGACTACTAGCACCGGTACGAGCAGTCGCGCGCTCACAACTGTCCATGTACGAGTACGACTAGTGCCCTAATAGTACAAGGTAGGCGCTCAACGGACAGCCGAGCGTGTGAAGCTGCGGTTCCGACCGCTAGCTCGGCCGGCGCTGCAGATCGACGTCTTCTGAGAGGCTCGCTGGTGAAGCTGCAGCCATGCTTCCGGCTCTGCTGGCATGGAGCATGTCGCTTCCGCAGTCGCTCCGCGCTACGGATGCAGCGTTGCTTTGGCCCGTTGGACTTGTACGAACGAAGCCGCCGTGACTCGTTTGTCCTTGCGTCGAGCAGCTTTCTGCTCTGGCTGGCGGGCAAGTGAGGGTAGCAGTAGCGTATCGTGTCGGTCTTAATTGAGGCTCTCGACCATTGGATTGGACTGGACTGAATGCTGACTCTCGGCGGCAGGCAAACGCTCGCTGTTATCGGGTCGCCCCGGCAGAACTCATCACATCTCCATGGACGCTCGCCAGACTTGCAGATTTGCAGCCAGGCTTGCGAGCGACACAAGACAAGACACGACTGGGACTGGCTCCTACGAGTACATACTCGTACATACATGTAGGCTGGGGCTTCGGGCCCCGCAGGTTGGCACATGTCGTGCTCGTGTGATAGCAGCATCTATCCCATGAGAGGCTTCCGACTGGTTCGGCTCGCAGAGGCGTCAATGGCGGTTGGCTAATATGCTGCTGGATGATGTAAAGGGCAGCGGTTGGAGGTTGGCCAACCAGGCATGAATGAGGCAAAAGTGCTGCCCAACCAAAGTGGCTCAAAGCTTCAAGGTGCCAAAAGGATTTGGATTCAAATTCGATTGATCCGGAGTGCCGTACCAGTACAATCCACTAACACAAGAGAGCATATAGAGACCTACCTGTAGTAGGTAAAGAATGCGCTGTCTGCTGGTACTGATACTGCACGTCCATTTAGCATTGATTGACTCAAATTACTCGGCACATTTCCGTGCAGTATACCTGGCTCCTACTCATACTAACCCACCAGGCACAGCTCCTACCACGGCCGCATTTTACTGTGTAATTACATTGCAGATGCATGCCGTGATCCTCCAATGTTACAGATATTGTACTTTAACTTTACAAAGCACGAGAATCAGGAAGAGAAAACAATTGCTGGGCAGTATCGTTGTAAGGCCAAGGAGAGGGCCTCTTGATATTCGTACCACTGATAAACATCACAGTAGTACTAAGGTACATTGATAGATTAGTACCTGGTAGTGCTAGCAGGACCAAGGTATCTTAAGGTAGTACTGTACAGGCCTCGTCCATGGGCTTGGTTGTTTCCGGCTCGGACTTTATCTCGATGCAACCCGTTCTGCAACCTGAACATTTACAGGACAGTGGCACTTACTCGTACATGTAGTAGTATAGTAGTATCGATGAATTGGTCCATACAGCGTTTCTAGCACTTGGCACTACTATACTTCATGTTGTCTCTTGTCGTCTCGGTCGGTACTATCCAATGCCTGTTGACCTAGTAGACGCTATAACCTTGGCAGATCCTTTTTGCGCCGCTTCTATCAATGGCACTCGAGATGTGCATACGTGGAATTGGTCCGACGTGCCGATGGTTTCCCGTGCCGCGCACTTCTGACATAATCCCAGCGCCTACGGAGTACATACACAAGGATTCAAACTGTCTGTTACTCGCAAGTTAGATCAATTCCTGCGGGTTCAAGGTTAGTTTTGCGCGCTGCATACTCCCTCCGTACGAGTATCTACTGCACAGTACAAACGCCAACACCAAGCGCCGCTCGCTATTATAAATGGCCGCCCTGCGAGCATCCCCCCCGTTGCCGCTACTGGAGCTAGCGTCCGCGAAACAGCCAGACAAGCCCCAAAAGCCCGCCCCAGACGCCTTGACCGCATGGCTGTCGGGGCCGCAAGCTCAATCCATGTCTGCTGCGAAAAAAAACCCTGTGCCAGAGTCGGGTGTGATACGATACCGGCGGACGCAGGCTGCAGACGGACGCCAGCCTCCTGCCCGGGGGCCTGTAGGGGAGAACGAAAATAGGGGATCATTGGCCGCCGAGATGCCTGCAGGGCTTTTGCATTGGATTGGAGCGGGCTGCAAGTACCTCTACCTGCGTCTGTAGACTCTAGGTACCTTGACCTAAGTTCTTCGTGCGGGCTGGCTGGTACCTCACTTGATCTCATTAAAGTTGCAGCATCAGCATCAGCATCAGCAATTGATCCATAGCACAGGCTGAAGTGTCTATCAATGGATGGCACTAAGACTGCTAGGCACACGTTCGAGCGACTTATAGTTAGTAGCGCTAGGCTGGGCGGGCAGTATGGATAATGGAGGTGCCATGGAACGGACGGTACGGTACATGGGCGATGGGGTCAACATTAATCGATGGATCAACGGTCGTGTAGTGGAGGCTTTGCTATGGACCTTAGTCCTCATGGAGGGATGGAAACATCGAGTTGGCCGGCCCAACAGCCGTTTTATTCTCCTAGTATTGGTCCTACTGCAGCGCTCAGCGCGCGTTCTGCTGCCCTCGAGTTGAGTTTATTTCCATGGATTGGGGGGGCATTGACCAGACCTCACTCAATTGACTGCACGCCAACCTCACTTAGTACTACGAGCACTCCGGAGCAGTGTCCGCCTCTGCATCTGTACCTGTACCTGTGCCTGCACCGCTGCTGGTACCTGTACCCCTCATCCTCCTCAGCGCTTCCAATCAACCTAGCCCAGACCAGACCAAACCAAAATCAAACCAACCAGTGCTAACCTAAGCCTCTCCGCACATACATTAGCATGCTAGGCCTAGCAGTAACTCCAAAACTCGCCATGCCATGCGCTGTTCTGCTCTGTTCCGCTCCGTGCATGCAACTTGCACACGAGTTGCATTGACCTGATTGATTGATTGACTGCTTCCAGGCCCCATCATCATCCCCATCCCCATCCCCCATCCCCATTTGATTGATTGATCACTCACTCAACCCATCCCCCATCCCCCATCCCCCATCCCCATACGCATACGGCTGGCTGTCCTGTACGAGTAACTGTACATCTGCGAACGGCTCTGAAGCTTGAGCCCTTATTAGTACCGCTGCTCCGGCCTCGAACCCCCTATCAGCACCCTCAGACCCTCTGCAGACCAACCTCGACGCCTGCTATCCCAAATCCAAAGCCGGACCCGCCAAATCCACCTTTTTGCTTCTCCACCAAGAGCACCAAAAAGTCCACTCGGCCAGCTCCAAGGACGCCCAAAGCATCTCGTCTTTTGGCCGTGCTAACACTGGCACAAACATCCCTCCCCAAACTTGCGTCTCTGATCCCAATTGCATCTGCACCGCTCGCACAGCTTCTCCTTCGCCCATTGCACAGGCGCCGCGCCTTTGTGGTTCGACTTCGCTGCCCTTTTGCTCAGTGCAATCTTTATCCCCCCCTCCTCCAGCTCCTTTCGCAGCGCCGCTAGCGGGCCCTTTTGGAATCGCCGGCCAAACAACCCTAGGATTGCTTGTCTTAGCTCGGTCGCTCAACCGCTAACTTTGCGCCCATCATGGCGGGCAGAATGGTGCTGTACAAGCTGGTGGTGCTGGGCGATGGTGGTGTTGGCAAGACGGCCTTGACCATCCAGCTGTGTTTGCAGCATTTCGTCGAGACGGTAAGCATTCGCCCTTTCTAAACATCAACGGGGAGACGGAGAGAGGCGCGCGTGAAGGTCCAAGAGAGAGAAAACACCGACTCTTGCTTTTCCCTCTCCTGACCGATTGGGCGACAGCCTCGGGCAACGGCGGTAGCGCATGAGGGGCAGAAACAGGAGCTCTCCGTCCACCGAAAAAGATGTACGTTTTTATGGCTAACAGTCCTACGCTCACAGTACGACCCGACAATTGAGGATTCGTACCGCAAGCAGGTTGTCATCGATGGCCAGCCCTGCATGCTCGAGGTCCTCGACACGGCCGGCCAGGAGGAATACACAGCGCTGCGAGACCAATGGATCCGAGACGGTGAAGGCTTTGTTCTAGTCTACAGCATCGCATCCCGCTCGTCCTTTACCCGCATCAAGCGCTTTCACCACCAGATCCAGCGCGTCAAGGAGTCTGTAGCTTCCTCGCCCTCATATCCGGGCTCCCCTCTATCCGCTGCCAGCCCGCAGCTGCCTGTGCCCATCATGCTTGTGGGCAACAAGAGCGACAGAGTCACCGAGCGGGAGGTATCGACCCAGGAGGGACACGCCCTGGCTCGGGAGCTTGGCTGCGAGTTTGTCGAGGCCTCGGCAAAAAACTGCATCAACGTCGAAAAGGCCTTTTACGATGTCGTTAGGATCCTACGCCGACAGCGCCAGCAGGCCTCGCGACCGCCTGCGGGCGCAAGCGGCCGCGCTCGAACAAGCAATGGCGATGTAGGCGGCGGAGGCCGAGACACGCACAAGTACCGGCGCGGCAAGGACGGCGACAAGGGCAAGTCCAAATGCATCGTGTTATGAGCGGCTCCCGCTTGTCACGCCTTCCAACTCCCTATCAATTTTTTGATGGCTGGGTAATGTCGGATGCGGCAGCGTATTTGGTCCCCGGATGCTTGGTTTGTTTTTGGTGCTTGTCTCTACTTATCGAATTTGGCATGCTATCTACCAGGACATTGTTCATTCCCATAGAATGGATCCTGGTATATGTCATACGCTGGCAAGAAGAGCTGGCGCTCTGATTTTTGGCTCCTCTTTCGGTCGTTGGGTGGGCTTGCGATATTGTTACATGATGACGACGACATTCGGCAACAAGAAAAAAAGCATCTTTTTTTATCTATTTATTTTTACAAACTCACGGGCCCCCTCGATTGGCGCATGGCGTAAGGCCACTTACGGACGCTCAAACGCACATCACAAAAAAGGTGGCATCATTTTCCGCGGCGCTGGATTCTTACGATGTTTATACTGCTACTGGACATCCTGATGGTGCTCATTGATGATTTCTTGAGGGGCAGCGACCTATTTCTTCTGGCTTACCTGACTATCTGACACGCGCCGGCCGGTGCCAATTGCGCCTCTAAACCTCTCATCTCCTGCGTCAATACCAATTCTTACTCTCTCTTTGCGTTCGTTTCCCCCCACAGATATGGAATGGATGGTCGCGGGTGTTTCAGGAGTCTTGGTTGAGTCTGATTTTCCCTTCCCTTTCCCACTTCGACAATTTCATCTCTATTGCTCCCTCTTCCTTTTGGGTTATAAAAAGTAAATCACCGTACACGTCTTGGCACATGTCATGGAGGGGTGTTGATAGCGATATCTTGTTGGATCTGTCAGAATTTTTTTTACATCTTTTTTTTTTACATGTTATTATCCCACAAAGTGCTTATTTTGTTTTTTTGCCGTTATACTATCCGGAGAATCTGGTTTCTAGACGCACATGGTATGGAAGAAGGGGGATGTTGGATGCCTAGAAGCTACTTATTTTTTCTTCTTCTTCTCTGTTTTTTAAAGAAGCTGTCTTTTTCTCTATCTCTCACATGTCTCTCCTTTTTTTTCTTTTTTCTTTGTAAACGAGAGCGAAATTGGGAACGGCCACTGCCGCCTTTTGGCCGACGGAAAAAGCAAGAACAAAAAGTCAAACTGCATTGATGTTTTTCAAAGACGGTGACGGGATTTTTTCATTGAGAGGGTGTTTTGCGAGGTTGCGGGTAGCTTTACTACTACGGTACCTGAAATTGACCTGATCCCAGTGTTTCTTGCGTCGTCACTCTACGTGTGTAATCACTGCTAACGCCACAGAACTGACGGTATCACAAGGGGTTCTGTGTACAGTTGCCAAGAGAGATGTGCAGGTCTCAATGATGTAATAATGTGATCGGTGTACGCGGTTTGCATCATGACAGTCCGTCTGTTGACCGCTTGATCTTTTAGAGTAAGAAGTGCATACAGTGAAAGTAAAAAAGAGGCTTTGATGTGTCATAAAACCGGCAATCCCAAAGGCAGGGCGAAGCATTTAAATTGGAGCTCCTAAAACGAGTGATCTACACAGGAAAAAACGTGAAGGATGTTACTATCGACAAGCCTTTTTGGGGGGCGGAAATAAGTGGCTAGTCCTGGAGAAGTAGGGATACGCACGGCAAGCCGTTCCGACGGGAATTTTATCTTGTTGGTGGAGTTTTGATTTTGGGCATGTGAGTTGAGTGCAGGGAGAGTCTGAAGAGGAGTTGAGTTGTGTTGTGTGTGTTTCTTGACTGATTTGTGGCTTGAGGTCGGTCCGTTGACTGGACGCATAATATGCAAGCTGGAGTTGGCATGTATGTCTTGCTTTGTTGGGGACTCAAGAGAGGAGAGTTTCGCAGTGGCCGAGACTATTGCTGGATAGAATAGGTGAGAACATAAATGAAGTGCAAATACACATACACTTCTATGTTAACCACCTTTATGTCCCTAATATTTATCACACTTGTCTACAAGTTTTCTTGAGGATATCATGTTCTTCTGTCTATACAGCATTGACTTGTTAAATCTTTCTTACACCAACTACCGTCTGCTACAACCGAGCTCTCTCACAAACGTAAAACAAACTTTTGTCAAATCTAGCTCCCTGCAGAACATCGTCTTTCTCTTAATTCTCACCGGTTAAACACGGGAAATCGGCACGTTTCTCCAGACTCAATGATAAGAAGAGGAGAAGAAAAAAAAATAGGCACCTGTTTTTCCGTCGGTCTTCTCCTAGCTTCTCCTAGACACCGAAAACTTGCAGAAAGTGGATGCCTTCAAAACAGCATTAAAGAGGGAGATGGCGTGTAAGTTTTTTTGTTTCTGCTGCAGTTTTGAACGCCGCTGCATGAGAGCGGGGTACTACTAGGTAATTTGCACGAGAGAGAAAAAAAACACAAAGAATTTCTGTTTCGCTTTCAGTCATTTCTCGATCTGCGAGGACTTTTTGAGCTTTGTTGGCTTGCGTAAGCAATTAGTTTGAACGTTAGGTAGGGAACTTGTGTACTTCGTTTGACACTCGAACTGTCACTTTAGTGTCTGTTGGCTGGTTTACTAAAAAATAGATTGGGTAGATGTCAAAATACCCAAAACACCCCTCGGGGAGGTTAATAACACGTAATTAGCACGTTGCCCATGTGCTCATGGAATGTAGGGGGTTTTGGATGACGGGTTGTGGCGGGTAAATTGGCAAATTTGCTTTTGCCCATGGTGACATTCCCTCAATCTGGCGTTATGTACTCGTACCTTGTGCACCTGGCCGCCGTACCAAAGTCACTCTAGAAGGAGAGGGGATGAGAATAAGAAGGAAAAACAAAGATGAATAACTGTCTGCGATACGCGTATTGCGAGATCAAGAAGCTGGCTATTGAAACATGAGAAATGATGATATTGAATGGCTCGTGATTGCCCGGAATTAGATGGACAAGATACAATGAGACTAGAGATTGACAAGCGAGGGCAGTAATTAATACACATGAGAGAGAGCTTCTCATTATAGACATCTGGTTCTTTCATTTCGATATAAGGACTCGCTTATATGGCTTGCACTTGGGCAATCCATAGAACGAGCAGGATGGATGAATGTGTATGTCTTTATCGGTGTCACGTTCTGATATCTTTCCTCATCATCAGATTTATAGATTCAGGGTGATATCACGATAGAGTCTCATATAAGGTGTACTATTCACTGCTCCTACATCAAGTAGCCCTGAGATAATCACAGTCACACAGTCTCGCATATCTTGTTAACATCTCCAGTCATTCAGCAACAATCTCTCTTTTACACTTCCGCTTCATCCATTCATATAAAGCCGCCTCTGTCTAAACGGTATTTGATTGTGGTCCCAGGAAAACACCCCTTACATTCCTCGCTCACCTCACTCACTGCTTGGTTGGCCAATCTAATCATCTATTCCTACGTATCCCATGATACGGCAATGCAAGGAAGTCGAAAGTTTGGTAAACAACTCAGAGTCTCAGCCAATCTCCCCCCTACATAGGAGGCAAAACTTACGTCTCATGTGTCAACAACTATGCAGGTCTGAGCAGCTTCATCGGCCATCGTCGGCTTACCAGCTGCGATATCCAATACCTGAGACCGCAGCCAACTCATCAAAAACTACCGCCAATCGCTGGTCCTCCTAACCAGTCTCATGCCCAATCTACATAAACACCAAAGCTTACAAAGTACCGATTTCGAGCCGTTAATCACAAAAGGATATAATCATCATGCTACACAAGAGGCAAGTAAAGTAAATCATGTTCTATTCAAGTGGTAATCGAAATCGAGCACACAAATGATGTCCACATTTTGCTGCTTCAAACCGTGCCGCCATCTGTCATATCAATCCCTGCACGTTTGTCCCGATAAAAGACGCCATAAACCCATAATTGAAGATATTCTCTCGTCGCTGAAGAAAGCAGAAGTCTCCAAAAGTATAACACGAAAAGTAGAAATCAGATATATAAAAAAAGACAACAAAGAAAATAATCACCACATTTCATTGACCCGTGCGATTGATCAGTCCTTGGTTTCATGCTCATCGCCAAAGGGGCTAGAGTCACGCTTTTGTGAACCAGAATCACCCTCCTTGATAGATCCTCTTTCTCTGCCGGGGGAAGCAGGAGGAGCCTCGACGGAGATCTTGGGGCTTAACTGATCCGGAGGATCAGAAAATGGGCCCTGGTCTACTGTCGATGACTCTCCACGGCTTGTCGGAGGGGTGGTGTCGTCTGTTGTCTTTGGTGACTTGTTACCAAGCGTCGTAGAAGATTGGCTCTCTGGCTTGGAGGCAATCTCTACCATTCTCAATCCAGAGCCTCCCACCTTGACGACTTGGGCACGGGCTTGAGTTACGGTATTGGCGTTGTTGAGGAACGTTGAGCCGACACTGAAGTTGCTCGCCGCGCTCTGAGGTCGAAGGGTCTTGGAAGGGTTGAACTTGTCGTAATCGATGCTGGGGACAGGAGGCGTGCCGGGGGCGCTTGCGCCGGACTTGACGCTCACCATTGTCGGCTTGGCACGCATGACGGTCTGAGCAGGAGTCAGGACCTGCTGCTTGCCACCACCAAAGATGGTAGATGCGATGCTAGAGCGAGGCGGAGCAAACGAGGTCCTGTCCGAAAAGGCGGAGATGCCGGAGTAGGTCGAGTCTCGCAGGTTGCCGGGAACGAAGAAATGAGGGTTGTCAGCCCCGGAATCGCGGTAACCTTCGGTGTGGTGCATAGGGATCGGCGGAACAGGGGGTACCAAAACGTTGGGTGACGCAGGCGTTGCTCGGTTGGTGACGCCGGGAATATATGCGATTTGGATAATGTTGGAGGCGCGTGTGAGGACGGTAGAGGCAATCGAGTGGACAGTATGAGTAGATCCGCGGCGGGTGACCCGGTTACCGTTCTTTTCGCCGCCTTGGGTAGCGGCCTCTTCGACTCCGTACACCGACTGAGAGAGTCGCCTCTTGGGCTTGATTAGGAATCTCCAGACCAGGTAGGCGATGATGGCGATGGCAGCAATTCCACCGATGACACCACCAGCAATAGGTCCGGCGCTGGGTCCGCCTCCTCCTCCGCCTCCGTTGCTGGGAGTAGGGGAATCGTTGACCGCACAGAAGGACTGTGGGCATTGAGTGCAATCGAGCGGAACCGTAAACTGGCAGCTCTCATTGGAGGCGCAAGATGGGCATTGAAGCTTGGACGTATCATCGCATTTCACACACTCGCCCTTTCGGGGGACCAGTCTCATCACTGACATTGCCATTAGCATTCGCGACCACGACGAGACGCGGCTCATTCCATTGCTTTCTCACCTTGGTGAAGCTCTGTTAGGTCCCTCGCAACGAGGTACGATGTCGTATCCATCTTTGACGATTTGCTTATAGCGATGGGCGATAATAATAATAACAACGAGAAGTAGACACGCAGCGATTGATGTTGGTAGGTTTGATTCGATCAAATCGGCGTTGTAATTCGGCTGACGGAGCTGCGATGGATGACGGCTGATGGACAACACCGACACTTTGGGACGCTGACGTTCTGGCTCTTGAATGTCGTATGATTCGTCTTCTCTTATTTTCTCTTGAACGCGATGAGTAGATAGATTCGGTTTTTTTCGGCAAAATAGAGCGCTTGTCTCGTCGTGTAGAGATCGAAGGACAGGCGGAAATTGAGAGAAAGGAGTGGACTGAGTCTAGCTCAAACAAAACAAAACCAAAAAAGAGAATAAAAAAATAGAACGAAAAAGAAACCACAAAGAGGAAACGAGAGTGAGTGGTAACAAGATGCTAGATCGTAGACGAATAGAAAGACATAATCGGCCCTGGCGACAGTCAAGATAAGAAACGAACGGATGAGAAAAAACTGGTTCCTGTTCGTCGGTCGATGGTTTTTTTTTTTTCTCTCTCTCTTCCAGGTGCTGATTGTCGCTCGAACAAGGCAAGAAAGAGAGGCGAAGCAACGGGGTGGTTGAGAAGCGAAAGAGGGAACAGCGCTTGTTTGGGGGGCTGCGGCAGAGCGACATACGAATGAGCCCGTTTGGAGGCACTAAAAGTACGAGCTCTACAGGCATCAGCAGCGCCAAGTTGCCCTTGCAATGGCGATTCTGCTGCAAAGAACGCAGAAAGATGGAGCCTTTGGAGCACCCCCCCAGTTGACGATGGGGGCGTTTCCTGGCGCCAGGGGTAGCATCAGGGAGCTAGAGCCGTGTTGAGACTAGCCGCTCGAATTTATCAGAGGGGCCGAGCACAGTGCAGGAAGTGCTGGGGCCCACCTGTTGTTTTGAGCTGTTTTGGGGCGGCCGGGGGGTGTTTACATGGCGCTGCGTGGCGCTGCGAGGCGCTGAATGGCCGCGGCACGGAGGTTGGTGGGGCGTCTGATTGGTCGACGGACGGTGTGGACACTGTAAAAGTGCACTGTAGCCCGCCTCCGCTCCTCCATTATTGTTTACTGGCACCAGCTTAGTACAGACTCGGCCGTGCTGTTGTTTTGAAGCGTTGCAACGGTGTGGATTTCTAGTGGCCTGCCCGATTCGCATCGACTAAGATTCACGACAATGCACCACCAGGATGGATCTTGTCTGGTTTTTTTTCTTTTCTTTTTTTTTTTTTNTTTTTTTTTTTTTTTTTTTTTTTTTTTTTTTTTGGCTTCTCATCAAGCCTTGCCGCAATCCGGAATCACTCGGTGCGGGATCCGCAGCTCCCGTGTGTGTGTGCGTCCAGGAACCAAGTACTCCGTGCAGACAATCAAACATCTAGAATACCTTCTAAGTACCCGTACCTGTGGAAAGTACGGAACGTTGCGGGTGCCAGGGTCCTCTCCGTGTACATGTACACCGACGAGACTCCGTATTTGACCACCAACAGTCTTGTTCCGTGGACACGTAATGCAATCAATCGCCCTCTCCGGCACAGCTGACTCTTCGCATCACCGAGGCGCCGGCTGTTGCTTCGATCACGTTGGCAAATAAAATACCGACAAAACTAATTAAAGCAAAAGAAGAAGAAAAGAAGAGACAGTTCGCGCCAAGGACGCGTGTCTCGCGTGCCAGTGGACAAACGACTCGGTGCTACCCAAAGCCCATATAACTCAGCGCCTCGCAGCCCGCGTGGGACGAGAGACGGCTCGCGCTGATTCAGCCCAGCCCTCTGGATCCAATGAATCCTCGTCTAAGGGGAGAGGCCCTGCGCGAGCTTCTCCAATCAGGCCCGTGAGGTTGTTGAGCAGTGACACAGTACGTAGCGGATGAAGAAATTTTAATTGGCGAGCGTGTTCTCGTAGTAAAAGTCGAGACTCACTCATGGTCACCACATATTGCCACCAAATAAAAAAAAACAAAAATAAAAATTTCTCCTTGGCTTTTCCCATCTATTGATCCCTTGCTTGTTTCCGTCTTTGAGTTAAAGAGAACCACTTGCAGCCGTCACTCCCCGTAAATTAACAATTTGCCAACACAGCAAATCACGCTCGCTGCGCGCCATCACTGAGCATGACACTCGCAAATGAACCAACCCTCCAGCAGGGGTCCAGACACACGTTTCGCACGTGCAAGTACACTAACATCGCCTAGCAGGTACTCAATACGGAGTACTGGGTACGTTCAACAGAAGATGGAGCGACTTTTTTTTTTTTTACTTGATGTGCTGATACGAAGTGCTGGAGAAGGCAGCCTCACCGCATCATTATCTACATGCATAGCTGCAACGCTGAATAGAGCGAGCCGTTCTTCAGCATACCATCGTCTCAACTTTAAAGTTACATAGTGATAACACCATATACCAGGGGAATATAGCTGTAGTAGCAGATGCGACGAATGAATAAAACGCCCGGGCTTCAATTCTGTCGCATGCTGTTCCGTGCTGGATAGCCAATTTGGCGTGCTGAAGATTTGCGACTCTAAAATATTACCAGGCTATATCGTGCAGATCCTTCGTTCTGGAACACGCCCGCCTTTCTCATTGCAGCGGAGAATGGCCATTTTTGGGACAAGCCCGTTACAGATATACTCGGGCTCGCATTTACCTACTGTATTTATTCAATCGACAGTGTTTACCCAATACTCGAATGATGTTTGTGTGGACATTTAACAAGGTGAAGATGCTTTTGAAATCGAATCAATCATAATTGTCATGACGAGACACTGCTATCATTAATTTCCTGACCTCTTCACACATGGGTTCCAAAAATCTAGAGTACAATCCCACAAAATCTATAGCTTCCCAAGAGTAGCATCAATGTTCAAACTCCAAACATCCCTTCCTGCCCCCGACCCTTCTACCGACAAGTCTTTTTTATATTCCATGATTCAGGGGCTTTACGCCCTTGACGCGTCGTTGTTGCTCTGAGAGCTGGCACTCATGACGGGCTTAGTCACTGGCAGCGACATCTTGGCCTTTTCACCCTGGCGGATCTTGCCCCAAGCGTACACGAGACCGCTGACGAAACCAATGAAGATGGCAGAAACACTGCCAAAGGTAACAGGTGCATCAAAGAAAATGAGACCGCTGACAGCAATGGGAAGCTTGTTCAGAGCTCCCACCATTGAGTAAGTCGTAGAGGAGGTAACGCGAATACACCAGGCAGAGGAGTAGGAGATGAAGATGGCACCCAGACCCGAGTACACCATGCCGAGGATGAGGTTGGTACGCGTTTCCTCGGGAAAGTTTCGTGCCAAGTTTTCGGAAGACCAGTCCTCAACTAGAAGAGATCCAATGATCAGGACAGGAATAGTCAAGAAGTTGTTGTAGAACATGGCTAAAGTGGAAAAAGTTAGCGGTCGATGCATCTCAGTACCTATAAATAAGGGGCTACTCACTGTCCCAGTCCTTGAAGCCCATCTTCTTGATGACCTTGCGCATACCCAGCACAAACGCAGCCTGGCAAATGACGTTCAAACCCATCCAGGTGTAGCCAATCTGCAGAGTACTAAAGGATTGAGATGCCTTTGATGAACGACCCGCGGCATCGGCATCGGCCCAAGCAGCAACCATGGAGCTGAAAATGATCAGGCCAAAGGAGAGAAGAATGGTGGGGGTAACGCTGCCCCCAAACCAGAGCACCTCTCCGTAAGCAATGACAATAATGGTAAGGTTCTTGAAGATGGTATACACGGGCACGGAGATGTATTGAAGCGCCTTGGCACCAGTATAAATCATGCCAACCAAAAGAACAGAAACAGGGAACCCTAGACAGAATGAGCAACTCTGCTTGTCATGAGATTGAAGGATAAAAGCTCACATTTCTTTCCCTTCTCCGGATCAAATGGAGAAAGGTTGGTGATCAGGCCAGCCTGCTTGCAGGCTTGAATGGCAACAACACACACAATGGACTATTTTTTGCCAATCAGGACACTATGTCTCAAAGAGGGAAAGAACAAGAGGTCTTACTTGAATAGCAAGGTAGAGAAAGTTCATGTTCCATGAAGAGCCAGAAACAACGTATTTGTTGACGACAGTCATGGAGATGGACGCCAAGCAGTAGCCGAGAACAGATGCTCCCGGGCTGTTGTCGATCTTGGAAAAGTCAAAGCCGCCAGACTTGGCTCGAGGCGACGGCGAGCGAGAGTAGGCCGTCTTGACCTTTCCCACATCTCCGCTCTCCATGTCCTGGAGGCCATAGTCGTCGTTCTTCTTGTCCGACATTGTGAGGCTCTCACTGAGATGGACGCTGTGAAAACGAGAGTGAGTGAAATGAGAGACTGGACAGACAAGAGTCGCTAAAGGGTGGGTTCCACGCGAGAGAATCAGGATCCCCGGGGGCTAGAGATGGAGCGATCTGCGTCCGAAGGGAGAAGGACAATGTGTCAAACGAGAGGCTTCTTCTAGAATAACTGAAGAGATGAAGACTATGCAAGAGGCGCACGCGTGAGGGTCGTAGTGAAGACCGCTCTTTGCCAGACACGTACTCCCTAAGACTACTCCTAACTCCGTACATACAATTCAGGAGAACAAATCCTGTAAGGTTGGGAAATTTCATCTCGATCCCTTTGTGGGGCGGCCGGCCGAAAGGGGCTTAGCGAGATGGGCGCACCGCCTCACACAATGTGCTCCGTACGAGGACATTTTGGTAGGCCGTTTCTTTTCACAAGTGGCGATTGGAATAAAAAAGGCCTCGCAGCTGCGAGTGCTCGTATCGGATCAATGGTACTGTACCAGTGGTGTATCATGTACGAGGTACGAGGTAGTCTGGTTACGAGATGCAGGCGACGGGCCACACACACTGAGCACCCTCTTCTTATCTCAACCTCTTTATGCATGAGGCCTTGATGCTGGATAAGGACTCGTACCTTAGTGAAGAGAGCTGGCACAGATTAGTGATTTGATGCCAATTGCCCTCCATCGTCTTCAACACCACCTGCACCCGTAATCCCTCCCCTCCTTGCAACAACAAGTCGCTTGGCGGGGGTCGAGCCAATCTAATCGCCCCGAGAAGTTGAGATTAGTCGCAGGCTCATGTACTGTGCTCTGCAGGGTGGTAATTCGGCTGTCCCGCAGCTGCTGGCATGTGGCCCCTAGATGGGAAAAATGCCTTGTTACAGGTTCCTGGAACAACTGCCGGGCATCGATGCTTCTATATGCGGCATCAGTGCAGGAGAGTTGCACGCAAAGCCAGAAGCGAGCCACTCGAGTGTATATGACTGACGATTGTTTACATTGTTCTTGTGCGGAGTATCCCCGTAGCTCAGGATGTGTATTTTGGAAGGCTGGCAGATAACCTTTACGAAGCAATTTGTCTACAGTGCCTTTGCTTGTATCTTTCGAAGTGCGCCCAGCCAACATAGAAGACAAATCGAATGCTGTGCACGGACTTCTTAAAATATACGCACTGTGAAATACCCGTCAGATCAGCGGAAAGCCTTACCACTACGGCGTAGCAAGGCAGCAAACATTCCATTAGGAGAATAGCCCTTTGTAACTGAGGCTGCACCGCCTCCACAGTGTTGCGGGCGCGGAGAGCTGATTGGCCATAGCCTTAGCTGGTGCTATTTTTGGTAATGATCAAGAAGGAATCGGTAATGATGAGATGAGAATGGCCTGTGGCTGCGCTGGCTACTCCCGAGCTGCATTTACCTCTTCGGACATACCCAAGGGACGGAGAGTAAGCAGAGATGAAGAATATCGCTAAGCAATGATGCTAATATACAGCAGCTGGGAAGCCCAGGTAAATATAGACGGATTCCATAAACCACGCTGTGGCTGGAATCAGGAGCGTCCGTTATTATTAGTGAGATGAAGCCGAAAATACACAGTGACCAACACTGTTCAGCGTTCTCCAGCGTACAGTGGGACGCAGTCAGCCGCGCTCCAAGGATTGGACGTCAGCAACTGGGCTGGGTTCTAAAGCGGATACCGCCTTGTTTTTTTTTGTGCCCACAGACATACGAGATTTTGACACATGCGACTCGTGCGAGCAAAAGGGACGCAGCACGAGCCGTATATCAATTTTTTAGGCATCTGTTGCGGCACACCGTGGGCTGGAATGTGGGAGGGCTGCCAATAAGCAAGAAAAACTCATCGACGTCAACCATTATACAGTACAAGCACTACTTAAAACAAGTTGAGACTGAATGTAACCAGACACGAAGAGCCGTTGGACCCTCCTGCACAAGGGAGGGGCAACGTGATGACGACAGGTGATACTCTACTGCGTCCGGCCCTTAAATCGAGCTGCGCTGGACGGCGTCTTACAGCGAGCAGAGCAGCTTTGGTTCACTACGGCTGTCTCACCGCAGACGCTAAGTCAGGCTGATAAGGCACCCTAACCCAAACGTTGCCCAGTGGACGTTGGTCTGTTTGAGAGTAAGAGTCTTGTCCTGGCACAGTGCATGTGAGGTGGCTCAGCTTCCCCCCAAATCCCCTTAGCGCCAGTCTCCCCTATTCTGGGCCACTGCCCAAGTGGCTGGACACTGTATGCCTTTGTTCGTACTGTCCCGAAACAAAGATCCTAGAAGCAAGCTGCACTTGGGGCATCTCCTGAATCGTTCGCGAGAGCCTTTCCCTCCCCTTATTATCTTTTTCAGCCCACTAAGCTTCGTCGGTCGACAACTCTCTCTCCTCCATCTTCCCCAACCTTCAATCCTACCATTCGAGGCTGGTGCCTCATTGCTCGCATCGTTAGGGGTCGGGTTGCTTTCCGCAAACAAAGCTGGCATTGAGCTCAATAGATTTTTTTTCTCTCTTGGCCTTGGGGGTCCCCTTTTTTTTCTCCGTTGCAACCTATTAGGACCTAGGCGGAGCCATCTAGACACGAATTACGAACAACCTTAACCAAAGACGCTCTTTAGCACATTACGATTCCAACAAGCCGTCGTCTTGATATCATTTTAGAAATAGGACCATCATGGCATACAACGGTCCTGGCGGTGGCCAAGGCGGGGGACACCCGCTACAGGATCTCCCCTCGGGCAGTAGCGTGAGTAACTACCAAACCAAATATCAACAATGGGAAGGGAGGGTAAGTTGGACAAGGCTGGCTAACGCGACTTGTTTTTCCCTCTTCTAGTATCACCTGCCCCCTCACGAGGAGGAAGAACAAGCCGGACGATATCTGCTGAACGAGCCTGGCTCGCATGGCTACGAGCATGATCGCCTCGGCGCCGGGACTCCTCCCGACCGCCCTGTTTCAGCTTACAGTCTCACCGAGTCTTATGCTCCTGGAGCCTCGCCCATCGGCACTCCTGGTCTGGGCAGCGACAACGGATACGGCCAGTACGGCCAGGGCCAAGGATACGATTTCCCTCGCCCCGCCTCTACTGTCCACGACAACGATGACGACAGCTGGGTTCAGAGACAGCAGCAGCCCGCCGGTGGTGGCCTGAAGCGTTACAACACCCGAAAGGTCAAGCTTGTCCAGGGTTCCGTTCTGAGTATCGACTACCCCGTGCCCAGTGCCATCAAAAACGCAGTTGAGCCCAAGTACCGCGATGTTGAGGGCGGCAACGAGGAGTTTGTCAAGATGCGATACACGGCGGCTACCTGTGATCCCAATGACTTCACCCTGAAGAACGGTTACGATTTGCGGCCGCGAATGTACAACCGTCACACCGAGCTCCTGATTGCCATTACATACTATAACGAAGACAAGGTTCTGCTTGCCAGAACTCTGCACGGTGTGATGCAGAACATTCGTGACATTGTCAACCTGAAGAAATCGACCTTTTGGAACAAGGGAGGTCCTGCCTGGCAGAAGATCGTTGTGTGCTTCGTCTTCGACGGTATCGACAAGGCTGACAAGAACACCCTGGACGTGCTCGCCACCATTGGTGTGTACCAGGACGGTGTCGTCAAGAAGGATGTCGACGGCAAGGAAACCGTCGCTCACATCTTCGAGTACACCAGTCAGCTTTCCGTCACGCCTAACCAGCAGCTCATCCGACCTTCTGGTGACAGCCCTCAGAATCTGCCCCCTGTTCAGTTCATCTTCTGCTTGAAGCAGCAGAACACCAAGAAGATCAACTCCCATCGTTGGTTGTTCAATGCCTTTGGCCGAATCCTAAACCCCGAAGTCTGCATTCTTCTTGATGCTGGTACCAAGCCTAGCCCGCGCTCGCTGCTGGCTCTGTGGGAGGGCTTCTACAACGACAAGGATCTTGGTGGTGCTTGTGGTGAGATTCACGCCATGTTAGGCAAGGGCGGCAAGAAGCTGCTCAACCCCCTGGTCGCTGTGCAGAACTTTGAGTACAAGATCTCCAACATTCTCGACAAGCCTCTTGAGAGTTCGTTTGGCTACGTCTCTGTGTTGCCCGGTGCCTTCTCGGCCTACCGATTCCGAGCCATCATGGGACGCCCTCTGGAGCAGTATTTCCACGGTGACCATACCCTGTCCAAGATTCTTGGTAAGAAGGGTATCGACGGCATGAACATTTTCAAGAAGAACATGTTCTTGGCCGAAGATCGTATTCTCTGTTTCGAGCTGGTCGCCAAGGCCGGTCAGAAGTGGCATTTGACCTACATCAAGGCCGCCAAGGGTGAAACAGATGTGCCCGAAGGTGCTGCCGAATTCATCAGTCAGCGTCGTCGTTGGCTCAACGGTTCGTTTGCCGCCTCTCTGTATTCGCTGATGCACTTCGGCCGAATGTACAAGTCTGGTCACAACATCATCCGCATGTTCTTCTTGCACATTCAGCTCATTTACAACTTCCTCAACGTCATCTTCTCCTGGTTCTCTCTGGCTTCTTACTACCTCACCACCACCGTCATTATGGACCTTGTGGGTACCCCGGTTATTGCCTCATCCAACTCGTCTGAGCATCACGGCTGGCCCTTTGGAGACGAGGCAACGCCTATTATCAACACGCTTCTGAAGTACCTCTACCTCGCATTCGTTATCCTGCAGTTTATTCTTGCCCTGGGTAACAGACCAAAGGGTTCCAAGTTCACCTACATTGCTTCCTTCATGGTATTTGCTTTGATCCAGGGCTACATCTTGGTTCTTTCCGTCTTCTTGGTCGTTCAAGCTTTCAACACACCTATCCAGGATCAGATCAACTTTGACTCTGGAGAAGATTTCGTCAAGAGTTTCTTCTTCGGAGCGGGTGCTGCAGGTGTCATTATCATTGCCCTGATCACCATTTACGGTCTGTACTTCATTGCCTCTTTCCTCTATCTCGACCCTTGGCACATGTTCCACTCTTTCCCCCACTACCTGTTGCTCATGTCGACCTACATCAACATTCTCATGGTCTACGCGTTCAACAACTGGCACGATGTGTCTTGGGGTACCAAGGGTTCCGATAAGGCTGAGGCTCTCCCGTCTGCCAACGTCCAAAAGGGCGAGAAGAACGAAGTTGTCGTCGAAGAAATTGAGAAGGAGCAGGAGGATATCGACAGTCAGTTCGAACAGACTGTCCGACGAGCCCTGGCCCCCTTTAAGGAGGAGGAAGAGGTCGAGAAGAAGGACGTCGAGGACGGTTACAAGTCTTTCCGTACCGGTCTGGTCGTCTCTTGGCTGTTTTCCAACATTATCCTCATCATCGGTGTCACTACCGACGACTTTGCCCAGTCTGGTTTGGTGGTAAGTAACATGTTCGACTTGTTCTCTATGGCTAAGCTTTATATACTAATTGACCGCAACAGGGAACCGCATCCAGCCGCACTGCCAACTTCTTCAAGTTCCTTCTTTACGCTACGGCCGTGCTGTCCCTTATCCGCTTCATAGGTTTCCTCTGGTTCCTGGGTAAGACGGGTCTCATGTGCTGCTTCGCTAGAAGGTAAATTATTGCAAAGTTGTTGGGTTCGGCCCCGACGGGCTGCTTGGGTGGTGGTTTTCCAGGAATATTACGGGCCTGCCCAGTAGACAAATTATTTCATATACAGATACCTTGGCTTGTAACGTTATTAGGGCATTAATGTTTTTAGCATGTTTCTTTGTTCATGGGATGGAATAGGCGACTTGAGACACAAAAAAAGTTTTACAGATAGCTTGGAAGAATGTTTGCTGTGTAACTACAGAGTAGAGAAACGGAGGGATAGAGGAAACAAGGGGACCTATTCAATTGAATGATCAAAACGCGGATAATCTGGTGTTAAGTGCATGTCTTGATGGTTACAAGGCGGTCTCCCTCTGTTACAGTGCATGAGGTTGTATTTATAGTGCGCTATCCGCTGTATAGCGAGAGCTTGCAATAAGAAAGCAGCGCGCCGTGGAAACAATTTGATCCCCGCCGACTCAATTCAGTTAGACCACTGAATTAGTACTAATTGCATCCATCCCGCTTATTGTCCCGCCTTATCTTATCGTCATTGTGTGACAGCATTCAGTCATCTTCGGCAGACAGGCAACGAGCACCGAAGCACTCCCCGCGGATAAGGCTTCTTTTTTTCCGTCTACAAAACGTCACCTGTGCAACAGCTGAAAGCTCTCTGGCCCCTCCGATTCGGCGGTCCAGGCCTCTCTTCCCACCCCTTACAAAGTTTCTTTCAACCCTCTCCCTTTGATCAGGCATTTCAGGATACCGCTTCTCGTCCCCACCGGCGACCTCCGACGAACCAAGATGTTGAACATATGGTCTATGGTATTTGGAAAATGCGCCAGCTTCTATGCCGCCAACAGAGAGTTTCTAACACAAGTCGCAGAAAAAAAAGCAAAAGGAGGCTGAGAATGCTGAGGGTCAGGCTGCCGGAGGGAAGAGGAAGAAGGTGACGGCGGCACAGCTACGAGTACAAAAAGGTGCCTCTCTCCAACGTCTTGGGGTCTACTGTTAACCAGGGGGGCGGGACAGCTAACGGTCAGCAGACTTGTCAGAACTATCTCTCGGCGCAACGATGAAGACGGACTTTCCTGACCCCGACAATATCCTCAACTTTATCCTGTCGATCGAGCCGGACGAGGGCATGTACCGAGGCGGAAAATTCACATTCGACTTTGCCATCAACCAGAACTTCCCGCACGAGCCTCCTAAGGTGCTGTGCAGAGAGAAGATATATCATCCCAATATTGATCTCGAGGGCAAGGTCTGCCTTAACATTCTGCGGGAGGACTGGAAGCCGGTGTTGAACCTGAATGCTGTCATTGTGGGGTTGCAGGTATGACACCGCACGTGCTCTTCTGCTTCAGAGATTGGCGGAAGCGGGAAACAGATTTAAGCCAAGATGCTGACTCGAAGAAATGTAGTTTTTGTTCCTGGAACCCAACGCCTCGGATCCTTTGAACAAGGAGGCGGCTGACGACCTGAGAAGCAACCGAGAAGGATTCAAGAGGAACGTACGAACGGCAATGAGTGGAGGATCTGTCAAGGGAGCGCCATATGACCGAGTACTGAAATAGATGCTGGTGTTTTAAAAACTAGGGGGCAGGTTTGTGTGGATTGCCCAAGATCGGTGCCCACAACCTGGAGAGTTTGGGTGGTGGAGAGAGAGGTGGACGTGACAACGACGACGAGCAGCCGACATACCTCACATAGAGGATGTACTTTTTGTACATCATCCAACACCCGGCACATCTTTCATCGAGGAGATGGCGCCATAACAAGAATCCCGATCTCAGCTAGTGCTTGAGTTGAGGAATGGCATGTTGCCGTTCTTTTGTGATTTTGGTCCGGGCCTAGCTACGGGGTTACCCGATCTATATACTACCTTTCATTAAGTCGACAGTACAGCATAGAAATACATGGCGTTCATTGCAAGAAGGGAGATGGCAGTTTGCCGTGATTGCCGAAAAGAGTCAGTTTAACCTTGGTCAAGGGCATGATGACTTGTGGTGGCACGGCTGGATGAATGATTCTATGTGTTTGGTAGATATTAAACAGTTTGCTATCCAATACCTTGAGTTACATTTCACTAAGATTGTAGAGTGACAATAGTAGATACTAGAGAATTTGATTAGTGGATGAAAGGCATTTCTCTGTATCATATTATGGCACTTGAATTCTTAGCTACTCCATCCCGTTAATATTCGCATAGAACATAAGAAGGCCACCCTACACCAAGTATACTATGATGTGTAAGTCAATGCTCGCGCCTACAACTAATTTTCCCTTGCAACTTGTATTTCCAAAGGTTCTGCAACAACCATATTAATAACCAACCTTCATATTGTCTTCTTTTCTGAATGTGTGCCGAAATAGTCCGGTGTACTCCGATATAGTCCGGTATATGTCGTATCCTGTCAGCATAAGTGCCTACTTACCTACCTGTTGTATGCAAGTCGTGCGTCCGCGTCGCAGCGAAATATGAAACCTGAGCAATTCCATCGGCCCACGAAGACCTGCATCTAACTAAAACCAAGTCCTTGCATGTATTCATTAGGGAGAGATGCAAGAACGGGGGATACACGGTGACGCTCTACCGGCCGGTAGATCCAAAAAGATGCTGACTTAGTAGATAGCTGCTTAGTATATGCATGCAGGGAGGTAAAGCGTCAAATCAGTCATACTCGGAGTTTACGAGTACATGGTAAGCTCCCCTAGGTGCCTAGCGAGCTGGGCTATAATACTACTAAATCTAGTGGGAAGATGGGCAATCCGGGTATTGGATATTCGACTGTGGTTTTACGGAGCCCGTACGGAGCCCGACATGAGTGAGATGGAGTGGCTCGGGAGATGGTTAGACGGATGTGGGATTGGCGGGGCATTTTTGCAGCTGGATGGATGATGGGATATAGCACGACTTGATGTGTTTACATGGGGATAACTCGAGTGGTGGCAAGTATGACTGAATTATGGGAGAATATGAAGTCCATCTAGAGATCAGCATACCCGTAGATACAATAAGATGGAAACGTTCCATTGGTCGGGCCGAGTCAATGTATTACGAGTGCTTGTCAAGAAGCCAGATTTCGGCGGTTGTGGTGGGGGCTCTTAAACTATTTCGTACCCCGGCGGCACTGGCACTTCAAATGTTGGTATTAGTGCATGCTAGACGCAGCGAACGCCCAGCGGATGCGTCATCTCACGTCTTGGGCGCTGTGTGATTCCTGGACTGCAACGCACAAGCCCTATCCATATCCCAAGTAAATAAAATGCAATTTGGACGTGTTGCATAGAGGTACTACTAGGCACTTGTCCTGCCAGCGAATTGGCTTCTGTACCAAGTAGATTGGGGGTGCATGTGCCAGATGGTAAAAGTAGAGTAATATTGACCAGTTGAGTGCATCTGGATACAGTAAGCTACATGTAGGGGTCCCCTCCTCGCAGCTACGCTTGTATGTACTTGTATCCACGACGCACTCCGGAAAGCGCACAAAATCCCAGGCAACGTAAGGCTGGCCATTGTGCTCGTGCCTGTTACTCATCGCACTGACTGTATTTTTGATACTTAAACCCGGGGCTTTTCACATGCGGTGGGACAGGGGGGGCAAGACCGGCGCCGTTGAGACAAAGTTGCTGGAGCTGCGACCGAGATCGGGCCCTTGAGAGCTGAGGCTTTTCCCCCACCCACCCTTCAAAAGTAGACTTTCTGTTGCTCATCCCAAGCTTTGGACTTTTTTCTTTCTTCTCTAAACAATTTTCCTGCCGGTTCTTTTCTCCTCTCCTCTCCATCCTTCTTACTCACATCTCCATCCACAATGGCTTCAAAAGCTTTCTCCAAGACCCTGCGGGCGCCAATTGCTCGTCAATTGATTGCGCCTCGCGTCGCCCAGCGCTCCTACATCGCTGCTCGAAGCGCTACTCGTGCCGTCGCTGCTGCTCGCCCGGCTCTGGCTGGCCTCTCTCAGCAGCAGGTCCGTGGCCTCAAGACTGTCGACTTTGCCGGTGTCAAGGAGGACGTCTATGGTATGTGCAATTCCTCATCTGCGTGCGAGAGCGTGGAGGCGTGAGAGCTGTGTTCTGACAATGACTGCCTGTATAGAGCGTGCCGACTGGCCCCAGGAGAAACTTTTGGTGAGTAACTGGCGATTCTCAAGAGTTATCCACGGGTTCAAGCAAGAGGATTTGCGTTGATCTCAAACCATCTACGGGTGGCTCATTGGAATGACTTGCATGACTGACCCAATTGCCTGTAGGAGTACTTCAAGAACGACACCCTCGCCCTCATCGGCTACGGCTCCCAGGGCCACGGCCAGGGTCTCAACCTCCGCGACAACGGACTCAACGTCATTGTTGGTGTCCGAAAGAACGGCAAGTCATGGAACGACGCTATCCAGGATGGCTGGGTTCCTGGCAAGAACCTCTTCGAGGTCGACGATGCCATCACCCGTGGTACCATCGTCATGAACCTTCTCAGTGATGCCGCCCAGTCCGAGACTTGGCCCTCCATCAAGCCCCAGCTTACTGAGGGCAAGGTACGTATTCTCCCAGTTTGTGGCGCGCTATGGTAGCTCAGTTGTGACTAACATGGGCTCCTAACTGTAGACCCTATACTTCTCCCACGGTTTCTCCCCCGTCTTCAAGGACCTCACCAAGGTTGATGTCCCCAAGAACATTGACGTCATCCTTTGCGCTCCCAAGGGCTCTGGCCGAACTGTCCGCTCTCTCTTCCGTGAGGGCCGTGGTATCAACTCCTCTTTCGCCGTCTTCCAGGATGTGAGCGGCAAGGCTGAGGAGAAGGCCGTCGCTCTGGGTGTTGCCATTGGCTCCGGCTACCTGTACAAGACCACCTTTGAGAAGGAGGTCTACTCTGACCTGTACGGTGAGCGTGGTTGCTTGATGGGTGGTATCCACGGCATGTTCCTCGCTCAGTACGAGGTTCTCCGTGAGCGTGGCCACAGCCCCAGCGAGGCCTTCAACGAGACCGTCGAGGAGGCCACTCAGAGCTTGTACCCTCTGATTGGTGCCAACGGCATGGACTGGATGTTCGAGGCCTGCTCTACCACTGCCCGCCGTGGTGCCATTGACTGGACCCCCAAGTTCAAGGATGCCCTGAAGCCCGTCTTCAACAGCCTGTACGACAGCGTCAAGGATGGTTCCGAGACCAAGCGATCCCTCGAGTACAACAGCCAGCCCGACTACCGCCAGAAGTACGAGGCCGAGTTGGAGGAGATCCGAAACCTGGAGATCTGGAGAGCCGGCAAGGCCGTCCGGTAAGTCATGGACTTTTATACTACGCTCATTTGGATACAGCTAGCTAACATGTTCACTTCTTTACAGCTCCCTGCGACCCGAGAACCAGAAATAAGTCAGCGCAACTGGGCGCATTATGGGTTGATGGGTGTTGAGGGGAATCTTTCAAAAAATGTGGTTTTTTCTTTTCTTGTACTTGCATCTGGATTCTCGGCAAAAGATCTTGGAGATCTGGGGTTTGACGAGGGCATGCTGTTGTGTTAGTTTAAAAAGTTAGGGCCTTTTACGATACCGCGCATGGGAAGACAATGAATTCTCGTTTCACACACACACAAAACACACGCTCCTACGCGTTTACACGTGCTTGTAGGCTGACACACAAAAACTCTTGTGCGCTCTCTCCTCCGTATTCTCCCGCCGGACTTTGGAGTACCTGATGATTGACGTTTTTCCATGAGTCGAAACAAGGTACAAAGCGGGTCCCTTGGCCTTGAAGTCTCCGGCTTCGGCCTCTCAACTCGATGTCGCGATATGGAGTAGCAGAGCTGCCAGACTGGGGTTCGTAAATTAGTTCGAGTATAGAGTCCATCCAATCCATCGGCCTGCCGCCGAAGGGCCGGATGTCGCGACTTTGGTAGCCGGCCCGGTTCGAGTTTCTCGGCGTGACGCCAAGACCGGGTTCAACTGTGGTATGAGCAACCGGAGTATTTTGAGTAGCTGGTTTGCAGAAGTGGTTCGGGAGAAGAGATGGATTAATATAGCAGTGGGTGAAGAAAAAGCATTGATATTATTGACAATATGTACTCATTTTATTTTTGCGTTATTACTTTTATTTAGATGCCTAACATACTTGGTACACGGACTGTTTGGTGGGACTTGATATCTTTTTTCATGGCGGCCTATTAGTATTGTGTGTTTGCTACTTTTGCGCTATTGTAGCCTCTGAGAGGCGCTTGAGTTAGATCAATTTTTATGTGACTAAGCACATTTTACTTTGCTATTGTACGCAAGCCATTTATTGAATTGAAATGTATGTGATGAGGTTGTAGCAGAATGAATGGGGCAACAGTTTCATGGAGGGGTGCTTTTTCCTTCTTCTTCGGGCGTCTATTGATTGTACTAGTCCTACTCAGGTCTGCCCACCGATTGCAATTCTCACTCTGATGCTATTCTTGTCTGATGCCTGCCTAAGACGGTGATGCTGACACGAATGAGGAATATACAAGGTACAGTAATGGCTGCATACTCCTCCATACAAAATCACTATCAGTAAGTATGGCTATCTGAAAAAGGTTGGAAATAGCAACACGTGATGACTGGTCAAAAAGAACATCTAATTGCGGCAACGTGGCATTAAATCCACGACGGTCGAGATCAATAGACGCCCCAAGTTCAATTCTCAATTGAGGCCTCGAAACGGGGTCCCGTGTTCGACACCTTAGCAAAAGGGCCCTTTCGTAATGGGTTCTGCCGATGCCGATGTATTGGCTACTATTTGCTTGGTATTCGCGGCGCCAAACCCTTCGCTAGACGCTGGCTAAAGCCAAGTATCTGATACATATGCACATGCACTTCTGGCAACTTGGACGTGCTCAGACCTTCTAAAGCTGCGTTAGTGGCGCGGCATCCAGCCTGCTAGTGCAGCGCCCCCTACACGAGTGTGGTAGCAGTACAGCTTGCGTGTCGCTGTTGCGGGCGACAACGCAGTGAGAATGCGAGGGGCTGCGTGTACCTGTACTTGAGAGCGGAGGGATTGGCATCTCTATTCAATGGCGGTTTCGACGGAACGGACACGACAACCTGCATCTCCAAGCCTGCCAATCTTTTTTTTCTTTGTGTCTTCGCTTGCGCATCGTTATATCTTTGCTGTTTTTATTTTTTTGCAGGCATTTCTTGGCCGTTTCAGGAGAAGAGAGGCAACGAGGATTGCAGTCATTTTGGTGAGTTTCGGACCCGTCGCTCCAGGCACCATCTACCCACCTGAAATCAATGGTTTCGTTTCTCCTGAGTAATTGGCACTTCTGCTGCGGATGGCGCAGGCTGGCCTCGGGAGCCCCGTTCCGAGTCAAACTGTGGCGAGTTGCGACGCATCTCGTCTCCTGAACCTGCATTTGCAATCGAGCGCTGCATTTGTATTCCAACTCGTCTCTTTTTTACTAACGGCTATTGCACAGACGCTATTTCTGTTTATAGGCCCATCTGCAAGGGGACAAAGAAACTCAGAGAGCTCCATGTGCTGGTAGCTCCAGTCGCTATCCTCCAACGCGCGTCCATCCCTTTCCTGCGCCGTCATTGCTTTTCGCTGCCATGAAGGTCGCTTCTGTTCTTGGACTTGCCGGCCTGGCGGCCCTGGCGCAGGGTGCCAGAATCGCCAGAGACTACGACAAGAACGACTACTATGTACTGCACCTCGAACCGTCGGTGCAGCCTGGCGATGTCGCCATGCGCCTTGGCTTGACGCACGAAGGCCAGCTTGGAGAGCTTACCGACCACCACGTTTTCCGCGCCGAGAAGCATGAGCGAGATGTTGTCAGAGATGAGGTTCGGGAGCGAAGGAGGAGGAAGCGAGACATTGGCGGGTACGATGTCCTGGACGGAGTCCTTTTGACCACCAAGCAAAAGGCTCGCAGCCGTCTGCAAAAGCGAATCATTCCGCCACGCCCACCCATGGATTTGAATCCCCGTTCTCCTCAGAAGCCGGACGATACGGCGGTCCGTACACAAGAGAATGTCATGAGGGACTTGAGCATTGCCGACCCGATATTCAAGGATCAATGGCACCTGTTCAACACGGTGCAGCTTGGCCATGACGTTAACGTCACTGGGCTCTGGCTCGAGGGCATTACCGGCAAGAATGCGACTGTGGCCATGGTCGACGACGGCCTGGATATGTACAGCCGAGACTTGAAAGACAACTACTTTGCCGAAGGTTCTTGGGATTTCAATGACAACGACCCGGAGCCGAAACCAGAACTGTCGGACGACAGGCACGGAACGAGATGTGCTGGTGAGATTTCTGCGGTGCGCAACGATGCGTGCGGCGTTGGCGTTGCATACGACTCCAAGATTGCAGGCATTCGAATTCTGAGCAGCCCTATCAGCGATGCAGATGAAGCCGAAGCCATGATCTACAAGTATCAAGACAACCAAATCTATTCATGTTCATGGGGACCTCCGGACGATGGCAGATCCATGGAAGCCCCTGATGTCTTGATTCGACGAGCTATGCTCAAGGGCGTCCAAGCGGGTCGTGGAGGCCTTGGCTCGATCTACGTCTTTGCTAGCGGTAACGGTGCAGCCAGCGGTGACAACTGCAATTTTGATGGATACACCAACTCCATCTACAGCATAACAGTCGGTGCAGTCGACCGTGCTGGCCAGCACCCATACTATTCGGAGCACTGCTCTGCCCTGCTAGTTGTCACTTACAGTAGTGGTGGCGGTGATGGCATTGTAAGTTCTTGATCCCTCTCTTCTTTTTCCAAAATCAACATCAGTAGCTAACCAGGTCAGCACACAACCGATGTTGGAGAAAACGCCTGCTACGGCATGCATGGTGGTACATCTGCCGCGGCACCCCTTGCCGCAGGTATTTTTGCCTTGGTCATGCAAGTTCGCCCGGACCTGACTTGGCGAGATCTCCAATACCTTGCTATGGACACAGCCGTCAAGCTTGATGACCAGACGGATGCTGAGTGGCAGAACACTGCTGTTGGAAGACAGTTTAGCCACACCTTTGGCTATGGCAAGATTGACTCTTACGCTCTCGTTGAAAAGGCCAAGACGTGGAAGAAGGTGAAGCCCCAGGGCTGGTACTTTTCTCCCTGGCTGCACATCAAGAAGGACATCCCCGAAGGCAACGACGGGTTGGTCGTGAGTTTTGATGTGACTCCCGAGATGCTCAAGAAGGCCAATTTGGCTCGCCTGGAGCACGTCACTGTCACCATGAATGTTGAGCATACTCGACGTGGCGATTTGAGCGTGGATCTGGTCAGCCCTGAGAACGTCATCAGCCATATTTCCGTCGCCCGTAAGCAGGACAACTTCAAAGGTGGTTACGATGACTGGACGTTTATGAGTGTCGCCCATTGGTAGGTTCTTTTACTTTCCCCTTTCAACTAAAACCCCTTTTCAAGGTGTTACCATGATCCGTTATTCGATGCTAATGATTTCCACTAGGGGTGAGTCTGGCGTTGGCAGATGGACACTTGTTGTCCGAGACACTGAGGTGAACAACGAAAAGGGCAAATTTATTGACTGGCACCTCAAGCTCTGGGGTGAGAGCATTGATGCCAGCCAGGCCAAGCTTTTGCCTATGCCATCAGAGGATGACGATGCCGATCACGACCAGATCCTGTCTACTGTATCAGGTGCAGCCTCAACGAAAACCAACGCAGCAACAAGCTCAACTAAGACGGCGGCTGTCGTGACTAACCCTACCGATCACCCTGTACGACCGACAAAACCTGGAGCCAAGCCCACAGAGTCAACAAAGCCTCAAGAGGGCCCTGTGGATGACAAGCCATCCGACACCGAGCACGAGGCCGCAACTGGCACCGAATCTGCTCAACCATCCAGCACAACCAGCGCGTCTTCATCGTGGGTTTCCTGGCTTCCGACCTTTGGAACGAAGGCCAAGATCTGGATCTATGGCGCAATTGGCCTGATTGCCGCTTTCTGCTGCGGCCTCGGTATCTACCTCTATATCGCCCGCCGCCGCCTCCGCAACAACTCCCGCAACAACTACGAATTTGAGCTCCTCGACGAAGAGGAGACTGAAGGCTTGAATAGCGCGGAGAAGGGTCCCAATGCGGGCAAGAAGACCCGACGAACTCGTGGCGGAGAGCTCTACGATGCCTTTGCAGGTGGTAGCGACGATGACGACGAGTTTGATGAGTACAGGGATCGATCGGCCGATAGGTTGGCGGGTCACAATCCTGATGAGCCGGAGCACTATGCCGTTGGCGAGGATAGTGATGATGACCATATTGAGGAAAAGCAAAGACTACGGGATTGAACATAGACGTTGCTTATTTTGACTTTTGACTTGCTCTTTTTTTGCATGGAAGAGGGAGGACGTTGATCGAAAGCTTTCAGTATTCATTAGACGGAGTATATTTCACATTGGCTTGGTTTATATCTTACATCTCATAACTTACATGCTACTTGTCTATCCATCACTCATTTTGACTTGATGTATTGTTTTTTCGTGTTTGTAAGAGACGTGAGACTTTCTTGGATACAACAGAATTATACTACCTCCTTGTCCTTGATCGGAGTACATGGTGATGCGTCGCAACTTGTACGAATGTTATCACATATTGGTCTATCAAAACAATTCATCCCATGGTATGGTGGCATTCATTCGAGTCGCAAGTTTTTAAGCACTTCTTTATTACAACGCCGCCATAGTATCCCAAACGCCCCAAAAAGTTCTCGATACACCACGCTCTTGAGTTGTTCCTTGACCCTCTCTCTCCTTGTCGTCAAAACCGCCCATCCATCATTATTTACGCTCCATGTTCCAAGTCAAGCCCATGCCAACCCCGCCATCAAAAGTGTATTTTAGCTTCACATACAAGAAAATAGAATGAAAAAAGAAAACATCAAACACTTTACGCTACAGGAACAACACCCTCCTTCTCCATCTCCATGACATATGACTCCCACAGCTCGGCAACATCACCGTAGAACTTGACATGGGCATCCGCCAGGCCTCCCAGCTGCGCCTTCATCTCGATACGCTTGATGCGCTCAAAGTCGGCAACCTCACGGATGACCTCGTCGTCGAAGCGATCGCTCGTCAGGCGGGCGTTTTCAACCTCGGTGCTGAGCTCCTCGACCCTCAGCTCCAGCTTCCTGGTACGCTCGCGCCGGGCCTGCTCGTGATCCACGCCTCGGACATCCTCAATCTTGGCGCGGATGAAGCCGCCCGGCCCGCTGGGTGCGCCGTGGCCCGAGCGCAAGGAGTCTCTCTCGGATGTGGATTTGTTCAGGTACTCTGTCAGTTGCTCGTAATCAAGCTGCTTCTGCTCTCTGGCTTTGAGCAAGTTCTTGAGAGCGAGAGAATAAGCCTGCATGTCGCGCAGCGAGCCAAGGTAATCCTGGTCTGTGACCTCCTTGAGCTGGTGGAGGTTGGCTGCTGTATCCTCGATGGAAGCGGCGAAAGCGTGAACGGCGGGCTCGATGCCGGGTTCAAGGGTAATAAGCTTCTGGAACTGCTCTGCTAGGTCCCGAAGGTCGGTTTCCAGGTCGCCTTCTCGACGGGCCACACGGGCAATGACTTTTTCAATATGGCCGAGGTCTTCGTCGAGCTTGTCGCTTTTTTCCTTGACCTCGATAAAGCGCCTGTCGGGCTGGTGGACCTTGGTAAAGGCATTGATAAAGGTGTCGGCAAAGTTGTCGAAAACGCCGCTAGAGCCGCCGGGGTCGCTCGTTATGCTGCCACGAGCTGTGCGGCTCTTGACCGTCGCGTTCCAGTCGGGGCTCTCGAGGAAGCTGTGCAGGATGGTGCTCCGGCGCAGGACCGGGTGCAGGGACAGGCGGTTGAGGAAGCGCTGCAGCGAGTGGCCACGTCGTGAGGTAAAGTCGTTACCAAAGCGATCGCCACGGACGTACTCCATGCGCTGCTTGTCCGGGATGGGCGGGACGGCGCAAGCCGGATAGTCTCGCATCAGCTGCTTGAACAAGAAGGCAAAGTCGGTGAAGCGCCGCCGTACGGTGGTGACTTCTTTCTGAAAGGATGGGAACGTGGACTAAAGGCCATGTCGTCAGCTAGGCATCACTCAACAGCAATCGATTTGCATAGCCTTGCAACAGCGTCAAGGTGAGATGAGGCGGGGTAACGAGGGGAGATGAAGAGACATTGCGAAAGCAAAAATGAGTTGTCTGCAATCATGACTAGATGTAGATGTAGACAGACGTACGTGAGTGGTGACGAGATACGAGACAAAAGCGTCCTTGGTGCCGTCATTCTCCTTGATGGGCGACCCAACGGTACACTCGAGCTTCTCACGGCCGATGCCTTGCGAGGAGCTGTTTCCAGCCTCGTCCATGGCGCGAGCGGGTGAGTCGGCAGCGGCGACAGCAGCAGAGCGCGCTGCCTGGTCGTGGACATGGTCGCTCCAAGTGACGTTGGAGAAGTCGTCGTTGTCGTTGTCGTGGTGCGTCGTCATGGTCGAAGCATCAGACGGCTATGGTTTCGAGATCCGGGAGTTTGTGCCTGGAGGGAGGGGTTACGGGCTGGAGAGATGCTCGATGGTGTAAGCTGCAGCAATTGATGCAAGGCTATCTTTCGGCTTCTGTAGAGTTGTGATGCGAGTGAATGAAGGGAGAAGAAACGGCGGGCTTGAGTCGAGAATCAAAGGTGGCGTATGTCTGAGGCTAGTTGAGAGGCGTGGACAGGCAGTTGGCTGCTAGCTGTTGGTGTGGAAAGATGCGCGCAATTAGCAGGGCTTAAAGTGCCTAGCAGGTACATGCAGCAGCTGCAGCTGGTTTCGAGGTACATGGACAAGATGGAATTTGTTGAGACAACAGCCCTCTAAAAGCTGTATATCATGACTGTTGGAACACTAGATGAGCTGGAAATGCAATAAGGATAATTTATAACCAGGTATATCGTCTTTTGAAGCTATAATTCCATGGCTGTTACGAGGTACTGTTTCGTCTCCAAAGTCACTTCCCACAGCCTCGGTACCTGGAAGGGACTGATGACGCAACAGCTCGGCCGCATCCAGACAGCCTTTTAACTTGGCATGGTACACAGCCTGCATCGTTTCAACGCTTTCTTTAACCCCTGTCTCTATGATTTCTACTGTACCCCGTATGCTCATCAGTTACTACAGATTGGTATCACGAGGCTGTGCTACAGGTTTGAATTACTTTGCACTTAGTATCTCTGCTCAGTAGTTCTAAAGTAGCTGATAATCAATTTGGCCTTTACTTTCTTGGTCATTAACAGTATGCGTAGTCTATTTGTTTGTTTCCTGTGTGTCGAGATGTCTATGCCGCCCCTTCACCCTGACTACCTAGTAAATAGTTTCCATGTTTCTCATCATCAGGCTATTGTAAACATGTTTCCCTTATCCTTTCAGGGTATGCGGTACCCACTGTACATATGAAATTGCTAAGAATAACACGTCGTTTGACTGCCGGCGCTCTTGTGTACGCCGTAATTTGTTCCTTTATGACCTTTTTTTTTTTTTTTTGGTGCTTTGAGCTTCCTCCTTTTTTTACACTTTATACATTTGCTAGCTCGTCATCATTTCTGCTCCTTGGCAGCGGCCTTGTGCTCGGCCTCGACGGCTTTGATCTGCTCCAGCTCGGCGTCAACCATCTCGCCGGCAGGCTTCTTCTCGAGCCCGCTCTCAGCAGCGGTCATTTGTCGCTCTTCCTTCTCGTCAATGTCGTCAACATCACGAGGAGTGGCAAAGCCGGTTGTCTGGCTCTCCTGGTTCTGCTGCTCCTCTTCCTCGATGAGCTCCTGCTGCTCCTTCAGAACCTCAAGACGCTGCTTGTTGGTAGCGGCACCCTCAGCGTTGTGAACCTCCAGCTCAATCTCGTGGAACAGTTCCTCGGGGATGGAGGACAGAACGCCAACGAGAGCCTCGATCTGGCTTGAGCCCTCGCCAGATCCTTGACCGTACATGTAAGCATTGCTCAGGACCAGCAGCGTGGAGGGAACACCCTCCTTGAGACGCAAGTCGAGCCATGTCTGCAAGTCGGCCCTCATCCTAGCGGGGGATACGCTGTGCGTGCGGATACCACGAGCGGCACATGCCAGCTGCAGCTCTGCGACGGTCAGGCTGTCAGCGCCCTCGTAGGCGATAGCCTTATCATCGCGCTTGATCTGACGCATGCGGTGACGGATCTGGTATCGCAGCATGGAATCTGTGCCAAAGGTGTTGAGACCCATGTATCGGCACATGGACACAAGCTGAGGGCGTGACAGATTGTCCAGAGTCATGTCGTCCCGGAAGATCTTGCAAACCTTGATGACGTCCTGATCGGTGGGCGCCTCGCCCGTGGATCTGACCTTGCGGAAGAAGTTGGCAAACTCCTCCTTCTGAGCAGTCGCAGTCGCCTGGCTCAGGGGAAGACCAGTCTCTTTGAGTGTCTGCCGCATAAAGGAGCTGACCTCCTTCCTCGTAGAACGCAAGAGACTAGCCTTGGCCTCCTTGGACTTTTGCCCCTCAAACGTGCTGGGAAGCATGTTGGGGAAGAGCTTCAAGGCCAGAGGAATCAAGGCCTCACCAAGGGGAACAATGATGAAGATGGAAAAGGGGACCAGCCGACCGAGATCCTGAACAGTGCGTCGAAGCTGCTTGTTCTCTCTGCGGGTAAGCTCATAGCCAGCGGCCATCTTGAGGGCCAACCGCCAGCTGATGCGGACCTCTGTAGCAAGAAGCTTGCTTCCATCCCAGTAATGCTGAGCCTCCTTCTTGACCTTTTGCCAGACTGTCAATTTGACCTCCTCTTCTTTCTTCTTGGCCAGCTCTTTTTGGCCGGTGAGCTCGTCCTTCTTTGCGGCCAGTTCAGTTAATGAGGCGTCGTCAGCGGCCTTGCCGGATTGAACAGCAGCATTGGCCGATGCATCTTTAGTATTTGCCTCTGCATCGGACTTTTTGGCAGCGCTCGAGGGATCCTTGGGTAGCGGCTTCTTAGCCAACTCGGCGTTGAATCCGGGGGGCGGTCCAGACGGCGCATCCGGTCGATGAGGCTCGGTTCCCAATTGGCGCAATGGGACCAACAGGGCCAAGGCAGGAATCTGAGTCTGTCGGGCAATATGTCTGGTGATGAGAGCTGACGAGGCACCTCGGGATAGGTTTCTTGCTATGGGGAGATGTCAGGAGCCATGGCGGTCTGTAAGGGGTTTTGCATAATCTCACCTTGACCCAGCAGGGGGTTGCGAACCACTGCCCTGCGGGCAAGGCTGGATGAGGCGCTCATTGCGAGCAGATGTGTGAATTACAGAACGAAACGGACAACAAGATGATGGCGACACACAGTAAAGACACAACGAGGGCAGAACAGAGATGAAAGAGACAGAATTGATGTCGAAGCCGGTGGATGGAGGGATGATGAAGGAAAGAATATCGATGGGTCCAGGCCGGCATGGAACAGACCTTGAACAAGGGTCGATCGAGAGGTACGTACCGGTTGTTGGCCTTTGGTACGCCACATGTCAGAGGCGGATGCTGGCATGCCATAGGCCAGATCAGAGTTTACGTGGGGCGGTTGGGCTGAAGCCATCCGGCATGTAGAATCACGTGACATAATCTCTCCTGGCGCCAAAGTCAAAGAGACCAGCATTACATAATCTGCCCTGAATCGCAATCGCTGATTTGATGCTGATTTTGAATTGGGCGTTCTGGGCCTCGGACACGTCGGACTTTGGGGGGACGCATGCAAGATGCACTGTATATGTATGCTTTGCTGGCAGCATATGCTGGTTTGTATGTACGGGCAATCGTGGGGATGGGTGCCATGATTTGTTGTGAGAGGCCTACGGGTGCATGTACGGATCGCAAACGCTGGCAGACGCTGTCACCCGTGGAGGAACATGCACGACAATCTTCGTTGGGCTGCACATGGTCGATGCCCTACCTGCTCCTCAGTGAAGTGCGTGAACATGCGATATCTCGGACGACAGCCATGGTTTGGCGTTGATTGCGAAGCATGGAGGATACAGTCCCCGGTGGTGACAGGGTACATGCATTCATGAGACTCCCGGGCAGCGAACAAGATGTCAATGGATCGAATCGGGTTTCAAGAGACTCCAAAGCCAAATCCGAGACGGGGATTGCGCATGGATTAATATTCGGACTCGCAAGAGCTGTGTGTAGCCCTCGACAGCATATGGCTGGCCCTTCTTGGATCATGTCGGGCGTCGCTCGCTCTTTGCTGGAGATTGCTCGGGAACTGGACCCCATCGGACCTTGAAATGAAGCACGATTGTCTTAGAGCATCCATGTACTGCTTTGCTTGTGCCAACAGCCAATTAGCATCTAGCAAAGACCTCAATCCTGTTGGCAGCAACAACAAGACCAGAGCAAGAGCAACAATAGCCCGGACATCCTCTCGTTCACTGCCATTGAACAACGCAGCTGGAGCCGGTCCAATCAGCTCAGGTGCCCGTAGGTGTAAACAGAAAATCGTAGGGGCACCTGCCTTTGCTATATATACATGAAGTAAGAGTAATACATCATCGACTTGATTACTTCCAACTTGTAATCGTACCTGACAGTAGTAGTAAGACTGCATATATCCTCAACTTGGACATTGATCAGCCCTTTCGGGGCCGGACCGCCGCGGACCGACTTGTCCGCACTGCCAGCAGAGCCCATTCTCTCTGATAATTACTGCTTTCAACCTCAAACGGCAAGACGACACTCACCATCCAGGCCAGAGTGCTCTTTGAGCCGAATGCTCGCCCAAGCAGCAGCGCAACGAAATCAGGCAGACGCCGGCTAAGTCGCTGCTTAGCGCCCACCCTTTCCAGTTGTTCCCACTGCAGCAAGGCACCCCTCGTCCCCGGATTTAGCGCACGTGCCGGCCGTTTCCAGCGCTCTCCCAGCACACCAAGGCCGCGAAGCAACCGCTGAAGTAGGTTTTTTTTTCGGCGCATTTGCAGGGCGGAGCGGCGGGGTCGCCCAAGCACACAAGCTCGTGTGTCCTCGACCTCGAACCGGAGTTTGGAGCTAGGACGTCCCATCGCATGTCCATCATCAAACCTCGATTAATCCCGTCCCATCCCACCATCTTTTTTTGCGCCCACAAAGTGCCACGTCCAGCCATGGACTGTGCAATTGCACCCATAAAATGCTTGTACACGCCGTGCGGCGCTTCTTCGGCTCGCACATTCAACGGTTCTGGGCTGCCCCCCCGCCCGTCCCGCCATTGGCAAGACCGGGCCGTTATCAACACTCAACATTATTAACACCTTTTCGTCCCACGCGCTCGCTCTGGTCCTCCTTCTCCCGTCCTTTTCAGCTTTCTGTGACATTTATATAATAATCCTTTCCTTTCTCGTCGTTTTAAAAAGCTCGTATACATCCTTTTTTGTCACCGCGAGGCCGCCTCTGGTTGATTTCCTCTCTTCTACTAAAGAAAGTTTTTTTTTCCCTTGTCGGCCAGGTTTCCCCAAGGACTCCGCGTTGTCCGTCTTCGGGCATTGCTTACGCAGCAGCTGTCTGCATTCAAATACCTTGCCATCCGAAGCTCCTGGACTTTCCAAACGGATTTTTTTCTACTGTCACTATTTCAATCTCGGCTTCACATAGACAATGCAACTCAAGAGAGCAGCGCGAGTAATTCTAGTTGGTGCGCCGGGCGTGGGCAAGGGAACCCAGAGCGACAGGCTGCTGAAGCGCTTCCCCCAGCTCAAGGCCATTAGCACCGGCGACCTCCTCCGTCACAATGTCAAGAACAGAACACCTCTCGGTGAGCAATATAGTAGCATTTGATGCTACCGTCGTTGGTTTAACTAATCATTTAATCAGGCATCATGGCTGAAAATACCATCAAGGCGGGAGGCCTAGTGGCTGACGATTTGATGCTCCGTCTCATCTCAGGAGAGCTTCGATCTCGAGGCTGGCTGCGACCTCCCACCATGACGCTCTCAGCTGAGGCAACTTCAATCGAGGGCTCATTTCATTCCAGCGCCTCCATGGATGCTTTCAACTCGCTGCCTTTCCAAATGGACGAGCACACCATTCCCCAGGCCTCAGAGGACCCCAACGCTTCTTTCATGCTGGACGGCTACCCCCGGACTGTAGCCCAGGCTATCACGCTCGACAAGATTGTGCCCATGAACTTAGTCGTCTCCATCCAGACTCCCTTCTCCGTCATTCTCGAACGGATTGCTGGTAGATGGGTGCACGAACCCTCTGGTCGCGTGTACAACACAAGCTTCAATCGGCCTCGTGTCCCCGGCCGCGACGACGTCACCGGCGAACCCCTCGTCCAGCGCCCTGATGACAACGAGGCAACGTACCGCGCACGCTTCCAGAAGTTCCAGGAGAACAGCGAGCCCATCCTCAACCACTACGCTAAGAAGGGTGTCCTACTCGAAGTCGAAGGCATGAGCAGCGACGAGATCAGCCCCAAGCTGTACGAAGCCTTTGAGCAGCGCTTTGCTCGGTGAAGATCCTGCCCTGTTTACATCACGTCATACCTACGTTTTATTATTGTTTCAACAGCCTTTTTGATATTATTACTCGGTTGGCTTTTTGCTTGATTCGGCGACTTTTTTTTTTTACGTTTTACAGTTTTGGCTATTAATAGGAGTTTACACGTGTGGTTGGGAAAACGCCCTTTGGCTTCAACATTTTTGGGTTATTGTGTTCATGTCGAGGAAGGGAAAGGAGAGGAGGACCCCATGACGGAGCAATTGCCGAGAGTCTTCTTCCGGCTTTTCTTTTTCCCTTACCTTGGTTATTTTTCTGCGTAGTGTGCGAATAGTGTACATATGGGGTGACGAAAAGTCCCCGGCGTTGAATTTTCATCGGAGTTTTAATACCGCGCATTCTGCTAATGTCTGTATATGAAAATGACCTGACGTTCACATGCCTGTCGTGCGACTTGGGCGAGCTACTAAGACGGGACTGAGCTGGATGCTTGCGTCTTTCTCCGCACCCGGGACAGGTACCGAGACTCCACTACCAGGCCGAGGGCCCTTGACTTGTGCTTCTTACCTTCTTGGGCTGTTTTCTCGGCTACAACAACAAACCAACGGCCCGCGGCTCAAAGAATCCCGTCACGGAAACACGAGTGGACTGGACGAACAAATTCCATTGCAATACTCCGAACATTCATGCCACTAGCCGTACATGGCCCAGCTATTGAAATCAAGGACTAAACCAACCTCTCGTCATCCAACTCCCCACCACAGCTCCGTGAATCCCGTAGATACAAAACCACAAACCAAATGGAAAATATCCCAAACAATGCCCAGTGTAAATCAACAGTGAACGGCTGAATAGCCGCCACTACCTATCCTCGGGAAGTCGAAGCTATGACCGCGAACTTGTACATCTCGCTGAGAGATGTGATATCGAGGCAGTCAAAGCTCCTTTAATCGTCCCATTCGTCCCCGCTCCGGATGCCTGGCGGCGTGTTGTTCGAGCGAGAGGAGCTCCCGCCACGCAGTGGTGTATCCTCCTCATCGTCGTCATCGTCCATGGCCTTGGCCAGGTCATCGGGGTCGCGCATCTTGGCATCGGGGTCCACCACTCCGTGAATTTCCTCGTCGTCGTCATCGTGTCGACCAGTGTCTAAAACACCTTCGTCGGCACTGACAGAGATGCCGCGAGATCCCCACCTCGCGCGACCGCCACCGTTGCCTGCCACATTGCTCTCTTCGTCGTCGGTAGCATGAGTGTTCTTGCCGAAGATACGGTGTAAGAACCATCCCCGGCTCAAATCGTCAGCATCAACCACGCCGCCGCCGCGAAGCTTGACTCGCTGTCGTGTGTAGTAGACCCAAGCGAAGTCGATATAGAAGGCAGTCTGGATAATGCCGAAGATAACGGCAATGGCATCAGGCGCCCTGTCGTTGACATCGAGTTCCCGAATGAACCAATTTATGCAGTAAAAAGCCCGGTAGGATCCCAGTGCCAAGAGGTAGAACGAGTCGATTACAGTCGGAACGGTGGTCTGTCGCAACAGCAATAGCTGCGGAAGAACGGCCACGGATTCTAGGATTTCTGAGAAGGACCACATCCACTATCGCCACAGTCAGTAAATAGGCGCTTCGACTTTGGGAGCGAGCCAGGACATACAGTCAAGAATCCCCAACGGAATTTCTTTTCGAAAATCAACATTGCAAAGGGAGACAGAGCAAGAGAGCCAAAGAGGATAATGGCGCCAAGCTTCCAGGAGATCTCACGCTCGCGAGAGCGGGGAAACACCCACTGCATAACGCCGAGAATGTAGAAAGACGTGACAATGTATGTTACTTTGAATATCGCGTTCCATGCCGACTGTTCTCTGAATAGATCAAGGTATCGCGTGCAGAAGACGACGGCGTAGAGGCCTTGTGTGATGAGGGACACTCCCTCCGCGCTGCGGTTTCTGTGGATGGAGAAGATTAGGATGCCCTTGGAGAGCATGTGGACGATGTCGCCCAAGAGGCGAAAGATCTGAGCCGCACCAGTTAGCCTGCATCGTTCTCTATTACATCGCGAGAGGGAGATTGGGGTTCAATCGTACATTCCAAGCTCCCATGATGGAGGTTCGCGGCACAGCCTCGCCGCTGCTTCAGGATCGAAATAAGGAAGAAGCCAAGGCAGTAAGAAAGGGGCAGAGATGCGACTGCAAAGAAACAAAGTCAAGAACTTTTATAGGGCGTAAACCATCGAGTCTATCCGGTCGATCGCAAAGACCGTTGAATAGGAGATGCTCAAGGTTCGGGGAGAGAAGCCGAAAAGCAAAAGCAAAAGCATGGAGCTGAAGCTGAGCTTGCGTCAGATCCCGAGTCGCAGGAGGCACGACACAGCCCCACTTTTGTGACGACGCCTTGGTAGCTGCATATTATGGGCAACGTGTACCTGAGATTGCTAGCGTCGATTGCTTTGATGCAAAGTATCTTCAGGTTGAACGTTTTCAGCCATGGCCATGTTAAAGCTTCATGATGAATCATAGGTACCTTAGGTACCGCTACAAAACTATGAGAGTGCCAAACTTACACCGTAATGTCAGCATCTGCCTCTCGAAGTGTGACAGCTTGGAAACGCTATACTTTGCCCTTTGCTGCATGTGGGTGTTTGTTGTGCCATCTGAAAGTGAAGGCTTGGACTGCTGTACGGAGTACTGAAACCAGTAGAGGTACTAACCAATTTCCCCGTGAAATTCCCCGCAAGGTACCAGGGAGACGTTTACGACGTAATACACCTTGATACTCCTTTAGCTCGTATTAGGACAGGCGTTTCACAACCCTCTCCCTTCACATCCAATTCTCATCAGAATGTGTCTGTGCAATGGCTCAGCCTGATTTTATAGGGCGAGGAGGTAGAAGGTTTGCTAGTGAAAAGCCTGTACTGTACCTGTAGAGCCCCGTTTTCAGAGGTACTTCTTTGGGAGCCCAAAATCAGTGTCGCGTGATGTCACCACAGCGGTGTTTTTTAGGTACCGCTGGAGCCGGAATTTGTCAATTAGTTCCAGGGGGGTTTTTCAACAAAGGGTGGAATTATCAGAATCAAAATCAACAAACAAAAAACATGACTTCTTCTGCCTCTCAAACAGCGCGCCGCATCGACAGTCTCCAGGTGCATCTTCAATTTATTTAGCAACCCAAATAGGATCGATACGCGCGTCAACCCCCATGTACTGCTCCCACCGCTGCCGAAACAGTCGCTGCTGAGTGGTCGCTTTCTAGTCCCCCTTCACGGCATCGAATTGCCGACGCCAAAGCGTCACCAGTTCCACCCTGGATTGGATTTATTAATTGATATTACTCTGTTGTGTTTCTGAGATCCGTGTTCAAAAGGGGGGTATTTGAGGAGACAAAAAGAGAGGCTGCGCCTCTACCGACGAGTATCAAATCAGCCCCAAATGAAGTCCTGCAAGAGCATCATCATCGCAGCCGCGTGGACAGCGTTGGCTTGGGGTATTAGTGCTGCTCCGTCGGCAAAACCCAAGGCTCCTGAGCCAAAATATTTCCGTGAGTGGATATTGAGAGTGATGACGCGGCTACTCAGCAGTTGCCATATACTGACAAGAACCGCCTGTAGATGAAAATCCGTGAGTATCTTAGCTACGGCTATGTAACTGTTACTGTTACTAGTGTTTGCTGCTCTCATGTCTAACACAGAATCGATAGCTATGATGTTCACTATGATGACCGATACTCTCTCATACTTCTCGAGGACCCTGAGCAGAGAGAGGCCATCAAAGTCTTAGTCCAGACGTATCTGGCAACATTCCGAGACTTGGGCATTCAAACATGGCTGATGCATGGGACTCTTCTCGGATGGTGGTGGGGTAAGAAGGTGTTTCTACCTTGAATCCTTCACACTCATTATAGTCCTTTCTCGCTCTAACCTGCAATCTCAAGGTCATGCCGTGGGACTATGATGCGGACGTCCAAGTCACAGAGGCAGACATGTATCTTCTAGCCGCCTATCACAACATGACCATATACTACTACAAGTACGGCACGATGGAACAAGGTCGCTACTTCCAGCTCGAGATCAACCCGTATTTCGTTCACCGAGATCAAGATGATAGGTCCAACGTCATCGATGCCCGGTGGATCGATATGCAAAATGGACTATATATCGATATTACTGCGGCAAGATATGCTCTTAATCATGAGCAGGGCGAAGGGATTTTGTACGACAAATATGGCCACGAATATCGCGTAAGGACAAGTTTTGGTTCTGAGTAACTCGTCATTCATAAGGTGCTAATGTGCGCAATAGGATACATATGTCTTCCCGCTGCGAGACACAACTTTCGAGGGAGTACCCTGCAAGATTCCCTATCGATACGAGGAAATGCTGCAAGCAGAATACGGAAAGAAGTCTTTACTTTATACGAAATATCACGGGTATGTTAGAAGGTCCTTTATCTGCACTTTGGCAGCTCAGCTGACATTCAATTTAGCCACAGATTCGATAACGAGACAAGGTCGTGGGTTCCCCTTGAAGAAACGGAAGAAGAATTATAGTTTAGCCATATGGATCGCATCAGCATATGTAGGCGTTGGTACTCTCGATATTCATGAGATGGTGTTGGCATTTGACGACGATTAGAGTATGGAATAATGGCAGAATAACTGGCGGGTCCGGTACATGGATGAGGATATTGACAGAATAGCACTATATGAGGCTTTAAAGTCAAATCATCAAAGGTGCTTGGGATATGTATTTATGTTTGTTTACGATTACACAAAATGGGATTATCGTGGCGGACGAGTGCCATGACCGAGATATCTTCAATCTTTTATGCGTTTCCCCTTCGAGTATCTGTACTTTCTATCATACACCAATTAAGCGTCTCACTATGTATATGTACCTGAAGATTCCCAAACCCCCCACTGCATTAATCAACGCGTGTCTCGAAACAGTCGTCGCGTCCTAGCTGCCGTTGGAATCCACTTTTAACGCCTCCAACTCGAAGCTCTCAGATTTGCATCTGCCAGTATCGCAACCTCCAAATCTTCTCCTCATTTACGACAATCAGCGCGCTTCGAACCCACGCAGGAAGAAAACCACCGATTGACCGATAGATGGATGTCAGATGCCACATGTAGAGGCTGTATAGCGCAATTCCCTCCCTGCCTTTAAGATGGCCACAGGCGTGTCTCACCGAAACTGCTTCATTGAGCTATCTAGAATTTCATTCTAACAAGCACACAGGACGACAAACCCGCGCGGACCGCTTGAATGAGCGTCTTCGAGGCGCGCAGTAAGTCGACGTTTGATAACTGCTAATGGCCAGTTCGCTTATTGCTCTGCAGGCGCGCCAATGTCGACGACGAGTCCTTCAACCTCGACATCAACAGCCTCGACATCGGAGGTCTTGCCATTGCATCATCTATCGCATCAACCTCAAGTCCCGCGACCCGGAACAAGTACTCTCCCACTACCTCAGCAAAGAGAAGGAGACTGGACAAAGATGCGACAGCTCCTCCAGAGCCGAAATCGAGTTCCACTCCTCGACGACGACGGGTCAGGTCTCGGCCTATAGAGCCACCGATCGAACTGCCTACTCTACCGAGCGAGCCGATGGAAGAGGATGGCGAAGATGACGGCCCTACACCTAAGGCCAGTAGGACATATCGAGTGCCAATGTCTATAAGTTCGGTACGGACAGCCGGTCTATCGGTTGAAGAAGCTCAGGACGAGCTTGAAGCCTTGCCTCCACACCCTAGTGCAAGATCACCCGTACCTATGCGATCACCTACCTCGGCACACAAATCCGATCTAATCATGGAAGAGGTTTCAGAATCTCCTGCTGATGCGCCTGGAAGTGGAAAGCGACGTCGGGTACCTATGAGCGAGACGCTCAGCTCAACTGTGAAGTTAATGGGTGTGTTATCATCAGATGACGGGATTCCTATGCCCTCGTCCCCCCTTAAGAATAAGGCGCGACGTCGCAGTGGTGCAGCTACAGCTCGATCCTCGCAGAGATCAGCTGGAAGAGTATATGGTGGTCGTGATACGAGGCACTTGGCGGATGAACTGTCGTCAGATAACTTGCCTCAATTAGCAGGGATAGAGGAGGAAGAGGAATTTGTGGAAATAGAGGCTGAGGCCGCTACCGATTTGGTTATTGAAGAGAGCACTTTGGCACAAGATGAGGACGAACAAGAGGAGCAAGAGGAAGACCAAGAGAACTCTGATGGCATTGATGTGGAAGAAGTGGCAAGAATTTTAAAGAGGGGAAACGCGAGAGTACCACGGGAACCATCTCCAGAGCTGGGATCCCAGGAATTGGAGGATGCAGGAGAAATAGAAGAGGAGGAATTAGAGCCTGAGCTTGAACCAGAGCCCGAATCGGAGCGAGAATCGGAACCCGAACCCGAGCCAGAGGAGGAACCCGAGCCAGATGTAGAGGAAGCAACTGAGGCCGAAGAAGAGGAAGAAGAGGTGACAGTCCTGCCAACACCTCCTAAGAGGAAACGCGGACGGCCCAGCAAGAGCCCGGCTACTCAAAGACAACCTGCTGCCAAGTCGAAACCCGTTAAACCGAGGAAACGCGTTGAAGCACAGCCACGGGATGCCAGCGAAGAACACGAAGAACCGCAACCTAAGAAGGCCAGGGCGAAGAAGAGACATAGCGACCAGAGCGAGGGCGATGGCGGGACAATTGAAATCACTGTCCAACGATTTGTTAACCGCAAGAAACGTGGCCATGAGGATGACGATATAGATCCTCTACAGAATGAGATGGCATTCGTCAACCACGGAGGAGAAAGCGTCATTGATGTCTTTGCTCAGGTCTGCGACGAGGTGATTTCCTCAACATTGGAGCAGCTCCAGGAGGTGGCCGGTAACGCAGAGGATCCAGCGAAAAAGAAGGAGTATCGCATCAAAACGCGAGCCATTGAGGCTTACCGAGAGGAGCTCAAATCTCGGTTCCTTCAACACGTATGTACTGAGCAAATGCGAGTCTGAACCATATGATGCGGTACTAATGATGCGTCCTTAGGCTATTCACTTAAATCACTGGCATTCGTTGCGAAAGCGGGTTCGACACGTACAGAAAGAGAGAATGGCTTTGCGCGAGGAGATTATGCGTATCAAAGCCGAGCGAGAGCAGGTTGCTCTTCGAATGGATGCTATCAGAATCAAACACGAGGCCGATTCTAGAGAGTCAAAGGTAAGAGCCAATTGAGACTTTGCTTTGTCGAGGTACTGTACTGATGAGCGTGTTGCAGTATTGTCTCGACGCATCTTCTCTTATGCACGATGTAGACCTTGCTGTGGAACAGGGCAGGGAGGCGCCCGAGCTTTCGCAAGCCGCACAAAGGGAAGCCGAGCTGGCTAATCTCGAGCTGCTTGTATCCCGCGTATCGGAGCAAGCCAGCTCGTCGAGCTTCACAGGCGGGATGCTCAAACAGGTCAAGGAGTTCAATTCATTCTTAGAGCGGGCTGCTATGGCACTTGAATCACGATGATACCCCCTCGTTGTTAAAGCAATTGTTTATTCATTATTTTTGTACAATACCCCCCTTGCCTTACTGGATCTTGGCCTTGCTGAAATCCATCTCTGGGTGTTGCTCCTGGAATTTCTTGAGGATATCCATCTTCTTCTGCTCGTCCGAGGTCGGCAGGCCAGCCTCCTTCTGTCGCTGGTCAAACATCATCTTCTCAACCATGCCCCTGGTCTCGCCGTCGAGATCGGAGAGCTTGGAGTTTTCGGGCTGGATCTTGGTGACGTCGATGGTGGGTGCGCTGGTAACGACGTGTGCCCACCACTCCATCTTGTTGACCTTGTCGAGGTGGATTTCTACGCTCTTGGTGCCGTCGGAGTTGGTGGACAGGGTCCAAGTAGAGTCGTCGACACGGATCGCATGGGGGAGATCGCCCTGTTGGTAACACTCAGAATGAGCACATGTATATAGATAGATAGAAAGCTTCTGTCTCGTTTCGTTTCATCTTTGAATAAACGAAGATGAAGAAAGGGAAGCGTTTAGGTCGATCTTGCGGAGAGCGACTATGGCGCATCATGATTATAGCAGAGGGAATGAATGTCATACACTGATGATGGGTTCCTGTCCCTTGACGCCGGCAGTCAACGTCGTCTTTTTTATATCAACCACCAGGTCTCTCGACTTGTAGTTTCCGGGGACGTTGAAGGAGAGATCCAGCTCGCCGATGGTCTGGGTCCATTTGTAAGGCAGCGCAGCCTGTTCCTCGGCCTCCTTCTTGCGCGCGGCGGCGTCTTCAGCGGGGGATGGATCTGCAGGTAGCCGCAGCTTTGTTAGCTATTTGAATCATGAAGATGTATGATACAAGGCAGAAATGTAGATGGAGGTGAGAAAAAGGCAGTACAGCCTGTCAGGTTGATAGTATCTTACCCTTGTCAGCCATGGCAAAGCACTATGAAGCTTGTGAAGAACTTCTTTGCCTGTGATATCAAAGCACTGAAGGTAATGGTAGACAATGGATGCTGGTGGAAGTTTAGCTTGCGTTGGAGGGGCAGATGCGCTAACAATGAGCCTGGCAGATGCTAAAAGGCCCGCAAGCCAATGATCTGGCGGGGATCCTGCTTACGTACTCCCAGTAGCCCCCGAAGCTTAAACTGCAAGGGCGGAAAGCTATCCGGCCGATAATGAATTGTCAGCGATTGGAATCATTCTCTCTCTCTCCTACACGTCGCGTGCCCCAAGGCGATTGTCCTTGATATAAAGACATAGACCGCATCGAATATCGCCACAGCCAGATAAACGATCCATAGGACTCAGCTTTTTTGGCTACGGAGCGCCAACGCGACCGCCGTGTCTGACTGGCGTCAGGCCATCTGCACTTCCATCTCGAAGCTCGAGTCTCGCATCCTCAGATCGCGGTTCCATTATCAACTCGCAACACCCGAAACAATGTCTCGTGCAGGCGGCACCAGCACCATCTCGGTGCGCCATGCCTCCAGCTCCTCCGCCTCTTTCGTCTCCGCCCCTCTCCCGCCCGCAGACCAGGACGAAGCTTGTCCCGTGTGCAAAACCACACGCTACTTCAACAAGGACATGGAGTTCAAAATCAATACCGAGTGCTACCACCGCATGTGCAAGACGTGCGTTGAGCGAATCTTCAAGGACGGTCCGAATCAGTGCCCTTATGCGGGCTGTCACAAGACGCTCCGCTTAAGAGGCTTCAAGACGGCCTTCTTCGGAGACTTGGGCGTCGAGCGGGAGGTGGACATTAGGAGGAGGGTGGCAGCCGTGTTCAACAAGGCCGAAGACGACTTTGAGAGCCTGGACGCGTACAATGACTATCTTTACATGGTGGAATGCCTCACCGACGACCTTGTCAACGGAAACGACGAGGCTCGCAAGAAGGCCGAAGTCCAGCTCTCCGAATGGGAGGCCCAGCACAAAGCCGAGATTGAGCGCAACCGCAAACTCGCCCGCGAATCCGACGAATCACGGCAGAAACGTCTCGCCCTGGAACAAGAGGCTGCTCGACAACGCCGTATCCAGGAACTGCAGGAGGATGCCGACGAGAGAGCCAATGCCGCGCGGTTCCGGGAGGAGATGCTCAATTCCCTGCAGAACGCAGAGCTTGGCCATGCTGAAGAGACGGTCGATCGGATCTTGCTCAAGAAACGAGGACAGCAGAAGCGCGATGCTACGCTGGATGCCGTTGCGACGCTGGGAGGCGGCTTGTCGATTCGTGGTCTGAGAGAGAAGCGTACTGCCGTGTTGGATGATAAACCCTACGATCCGTTTGGCGGTCTGGATCTCGCCCCTCAAAGAGTCGATTTGGGAAGCGAGAACCTATCGCAGTACAAGAGCGAGTGGCTCGACATTACGCGCACTAAGGAGGATTACATTGTGGGCGGATACAGCTCCGAGGAGTACCTTACGAGGGCTCTGTTCGAAGCATTCTCTGGTCTAGGCGTGTTTGTTGCTGAAGACAAGGATATTAGAGAGGAAGCAACTGTGGCAGCTTCTTTGGAGGCTGGTGCGGCGGTGCCAGTGGGTAGGAAGATGGACGTGGATGATCCATTTTGAAGAACGAATTCTTGACAGCTGTCCCTTATCGGGATTGAGAACATCTCGACATTGCAAGATATCGGGTTTTAAATTACTCACTCGATCTTCACTAGAGTATAAATGTTTTTGCATTTCAAGGCGTTAGCGGGGGGTCATGTGTTGAAATTATAACAAGGCGATATGGGTAGGCGTTTAGAACTTGGAGGATTTTTGTTTTGTTGATATTTCTTTCTTTTTATTAATCAAGATCGATACCATGACATATTATTCTAGGCTAGATATACAGGCAGTTTGTTCAACAAGAAATGGCCATCCAGCATCTCAAGTTTTATCCTGGCAACTTGGATATTAGAAAGTGATGAAGCAGTGATTTTTAAGCAAATAGGTATTTTATTCCTCTGCATATCGCTACAGTATTAATACTACCCCAACTCGACGATAGTTGGGCCCCTTCCATGAAGAAAATGCATTTATAAACCTAACGAATACTCTTTGCATCCCTCGCCTCCCCAAACGAAACCCTCCGCCCAACAACACGCGATACTACCAATCCGAATCGTTCCAGTCTGCCCTATTCTTTCCGTCTCGTCTTCGCTTTCTTAGCAGAATGCCGCTCCCTTCTGTGCTAAAAGCCATTCCCCCCCAGTAATAAAAGCTGTGTGAATTTGCCTGCTAAAGAAATAATTCCTCTAGAAATTCTGACTAGTAATAATGATTCCACGACCGAATCCTTCCCCTGGACTGAACAAAGAATGAGGACGAAGAAGAAGAAGAAATACACCCAAAAGCCAATAAACGCCTCGCTGCTTGATGCGATCGATATGTAAGAGCAATAAAAGAGAATAGCGGAAACCCCCCGTAGCAACGAATAAGACCCATGAAAGGAAAAAAAGCAGGCGATAAAGAATGACGAAATCCAGTTTACCAGATCACAAAGGCTTTACATGATTCAAAAATATTGAAGAAGCAAAGGAATTTATTGTTGCCAGGGCGTCTGCTGTGCCGGGCGAGGGAACACGGGCACAGTTTGGATGTGATCAATACCGCCACCAATCGGAGTCTGATTATGCTGCCAGCCCATACCGGTAGCGTGGTTGACAAAGGCGCCTTGGCGGAACGGATTCGTAACACCTGTTGGCTGTGGAGCAAGCCCCGAAGATTGCTGCTGCTGGTCCTGGAGCTGTTGTTGCTGTTGCTGCTGCTGCTGCTGCTGCTGCGGAGCTTCGGTGGGAACGTTGCGAGCAAAAGGGTTGGTGCTCGTGGGCTGGGGCTGTACGGGCTGGGCTTGGAAAGGGCCCGTATTCTGGCCTGGAGAGTTTGTTGACCTGGCAAAGGGGTTGGTTGATTGGCGGTTGAGAGTTGGCGTGCTCGACGTCGGTGTTGACAGCTGAGATGAAGAGGATGTCGGCTGTGCTACCAGCATGGACTGGCGGAAAGGATTGGTCATGCCCGGAGCGGCAAGTGACGGCTGGAGACCAGTAGGTTGAAGGCCAACGGGTTGAAGGCCAGTGGGCTGGAGACCAACAGGTGGTTGCTGTTGTTGGATAGGAGTCTGGAAATTGGCAACAGTGTTCTGCGGGATAGGGCCCAGTTGTGGCCCAAAGCCGCTGAAGCCGGTAATGGTCGGCTGTAGTTGCGCAGGGGGTTGCATAAAACCATTGTCCTGCTGTGGAAAACCATTGCCCTGGACAAATCCTTGAGGTTGCTGGACAAAATTGCCTTGCTGGAAGCCTAGCCCGACGTTTTGCGCCTGGAAAGCCAAATCCTGCCCCTGAGCTTGAATGGGCACTTGCATAGGAGGCTGTTGGGCGGTGACTTGCATCGGTATCTGGTTTTGCTCAATCGAGTCAAAGAAGTCGATGAGGTCGGGGTCCGGTCCTTTGTTAGCTTGAGGCTTTGATTCGACCTTGGCAGTCGCATTTCCACTGTTGGGGAGCGGGAACGGATTGTTAGCCGCAGGAGATGGTGCCTTGGGGAAGTCGATTCCGCTCTTTGTAGCCTTGGACTTGGATCCCTTGTTGCCCTTCTTTGCCTCTTGTTCTGCCAGGTACTGCCGCCGGTGGATCTCGAAATCCGGATCGTTGAGGTATTCCTCAAGCTGGCGGCCCAAGTTAACGGGCGCATGCTTGAGCTTGGGAACTTCAACCCTGGTATGATGCTGCCACTGTTTCGCAGTGCTGAGGTACTGGACGACGTAGTCTGTGTGCTTAGTGAAAGTCCGATAGATTTCCATAGCTCTGTCGGCGTCCGGCTTTGACATTTCAAAGAAATGACCTATAGTAGTAACGTTAGAATGGACTCAATATTCAGCAAAGGTACCCAAATCTGACCAAGAATGTTAATAAGTCCTTGGTTCAAGACCTGGAACAAAGGTAAAAGGTCGAGGACTAGTAATCGGAATACGGCAATCGTGATCTCGGTCTCTGGTTCTTGATCGAGGAGCTGCGAGAAGGGTAAGCTTCAGTTCCACTATCAGGAAAGTCTTTAAAATATGACGCACATCGCATTTCAGTAAGGCCGTAAGCTGATGCTGAACGACTTCCGTCTCTCGCAACAGACCCTTCTCGACAGTGAGTCTCTCTAGCCTTGATTCCGGGGCGCGCACCCAATCAGTCTTGGTATCGCGATATGCGCGAACTCGCTCGATGAGGTAATTGGCATAGTGGCGGATGTTTCGGCCTTGGGTTTGAGCTATTGTACGCTGTTAGTTCCCTGATGTGGTTATAGCTTCTTGGTGGCTTCGGTTGGAACGGACCGTCTGCAAAGTTGCTAATAGCCAGCATGTTTCGATGTCGGGCAAGGTACGCCAGTGTCGCCTCTGGAGACCCCTCGCGGATCATGAGATGAACCGTCATCAAGCTCTTGAAGACGACGGTCCATGTTGAGTCGTGAAGTCGGTTCTGGAGCGCGCGAAGGACCTCGGCGATGCCAGCCTCGCCGGAGTGAGTACCAACTAGGATGTGCTCGATATACTTGGTCTTGGGGGGAGCATTCTGCAGGCGCACATAGACGAGGAGTAGTTAGCCATCTGGTTGGTTGTCTTGGGGGTTGCCCTGCTTCTGTCTCCGTGTTTGGTCTGGCGCTGGGAGCCCAAAGATGGATAGATGCCCCATCGCCATAACAAGAGAGAGAGAGAAACAACCGTCGCCATCGTCATTGCTTGCCAACAGTGACGCTGGAGCTGAGCGGAGTTGAGCAGAGCTGGAGGCGCAACTCACCTTGATCTTGGTCGCCCCCTTGACGGACTTCTCAAAGGAGCTCATGGTTGCAAGGTGTGATCGGGGGCCGTGCTCGAGGGAATTCTTCCGGCTGAGGGACAATCGTCAAGTCGTCGGTGGTGGATAAGAAAGTTGGGCGACTGAACGGGTGTCAGGCCGAACCGGCAGCCGGGCGGAGCTTTGGTTTGGTTTGGGGTTGGTGGGAAGATGCTGGTATTGCTATTGGATTGCTATTGGGCACCAGTAAGTCGAGAGTTGGGTTGAGGTTATGGCGATACCCCGAGCGCTGCGGCACGTGGCGGCGGAAGCAGCGGAAATATGGTGGCTGGGCAGGGAGACGAGAAGGTCACTCACTAACGGCAATTGACTTTACTGTAGATATGCCTTGCCGCGCTGTATCTGTATGTACATAATTCACCATGCAGTGCAGAGGCGTCATATGCAAGGCTGCGTATTTTAGTCTAGGTAGTTGCTTTAGCCAAACCGGTTATTTTTCAACCAGCAGCAGCAGCAGCAGCAAGAATCACGAAACACGGCAGACGCATTGCTTTTATATCAGTGCGTATGACTTTCCACTCAGGCGCAATTTGGGACACGGCACGGATATTTATTTTTTTGCTAATAGCAAATTAAGGAACACGAACCAGGTTCTGTTTGATTATTACAGCATCCCGACACGATCAAAGAGCTAAGCCCTGCTCCGTAACAAGATGCAAGATGCTACAAATGCGAAAATCATGGGTGGGAGAGATACATTGCCGGGCAAACAAACAACAAGCAAACAGAAAATTCAAAAGATAGAAAAACAATAAAGCAAGTAAACAGACAATAAGAAAGACTTCCACTCTTTATAAATCAGAGCTTTTTTTCATCGCGTCCGATGCAATAACAAGGTCGGTGTGTCGAACGCCCATATCATGAAACCAGCCCTCCATCACCTCCAAACCCTGAAGCCCCGAAGGAAGAGTGTTGAAAGGTCAGGAAGGCGGCTCCTGCATCATATTATACACGCAATCTCATCACCTGCAGTCTCAGTTAGCAATTGCACGCATCGTAGAGTTTCGCGGCGGTTAGGGTGCGTACGTTTATTTGAATGGAAGGGATAGAGAAGAAAAGAAAAGAAAAAAATCTAGCTCGCCAAACGCCGGCAGAAATTTAAAGCTCTGCGCAGGCGTGGGGTATCCGGGAATTCATCGGGTGATCGGGCGGCTTCTCTCTACCAAGGTCCATCTTCTATCTTATCGGCATCAGTCATGCCATATTTCTTTGCGCAAGTCATACTTCTATTATTGAATGACAATCTCTAATTAATATTAGGCAATGGGGCCTCTTGTTGGTTCCCGTAGCCTGACATTGCGTCGTCATGTTTGCATCAACGCCTTTGCCGCAGCAATTCCACGACGGGTGATTTACAGGAACAGCCGACTTTACTCACAGGTAGCCAAGGATGAGGCAGAAAGCTCATCAAAGCGCACCAGCTTATTAGACCTTTGGCATAAATGTGAGCTTTTTCACTGGAAGAATTCTCTTTAAAGCCAATAATTTCTGACTTGCGACAGATGAGGCCAATGATGAATTACTTGGACTCGGATCAGAGGACATCTACGTGGGATTATTAGGCAAGAGTCGCAATGTCTCAAAGCATCTCTCATTCGCAGATCTCACCACACCGTCCGGCGAAATCATTCAGGTCTGCTCTAGCTCTGAAAGAGACAGTGAAGCCCATGACGATTTCCGCCAGGTTCCAGCTTTCAGTCCCGTGCTTATTCGTATAAAGCAACAAGAGGCTGTAAACGCCGCTGAGCCCACTGCCAGTGAAGGCTCATCAAAACGAACTGTCTACCTTGACAGCATACGGGCCCTCAACAGCGTTCCGAAAAATCTCATAGTGACGCCCGAAGTCCAGTTCCCGCCAACAAAAAGACACCTCCAGATCCGATTTCACCCGGAATTACAAGCCAGACTTCAATTTAGATCATGGCTGAAAGGAATGCTTAACCACAGCTTGCTCCAGAAGGGTTTCACTGATATAGAGACGCCGACTCTCTTCAAGTCTACCCCCGAAGGTGCTAGAGAATTTCTTGTCCCCACACGACAAAAGGGTACCGCTTATGCTCTAAGTCAAAGCCCTCAACAATACAAGCAGGTCCTCATGGCTAGTGGTATTATGCGTTATATGCAATGGGCTCGCTGTTACCGCGACGAGGATCTCCGCGCCGATCGGCAGCCTGAATTCTCACAGGTAAGTCGAATCTCAAGATATCTCGCTGCAACTTGGTACTGACGACTTCGACTAGCTCGATATGGAGTGGGCGTTTGCTGGAGCCGAGACTGTGCAAAAAGATATCAATGATATCATCCTAGGAGCATTAGCCGCCCTGCAGCCTGCACATAGCTACAAGGAGATTCGAGGGGAGGTGGTTCCAGTTGTTGCTGATATACCTTCTACTCCACCGCCAGCAGACCAACCTGTGGCCCATCAGTTTACCAATCTTACTTTTGCAGATAGCATTGCGGCGTATGGCTCTGACAAGCCAGACTTGCGTATTCCGTTGAGGGTGAGACAATTCGGCGTAACCGCATTGATCATATACTGACGTGTCATAGATACACGCCCTCCCGGATCTTGAGCCTTATCGTAACTTCGTTGGCATGATCACTCATCTATCTAACCCTCTTATAGAGGCCTTCACATTGCCATTGAACGGCTGCTCTCCCTCGGATGCGCGCAAATTTGTCACTAAGTTTATGGACGAGCTCCCCGCCTCTCTGGCAAATAACCCAGATGGCAAACCTCAAATTCTCATCCACGACTCGAGCAAGCCACTATGCGGGTTCTCTTCGCTGGGCTTTGAATATGAGAGCGTTTTGGACTTAGTTTCAGAAAAGCAGGGTCTTCAAGACGGAGACCTTGTTGTCTTCCAGGCACGCGAGAAGCCTGCTGGACAATATTACTCGGGCTCAACTAGAATTGGAGACGTCCGCAACTTGTTGTGGAAGGCACTTGTGGAAGCAGGTTACATGGAAACCCCACGACTTGGTGAGCCAGGATCGCTCCGGTTTGTATGGGTAACAGAGTTTCCCATGTTCAAGCCAGTTGAAGAGGGTGAGCCTGGCCAGGAGGGCGCAGCAGGAATTGCGGCTTCTCACCACCCCTTCACGGCTCCTCTCTCCCAGAAAGACTTAGAGCTACTCTTTACCGATCCCCTAGAGGCAAAGAGCGCTGCTTATGATCTGGTCCTCAATGGAATTGAGATTGGCGGTGGTAGTGTGCGTAACCATATTGCGGACGTTCAAGACTTCATCATGCGGGACGTTCTGAAGATGACCGACAAGAGAATCAAGGACTTTTCTCATCTGTTCGAAGCTCTACGATCAGGATGTCCTCCTCATGCCGGCTTTGCACTCGGATTTGATCGACTTGCGGCCCTGATGACCGGCACGCCGACTGTCCGAGACGTCATAGCCTTTCCGAAGACGATGAAGGGAGAAGATCCTTTCGTTCAGTCACCCAGCAAGCTCAGCAATGAGCAGCTTGCTCCATATGGCTTGCAACTCCGCTCAAAATCTGCTTAAGTTGAGAGTGGAGTATTCTTTACCACTAATATTTCGATCACTGGGATCATCTCAAGAGTATTCATATGACTGATTAGATAGGACGGCCACTGGAACCCGATCATGTAAATGAGAACTGTATGACTATGACGTGCAGAGTCTTGGACGCAAATCTTGTATAATAAATGTCCAACCACAGCACCATTTAGACAGCATATATTCCATTCAATAACATTACGAACAAATTTCAATCTTTTCATATGCTGTTTGAAGAAAACATGTTATCTTATCCAGCTTGTCCCTTACAATAAAATCATTGTTCAGTGCCAGTTCTCTAGCGCCACTTTGGGTTCAACGGCGCCACCAGGCACTAGCCACGCTCGCCCTCACCGCCAAAAATCTCAGAATTCTGCCGCTCTGCCACCTTCAAGCACTGCTTTCTTCAGATCGCAGCGACGTCTTCGCATTTGAAGCCGCCAAAAACTCCTTTTCCACCAAATCTATCTACGGAAACGTCGTCGTAGCCGCAGAGATGTCATCTTTGCGAAACTCGATTCAGCGGCGCCCCCATCGGGAGCGTGCGCAACCCCTCGAGCGCCGCCGCCTCGGTCTCCTCGAGAAGCACAAGGTACGAGACAAAAGTCAAGACAGCAAATCCTCAATCTTTATCCCTGGGAGCTTCTTTTAGAAAAGTCTTGATGAAGTGATGCTGACGGCAGAGTTCAGGATTACTCCAAGCGTGCAAAGGACTACAACCAGAAAAAATCCCAGCTCAAGGCCCTCCGCGAAAAGGCCGCCGAGCGCAACGAAGATGAATTCTACTTCGGCATGATGTCGCGCAAAGGGCCCGGCGCAAAGATCAACGTCGGCAGGAAGTGGAACGGCAGGGTCGAGGGCGACCGCGGGAACAACAAGGGCATGGACCAGGACACGGTGCGGCTGCTCAAGACGCAGGACCTGGGATACGTCCGCACGATGAAGCAGGTCGCCGTGAAGGAGTTGGCGAGGTTAGAGCAGCAGGCTGTCTTAACAAAGGGCCTGGATCAGCTGGCCGAAGAGGATGATGATGAGGATGACGACGATTTTGATCTGGATGACGAGATTGATGGCCCGTCAAAACGAAGGTCAAATTCAAATGGTCCCCGGAAAATCGTATTCCTGGACAACGAAGACGAGCGAGACGAAGCCCTACAAGCAGCTGAAGACCAAACCACGAAAAGAGAAGACCAAGACGAAGCGTTCGAACGATCAGAAAACCTCAACGAACTCAAGCGCAAGCTCGAGCACTCGCGCAAAAAGGTCAAGGCCCTCATGACCGCAGAGACCCAGCTCGAGGTCCAGCGCGCCAAGATGGCCAAGACGGCTACTTCAGGCGGAACGACGAGGAGAGGGAAGAAGATTATGGTTCGGAAGAGGAAGCGGTAGAGGTGAGGCGAGCGAGCGGAAGAGAACAAAAAGGGGAAAGGGTTTACGGGAGAGATGGAAGATTTTTTAATCATAAGCGCTGTTAATGCATTATACTGTGCAATTGCGAGATGGTCCTAATGCGTATATATAAGGTATGGATGTTAGATCATCCCGAAAATGGATTTTAAAAATGGGCTTTTTTTATTTACAATTTGTTATGAACAAGTTTCTTGGCATTACAGTCGAAGCAACTGTGAGATGGGCTTATACTATTTACGCCTTCAAATGCAGTAGAGTGGTAATGTTCAAGATCACATTGAAAGAGATACTTCGGTCGCTCGTTGTCATCGATCATCATAATGCATTGTCGTATTAATACTTGGATCCCACACATTTATAAAAAACCTTGAAAACTCCCTTGACACATGCAAACCCAATCGTAAGTATCCATATAAAACAGTTGAATATACCCTTCACCAGCTTGACAATGACTCGTAGTATAAACGGCCCTTTGTCTTCCGATGACTTTTTGCTCCCCCTACCCAGCTCCTTGGCCAGGCTGTCATTTTGGCTCTCGAGGTCAATTTCGAATTGTTCCATCCGTGTGCGCTTCTTTTCCTTCTTTTCCTTCTTCTTCTTTCCATCTTCAGAGTCGCGGTGACGGCTTAGAGCGCTGCTGAGGCTTCTTGATTGTCTGGGAGGCTCTGGTAACGGCGGTGCCTCGAATGCCTCTATAACAGTGTTGGGTGAGTTTCGATCATCCATGGCGGCAACAAGAAGTAATGCTGTAACAGCCACATCAACAATATAAAATGACTCGATTTTGGACGCAACACCAGTATCGATTTCCAACCACCCACTACCAGTGCCATCTCGCGTCAGCTTGGCAAGGTGTTGCGGCGACTCGTGATGCTCCAGTGTATACTCAACACGAGACCAGGCAGGAGAATGCTCAATCGTGAGGCAGAAGGGTGTCGCCAGGGCCGGATGCACCAAATAGTAACTTGCGCTATCGTCATCCCACACAAGCCTTCCACACTCTCTCTCTGCAGCCGCAACTGTGCCAGGATCGTCTGCCCTATCCATGACTATCTTTGTTGCGGCACAGGGCATGAGAAGAGCAGCAAGGCCGTCATTTGGAGAATGTTTTCGAGATTCCTCTTCCAGGGTTGTATTCAGGGCCTCTTGCCAATACTTTCCGTCTGAGGCACGATTGCCACCGCCCATTACACCATTTAGAATGTTTGCAGCGGAATTTGACGTTGGTTTGGGAACTTTGTAGGCTTTGCTGGGATCGTATCTGGTTAATGATACATAGGCTGATGCAGATGTGGGATCCAAACGGAGGTTATAGAAAGGCTGTGAGGTAGAAGAGAGTGTATAAACGGGGGCATCTTTCTGCTGTGTCAACTTCAAGCAGTAAACGCGGCCCTCAGAGCCAGATGCTTGCCAGCCGTTTGTGACCTTCCAGAGATCTTGAAGTTGTTCGGTTGTACATATGGCAGGAATGATTGGGGGGTTTTGAGGGCGAACAGGGACTCTGACGGGAGGTTGCTCTGGTGCTGGTTCAGCGCTTTCATAGTAGCTCTGGCGACTGACAACAGCCCGAGGCACGCCAGATGGGTTCATTTGAATTGGGCCATAGTTTTGTTGATCCAAGGGTAAATCGGGATTGTATGTCGGGAACATGGATCGCAAGGGCGGCGGTTGAGAATTTGGAGGAGGATCGAAAAATAGAGGGGGTTTGGCGATGGAATTTCTCGGCTGGTTGACATTATTGCCTACGAACATCGGAGGTGGTGGTGGAAGTGCACCATCCCTAGGAACTTCGATGGTCAATCGTGGGCGACTAGGACCCTCGCCAGGTCCGTCAAGTTGCTCTTCTGTGTCCATGGTTGGCAGAACATTGCGGTCTAAGACAACCTCTGATGCTTCCTCGATTGGAGGATTGAACTCTAGAGGTGTGTGTGTCCTCGGTTGTGGAGTCTGTCGGCCATTTTGAGAGGGCGATGATACTGGAGCAAGCACCGGCGAGGGTGAAGCAACAGGTGTTGCAGCGCGACTATCTTGAAGTTGCTGCTGCGGCGTGGCTGCTCGACGCTCATGGGACTCTGAACGGCGGGATCGAGGTGCTTGAGCGCGTGGATGAGGTTTGGAGAAGTTGGGATTGGGGAAGAGCGACAAGCTGGCGCTGCCAGACGGCCGATGTGAGGCCATGGTTTAAGCACGAGATGGTGTATTTAGTATACACAAGCAGCACTCAAGATGGGCCTTCTTCACGGAAGAGGCGTGGGGTATCGAGTTGAGGTGGCGCGCCAGAGCACCGAAAGAAACAAAAAAGAAACGCCTAGGGTATCCAAAAGGTGAGGGCAAACGCTGACAAGATGCTACGGCTTCATTGTTTGTTGGCTGAGCGTCGCATCGTGATACCAGCAGAGCAGACACAACAAAGAACAACAACAAAAGAAGCACTATGCAAGGGCAGGAATAAAAAACAGCGCTACAAGACCAGTTATAATAAAGAGGCACTCCTCTTGTCCAAGTGTGCTAGCTTTGTGAATGGGTGGGAGGAGGTCGGCGACCCAACCTGATAGCCAAAAGATGCCGCCATCGAATCAGTCGATTAAGCGCCTTTGGCTAGACAGCTTAGTCGAGTCGGCATGAGAATCGCAGCCGGTGTAGACGGACAAAGGCACACATCACGGCGAACCACGAGAGAGAGTGGGTGGCACCATGATCTCTGCGCCCCAAAATAGCACCTTGATCTTGGAGGGTGGACGCCATCGATACCCCGGCAGGCCAATGGGAAGCCGCATCACACTGCATTGGCGTACTTAAGCGCTGGAGACGCAGGGGTGGGTTGAAGCTTGAAGGCACTGGACGAACGCCATAGGCCACTCACACGGCCTGCAGCATCGCGTCTGGTCGCATCGAGGTGGGTTTCTGATAGGCTGGAGGATGTTGGCCGCGGCAGGAAGGGCGCTTAATTTACTGGGGCGGGCGAATGTCTGTCAAGCGTGCAGCGAGCGAGAAAAGAGATCTTGGGGGAAATGAGATTGAAGGAGGTGAAAAAAAAATAGAGAAGATTGAAAGTCGCCGTGTCAGATCTTTGACATGATTAGGTGAGCCTTTGTTTCCTTTTGTCCTTTCCTTTTTGGCTTCCAAATTTGGTGGTTCCTTCTTTGACGAGTGTCTGGGCAAGTACAGGTCGTACAACACGCAAGTTCCAACAGGTACCTCCAAGCAGCGCTACCCCGCTTATCGCAGGCAGAGTTTCGGGAGATACAAGGAAGAGCCCCGCCTCTTTATTTAGCAGCAACTTTAGCATCAAACAATTGCCCAAAGCTGGCTGACAGATGCAACCCACTGGAACTTTACTGCACGTTTCGGACTTGCAACTCCACAAATAGCTGGATATTTTGGAGAAGCGTGCTTGATAAGAGCTTCCTGGCCAGGTAGCTTCCATCATCACTTCATACCTTGCCATGCTTTGGCATAACTGCCCCACAGAGATTTATGACATAGCGCTTCTCTGGGGCGGTCCTTCATATGGCTCCTCGTCCAGATTCCGGAGACTTCTCAGGTCTTTGCCGCGACCACATCCTGACCATCAGCTAGAATGGCATCTACAGCTATACGATCAGTATACCAGGCTGAAGCGCTGTTTGGAGATAAGAGAGGATACACCGCTGTTGTCCGATGAGGATTTAGAGGAACTCAAAGTCATTCGGGGTGCCCCACTTAACATTGACGACTTTGACCCAATTGATGTCGAAAAGAGGTTCTTCTTTTCCAAACCCACTCGTCACAGATGGGCAAAATGGCTGGCCGAACAATATCTCGAAGATGGAGAAGTATGGCCAGAACCTGAGAAAGAGACGCGTTGGGTCATAGACGAGAATGGGAATCGAATACCAGACATTTGTTGTGTCAATTACTACGCCAATGCCCTCTGGCAGATGACAGACGCGTGGATTGATGGTGGCACTATGAAACATAACCCATGGTGGATCGTCAGTCGGTATGTGTGCTCCCATCAAGCCTCCCCATCATATCAAAGGCATATGCTAATCTCGCTCACCTGCTAGTTTATACCCTGTAGATCCTACTGGGGCCACGGGTTATGGGAAAGTTTACACAGGTCCAGCAAATGAGTATCATGAGTTTGAGGCAACCTCTACGCTCCTTTATCAGGGCGGAAGCCGATACGGACCTAATCCACAAGTGCCTCATATAATTATCATCACGTACGATACAATTATACCCGATGATCGAATCTTAAGGAGCGAATTGTTACTAGCTGTCAGCATACTCCGCAGGAACCTTGCTCTATTTCCATGGCTCGAGCACCATACGTTTCCGGTAAGGGCGTTACAACAGCCGTATAGTATCATGGCTCACGTTCATTCTAGGTCTTGGTGTTAAGTTTTCACGAAACAGGAGCTCGGATATTGCAGATGCACGCCGAGAATGGATACTTCATAGTCAGAGCCTCTCGTCAGCTGGTATTTCCTACAGATGATGGCAGCATACCTGCCGACGGCCTCATCATGCTTACATGGATGCTGGCTGAGCCCATGGGCGAGACGTCTTTCTCTAATATATCAGTCAATACCTCCAGTGAAGAAAAAAAAGTTTGTCGACATGAAGGAGATCTGAATGTAGTCTCTACATTGGGGATACCGGTTGTTGATGACACAGACACTATTCCGCTTAAGCACCGTGCTAGCTAATGATGATGATTGTTTTATTGTGAGGGCGATATGTAGCGAGTTCCAGGTTTTGACGTACACAACCAACTCTATTTGGTTGGGCTGGAGATTTTACTTCATCTCAGAGATGAGAGGCATGTTGGAGCATTTACCTTATAAGTACTTGACGAGCTCTTTTCTTTAAGACCATCATGCCTCAAAGTCACGATGTTTCTAATACCTATTCAGGTATCACGAAGTTCCCTTTTGGCAGCTATCGTTGAGAGACGCCCTCCTTTTAGGCCCATTGCGACCCAATCAATGTATTTTGCCTCTCTTATCTATAGAAGCGAATACTGATTATTACTCATATTAGTAACTGTGGAATGATAAATAAAGATGAACCCGTAATGTTCATCCACGAATTGAAGAGTTATGTTTACGTACCTATTCATCTTCGCAAAATACACAACAGTGACTGGTGTCCGCCGCATATGACACAGATGCAATTAAAGAAATTGGAAAGGTAACCAGGAGAGCTTAATAAAATAACATCACTCATATTTTTGCACAGACACAGTGACACCATTTGGAGAAGAGATATCAGCCTTTATCAAGAGCCACTCTCCATCAATGCCCAAGATATTGAGCTGTTTGCTACAGGGTAGGCATGATTGGTGTGCTTCGAACCCAGATATATGCTCAAAAGACAGCCGGGATTGATCTCGTACGATGATATGGGCATGTGATGGTATTAAATCCATCTGGCAAAAGCAATCGGAAAGCTTCCGAATGCATTCTTTATTGGCACAACACGAATTTCATGGTCATGCTATTCTCCATCCCGACTTACAGCACGTGGTGTGGCAAGAAAAAATCAATGTCTGCCCAACTTACACCACCGAAATCGCTGGCGACCAGAATCTCCATTAATTCTCCAACGCTTCTCCCATTGGTGCGGCTATTGTCACCGGTTAAATTGCCATTGGTCCTCTTATAATTGTGGGCTGCACTTCAAATAGTTTTGAAAGTTCCATGTCGCTCAGGAACCTGGAGTCTCTGCTAAAATACTAGGCGCGCAGAGTAGCACTGCGCGGGGTTCTTGGAATATGGAAGCCTGGCAGCGTGATCCGTGGCTCTCCAATTAGCTATCGTGGGGCGTCGGTTGGGAAGAAACTCGTTGCGGATGGAAAATGTCATATGGCTGAATCCCAATGCGGGGATGAGATTTGCGTATATAATGGAATTGCCATCGGGCTGCGAGAGGAATTTTCTTTCTCGCTCAACTCTTGCTTCATCGTCACTGTGGCTGAGGATCTTTTGCTGAATCGAAGAGCTACCCCGCCAAAGTGTCTGTTCATTGAATTCCAGCACCGTTGAAATGGCGACTCAGACGATTAACAAGGATGCGATCAGCGTAAGAGGACTCACCCAACGGAGAGGCAATTGGCGTTGAGAATACACGTATAGAGCATTGGAGCTGACCGGCTGGCCTCGACGGAAACAGAACCTTTCCTTTGTCCTCAACAAGCCCGGAGACGTCACCTTTGAGGAGCGCCCCAAGCCCACCATCTCCGACCCCAACGATGTCCTCGTCGCGGTAAACTACACCGGAATCTGCGGCTCAGACGTCCACTACTGGGTGCACGGCGCCATCGGACATTTTGTCGTCAAGGACCCCATGGTCCTGGGCCACGAGTCTGCCGGAACCATTGTCGAGGTTGGCCCGGCCGTCAAGAACCTCAAGGTGGGTGACCGAGTGGCCCTCGAGCCCGGCTACCCATGCCGTCGATGCAACTTCTGCCGTGCCGGCAAGTACAACCTCTGCGCGGACATGGTCTTTGCCGCGACGCCGCCATACCACGGCACCCTGACCGGCCTGTGGGCGGCCCCCGCCGACTTCTGCTACAAGCTGCCGGACAACGTGTCTCTGCAGGAGGGCGCTCTGATTGAGCCGCTGGCGGTGGCGGTTCACATTGTCAAGCAGGCCCAGGTCCAGCCCGGCCAGTCTGTTGTGGTAATGGGAGCTGGGCCCGTGGGCCTGCTCTGTGCTGCCGTGGCGAAATCCTACGGCGCAACCAAGGTGGTCAGTGTCGATATTGTGCAGTCCAAGCTGGACTTTGCCAAGAGCTTCAGCTCGACGCACGCATATGTGTCTCAGAGAGTCTCGCCCGAGGAGAACGCCCAGGCCATCAAGGAGCTTGCAGACCTGCCCATCGGCGCCGACGTCGTCATTGATGCCAGCGGCGCGGAGCCCTCAATCCAGACGAGCATACACGTCGTTCGCATGGGAGGCACTTATGTGCAAGGTGGTATGGGCAAGAACGAGATCACATTCCCCATCATGGCCATGTGCTTGAAGGAGGTGACGGCCCGGGGATCGTTCCGTTACGGTGCTGGAGATTACGAGCTTGCTGTTGAGCTTGTCAGGACTGGCCGTGTTGATGTCAAGAAGCTGATCACGGGTATTGTCAGCTTCAAGCAGGCGGAGGAGGCATTCCAAAAGGTCAAGACGGGAGAGGCTATCAAGATTCTGATTGCCGGACCCAACGAGAAGGTCTAAGTCATGAATGTGCTAGGATAAAGGAAAAAAACCACACAATGCACAAAAAAAGTTTAAAAATAAAGATTTCAATGAAATTAAAGGAGAGCCGGGAAAAAAGTAAATAATATGAGCAATGCAGATTCTTGCAGCGTTAAGCGCGGTCATAGTGAAACCGATGAATTCTATCCATGGATTCTATTTGATCCAGGCTAAAGTGGCGTGGTGATCCGTGTGCTGAAAGCGAGCGGCGGCCACCAGAAACCCCCAGAATTGAGGCTCTACTGGCTGTGGATTCACGGCTCGCCAGTCACGCACGCAGAGTGCAGAAGCGAAGCGCCCCTGGGCTAATTCCTTTGTCGGTTATCACAGGCCTCTGGGAGACAGCAGCAGTGCTCCTACATGTACCTACTCGTATGTGGTGTTACGGAGTTCATTCCCGAGCATGTAGGAATTGCAGCCAATACAGTTGCACCACCTTCATGCTAGCTTTAGCGAACAGTCGGGACAGCGCACAAACAGGACAGAAGCGGCTAAGGACGCTAAACAAAAGTGAGGCTGAGTTGTGAGCGCGATCGGGCTAGTCGAGGAGTTGGACAAGGTCACAGTCACAGTCACAGCTTTCCGCGGCGGATCCCTGTCTGACATCTGACGACCCAATCTGTCTTTTGCTTGTCAATGCCCAAAGGTCCGCGCTTCCACGTGCTGAAAAAAGCTTAGAGAGGCATAAGACGGCGGAACCAATCCCGCGCACTGCCGATCGGTCGATATTGATCGACTCCATTCACGAGCTGCCAACTCTGTACAAGTTGGGAAACAAAAGCCGGAACACAAACACATGGTGGTAGCGCAGGCGCAGGCACAGGCTCAGCTGCTGGGCCGTGCAAGCAACATTGAAGCCAGGGGTGGCAAAGCGCCCATGTAACTGTACAGATAGAGAGAGAGTCGATGAGTGTGCCAATGCTCTACCTTACATATTTTCTTCCCTTTTTTTGATATTCGATAGTCATATCCCGCCCTCTAAACTGACAAATCGGCTGCATCTGTGCGGCGCCAGTAGCTGATCCGAGGCGTGGCTTACAACTCTCATTTAACAACCAGCATTCTTATGCAAGCCACATGTTCCAACCCAGCCCACCCTGGCCTGACGTTTTTGCCGTGTCTCGTTTGCGGTGCGAGTATTCTATCCGCCCACTCACACCATTTGCTCCGTTGCATCGATGCGTGCAAGGCCTTCGGGATGGGGTTTCTTTGTCGCTCCACATCACGATCCTGTGCTCAACTGCAGCCAGGTACATGTGCCACCTATTAGATCAGTCCCAACACCAGCTAAACAAGACGCTTCATATGCGGGCCCAGAACGCCGTCAAAACGCCCTTGGGCTGCCACAGCCGCACGGCTAGTGACTGACATCCGAGTCCCTGATCAGCCTGGTCCAAGCTCTCTCAAGCAAAAAACCTAAACACCACCCTGGCCTGCGGCTGAACCCGAGGGGGGCACCAAGGTAGCTAGTCACATCGTTGGCGCGGGCAGAATGGAGCGAGCTCGACAGGCGATGGGGACCAAGACCCGGCAGTCTGCCTCACCGACCGCTCCCAGGCTGATAGACGTGCCGGTGGCGGAGATAGAGGTTGAAGCGGACTTGCTCGGCTATAGCCCTAGCAGTGTTGGCGGCAGCAATAAGAATGCCGTGTTGTCCTGCTGCCAGTGTCGGCCTTGGTTCCTCGGTTGTTGTAGCGCCAGACTCCTCACTTGATACACCCTGTATAAGTTGGGTTACCAAGTTCTCTTGTTTTGAGCTTTCAGGATATCTAAGAGAGCACTCATTGTGACTTGGGTTTACACTCGGAAAACTCGCCCATCATGCAGCAGCCTGAAAACGAATCCGGCCACGTGCTGGTCTCACCCCTCTGGGTCTTCATTTGCCGTATTTTCCAGGTTCTCATCTCTCTCGTCATCCTCGCCTTGGCTGCTCGTTTGATGCATGATGCCTACCTTGACGAGGAAGGTCTCGCTCTGGCTATTGTAAGCCATTCTTTGCTCTCTATTCCTAATGCGAAATTCAAACCATCTAACAGTGAACCAGGCTATCATCACCTGGCTCGTCTGCTTGTACGTTATCCTTAGTGAGAAGCTGCCAACTCTGAACCAATTCTATCATGTCGTTGCCGTCATCGTCCTTGACGGTGTCATGATGATCCTCTGGCTTGCAACCTTTGCCGCTGTGGCTGCCAAGCGCGCCCAGTTCCGCTTCAATGTCAGGGTCGACGGCTGCTTCGACGATGGCAGCTTGTTTAACAGCAAGACATGCTACAAGAAGCGCGACTTTGTCAAGAAGCGTGACGTTATCCTCTTCAAGTCTGGTGGTGACATGCTTTCCGCCATCGCTGGCCTCGGAGCCTTGGTCTGGTGAGTTTGAATGATTCCTATTTGAATTGATTGATGCCTTGCTGACCAAGTACAATTGAAGGCTTCTCTTTATCGCGACCTTTGCCTGGACTCTGTACAGTTTCCTCCAGGGCCGCAAGGCTGGTCGATTCCTGTTTGACAATGAGTCTGCCCCTGTTCAGACCATTGCCATGGAACCTAAGCAAGATCAGCAAGCCCAGCAGCAGCAGACACTTATCCCACCCCAGGGTGTTGCTCAACCCAACGCTCAATACCCCCCGCAGGGCCAATACCCGCAGGACCAGTATCCTCCTCAGCCTGTCAGCCCTTACCCGCCAGCTCAGTCTCCTTACCAGCCTTCGACTGCCTATTCTCCTCCTCCTCAGGATCCGCAGGCATATAACCAATATCCTCCTCAGCAGTATCAGCAGCCACAGACTTACCACGAGGCGCCTTCCCATGATACATCTTCACCTCCTCCTCCTCAACAGACTTCCTATTAACCCCAATAAATAATGAAGAGATAAAAAAGAAATCAAATATTTGGGTCTGGGGACGAGAAGATGAAGTTGAATAAACGATATGTGGGGCGCAATGTGTTTTATGGATATCCCATGGGGTAATGGCTGGGTTAACGTAATGAACTGGATGGAACACGGTAGATACCTATATAACGAAGCATTTTGGGCTAATTGATAGTCAAATTACATTCATTTTTCATTGAATTTCTTGTGCAGCCCTGTGAAATGTTGTGAATTACGAGCGCAGTAAACGACGAAAAAGGGTACATATTGTCGTGATTTCGCTGTAAGTCAAAGTGGGCAGGCGGTGAAAATTCTGCCGGATTATCGGCCCAGCTCAAACCCCATTTGACGATTACCATTCGAGATCTGATCAAGCTCAGGTTCAACCAGCCCCCATTGCATGAAAACCCACGTCCACTCTCGAAACGACAGGATCTCTAGCTAAAATCCGGCCTCACTGGCTACTTGATTATCGCTGCCTAGAGATTGTGTACCTCAATGGCCACGATGGCCGCGGAAACCCCCAACATCCCTCAGCAGCGGCTCGGCGTCCCGTCTCGGAATCCGCTGCCTTTATCGGCTTCGCAAGAGTCGCAAGTGCGAGATATATACTATGCTAGAGTGCGCAAACAATGCGCCGACGAAATCAAAGGTAGGTTTATTTGCTGTATTCTTTATTTGGTTGCTCTAGGAATGGGTGTGAAGCCCTCGTGGAAGTGGCATGATCTCCCCTCACTTTTCTCATCCAATTGCTACTTACCCCCCTCGGAGCTATCACAGAGGCAGTTTGCTAATAGAAGCCAAATAGCCTTTGCCGATTGCGCCCTTGGCCGGACCTTTAGCGTCACGTTTGCTTGCCGAGCTGAACACACCGCTATGAATGCCTGCATGAAGCTCCGAGCTACACAGGAAGAACAGGACGCCGCCCGAGAGGAATGGTTCGCACTACGAATGGAGCGACAGCGACAGCGTGAGAGGAAAACCAAGATGGCAGCAGCCCAAGAAGAGTTCATGCGGGAGTGGTGGGGTCTGCCAGAGGATGTGAGGCTGTCGAGACAGAAAGAGATGGAGAAGCGAGGAGAGAAGATACCGCCTCTAAGACCCGAGCCCAGCACGAAGTAAGGTCCTCTGATTGAAAGACGGAGAGGGAGAAAATCATTTCTGTTGGCGTTTTTTATGTTGGCGCAGGGAGGGTATATTTGCATTGACTAAAGACTTTGATGCCTTTTTTGTTTGAGTATGAGTTGATGAGAGGGGAGGCATGTACAGATATAGATGACGGGGACTTGTACGATTATTACATGTTTGAAAAAAAGGGAGAAGGCTGCTTTCTGAATAGCGCAGCGGCCGATTTATAGACGACTAGAAACTCGCTGCTTGACAAGCTCAAATACTTCCTCTGCCACGCCCCACGAGAGTTCAAAGCCCCTCCCACCGAGGCCATACGCATGCACAATCGATCTCGCCTCATTATCCTGCAAGCCCTTGATTTCATCAGCTGCAATCTCCTCTCTCTCCAGCCTAATCCCTCCACGACGAGTCGGTCTCCGTCCGACGATGTCCCCCAGTGGCTGCAAAGGCCCGTCGGCGACGATGGGCGGATACGTGGCAGCGAAGGAGGAGAGTAGGCGGGCGCGAGTCTCGGGACTGGGCTCGAGATCCCAGTTGTCGGGCTCCTTGGTGCCGCCGATGACGGTGCCGCCGTGGAAGTTTCGGGGCACGCAGAACGACCACGAGCCGTCTGCGTTTTGGCGGGTGACGGTGGCGGGACAGGAGTTTGCGACGAGGCAGGTTTGACCTGGAGATGTGTAAGTTATGTACATACAAGCAGGACATAGGAGATGTGGAAGAATTCGTGACATAAAGGCTTACCTCTTGTGGGAAACACGGCTGGGTCGTTGAATCCCTGGCCGGAGCAGTTGACGACAGTTTTGACGCCAGGCACCGCCTTGACAAGAAACGCTTCATTCAAATTCCGAAGCTCCATGGCCATGGCTTTACCCCCGAGAATATGGAGCCGGCGAAGAAGAAACGAGCAGTAAACCATGGGGTTCACGCACCACGTCTTGTACTCACACCCCCAGACCACCTTGTCATCCGGAAAGTCCTTCTTCTCCAACAACTTGAACTCCTCAAGGCCAAGCTGAAGCGCCTTCTCCACCGTTAAATCACGATGCACAGGGGGCGGGTTCTCAAAATACTCAATGCCCTTCATGAAAGTAATGCCCGCCTCGGGAAACTCGCTCAGCGTAGCCTCCATGTGGCGATACGTCGTGAGCGAAAACTCGTGCTCACGCTGCTCGGCGGGATTCGTAGGGAGGACCCAGCGGTTGTGCGCGCCGCCCCATTGCGAGGTGTAGTTGATGAGGGCGCGCTTGTCGGCTGCTTCGAAGGGGGTGGGAAAGTCTTTGGCGATGATGGTGACGCTGTGGCCGGCTTGTTGGAGGCGGAGGGCGGCGCTGAGGCCGATGACGCCGGCTCTGTGGGTGAGAGAGTTTTTGTCAGTCTGTGGGGGTTTGGAGGATGAAGGGGTTTGGGGGAGTGTTTTACCCGATTACGATGATGTCTGACATGGTGTTGTGAGATGGGATGTTGTTGGTGTAAGTTGTGAGAGGTGGACTGATGGGATTCTATGGGTGTTTTCGCATGGTCTGTAACACTGCCATGAGTGCTCTCTCTCCGTCGCTCTGAGTACAGATATATATATGTATATTCGCATACAATCAACAGACAACGTTACACCAAATCTTGAGCCTCATTCCAGCTCTCACTCCGATAACACACCTAATGACGAAGCCATCGCCAATTCCAAGTGTCATGCGGCGAGTTTCGAGTCTGCCTCCGAGTCTCGGCCGCTTGGATGCGGGGGGTGGAGTTGGGCAGATCGGGAAGTGAGGCGGGCTAATCACTCGGCCTGGCGGGGTATCAAGAAGAGGGTGTCGTGAGGGCTGTCTGGACTTGTTAATTTTCTTTTTTTCTCAAACTATTTGGTCTCTTGCATATTAGCTGAGGTGTTGGTAGGGCGGATGGGCTGATTTGGGGGTTGGAAAAGCGCCTGTTAGGCAGGGTAGATGTCGTCGTGTCAAAGCCGCATTCTGATAGTGTCGAGACGAACTGTAGCCTGATTGCCACGATATCACCAAGATAAAAATCCATGTAAAAAAAGGGAAATGGAGAAGGATGCGCAACGGAAATGCTTGTATAGTAAGTGCCCTTCGCATGCGTTTTTGCGTCTATGTCAAAGTTATGGCATTCTTGACTATGGTATAGTGCTCTTGTCCTTACTTTGGAATCGTGTACAAATAAACTACTTATCAACTGTACTGAACCTCCACCAGTATACTGAAGAAGAATCATATGAGCTGGACTAATAATGATGAACTGTAAGATTTCAGCTAGATTTTGCAACCGCCGTTGCTCAAACTCAATACGTTGGTTCAACTCTTGAGGAGACGCTTACAGCAACCACAAGAACGCTAGAGGTGATGAGAATATGCGAATACGTCTCATTGCAGAGTGTTAGCATTCTAGCATAGATAATTCAGTACAGCCCGACGTTAGAAAATAAGTATATTGAAGTCAGCTTTCATTGTCGATCATCATCGCTAACCTACGAGGGATATGCTTATCGATACTTGTACGAGATCCAATTGCGTCGTTTTTATCTCAGCCAGCAGTTATTTTGTAGATATTCAAGGTGCTTGCAGCGACTTATCGCACACACCGAGCCCACTTCTTATCTACTTCAGTTCCAAACGAGTGCCTACGTATCGCAAGGAAGTCGCAGCTCTACTTCGTCAAAAGTGGCAGCTCCCCTTCTCGTTTCTAATCACGTGTGAGAAAATAACCGCCATCCTTCAAACTTTTCTCTCATCTTGCTTCAAATCGTAATAAACTTCCTTCGCACTACAGAGATGATTTGTTTATTCATCTTGACTGCCGCATCCCGGAGCGGGCTTACTCGACAAAGGTCCGCTCGCAACGGCAGTGAAAAGCGGCCACGGAGCGGCCCACATCTCCGGGTCGACGACGTTCAACTAAACCTCACACGCAGGCGCATATTTCAGCAACGCCGAGAGCCATGTGGGCTCTTTTCGGACCAGTTCGCGACATATGTTTCCATATCTGGTCATTAGTTCTCGAACCATGAGATTTGCTTATGCGGAACTTTTGCCGCCTGATTCGCGGGCATATTTAACATGAGCCTTTTTAGTTGAAATGCTTTGTAAGGGCGCTATATACGGTCTCACCATAGCTTGCCACCAGCTTACACCCCACCAAACAGCTACTAACAGTTATTTCGATCCATCTCGCAAATCATGACTAGTCTCCAATGGGGAATTTGTACGGAGTAGTGGTAGAGATATCGGGGGCAAACATTCATCGTTCTCTTCGTGGCGGGATGCGTCGGATCTATACGTGGACCGAACATTCGCTTCTTTCACCGAACAAAAGTCGAGACAATCCATTTGGACCTTACCCCGCCAGCCAAGAGCTGGTGATACCGGCTTTAAACAGCACAAGCATCATCCTCACTCATCCTGCGTGAGCCGCCACACAAGCGAGCAGCGCTAGCGCCAACAAATCACTGGGGCAGCACCGCATACTGTATGTCTGACGAGTATCGGACCTGGCCCGCTAGCTTCGAATCCATAGGCTATGTACGCATAAGCTCGGAAACTACGAAGTGTGGGATTGGCCTTTCCCGGAGTATGCAAGTTGAAGGGGGCACTGCTGTTGTTTAAATAGGAACACATGTCCCCGAATTGCTACCTTGGGCTCAATCGTCTCCCCATCTTTGTGAAACCTCATATTCCTTCAGGATCGCTGTGGTGATAGTCCATCAAGTACAGCCAGAATGGTCGTCCTCAGAACACAGTCCGACTTTGGCCACGCGCCGCCTCCTCAGACCCCGTATAGCATCATCTCCAACTTGCCAGGATGGAACATGCTTCAGGGCGTCCGTGATGGAGACATGTCTCCCTTTGCCAAGGTTGTCCATGTCTATCCGCGCTTTGGTCCAACCCAATTCGCTGCTAAGGTAAGCTTCACAGCCTACTCGCCAACGATGGTCGACTTTTTAACCATGCATATATAGATTGGTCAAGAGGTTGCAAAGAGACTAGGCTATGAGGGCAAGTCTTGCATGCTCTATCTCAACCCCATCATGTGGCCTTTTACGGCTGGTCATGTCCAGAACAAGGCCCGAGACGAGGCCGCCATTAGTCCGGACAAGCTAACATTCAAGTGCATCGATGTGGCTGGCCACCGCGTTTACGCTGTCTTGTTTGAGCCTATGCACACAAAAGCTCTCATGCTTAGCTGGGGAGCTCCAGGTCTTGGACTCTCTATTCGCATTGCTGAGTACTTATTGAACAACATCGACACTCTGGTTGAGGTCCCGTTTGATGATTACAAGAACCCCCCCAAGCCAACTTTCACTCCCGATGGCCCGGCTCATCAGCTACTCCGCGAGCGCATCAACCAGCTCGTCCACCGCGCCTCCATTGACCCAGAGCTGGTCAAGAGCCAACCCAGTGATGTCCGCCTCTTCCCCACTGGTATGGCTGCCATTTTCCACACTACAAATCTCATCCAGGAATACCGCCCCGGAACCAATGTTGTTCTTGGCGTCGTCTTCCACAACACACACCATCATTTACATGAGGAGAGCCCCAATGGATTCAAGCACTTTGGCAAGGTTGATAAACAAGGTCTAGATGAAATGGAGACATGGCTCGACGGGGAGACAAAAGAAGGCAGAAAGGTTAGCTTCGTCATTGTTGAATTTCCTGGAAATCCAACCCTGGAAAGCACAGATCTGCCTCGCCTCAAGAAGTTGTCTGAAAAACACGGGTTTGTGTTGCTTCTCGATGATACACTGGCGGGATTTGCAAACGTCGATGTATTGGCCTACTCGGACGTTCTCGTGACTTCTCTTACCAAGTCCTTTAACGGCAGGGCTGATGTCCTTGGCGGCTCCATTGTCCTCAACCCCCTCTCTCCTCACTATAATGAACTCTCTTCTCGATTTGCGAAGTCACACAACAACGAGCTCTTTGCCGACGATGCAAAGGTGTTGCTTGCCAACTCACACGATTATCTCCAGCGTACACGCCGTTTGAATCGTAACGCAGAAGCCATGGCTACCTTCCTTCACAGAACAATTGGCCGCGATGATTCTCCCGTGGTCAGAGTCCAGTATCCTAGTCTACTGTCTGACAAGCCCAACTATGATCGCTTCTTGCGGCGCAGCACCACTGAACTCCCCAATCCGGGATACGGCTGTCTCCTGAACGTCGAGTTTGAGAGCGTAGACACCGCTCGAGCGTTTTACGACAAGTGCGGATTCTACTCCAGCCCACACCTGGGCGGCCATGTCACCATTATGTTGGCATACAATATGATGATGTTTGGCAAGAAGGCTGAGGAAAGGGAAGAATTTAAAGGGTTTGGTGCGGCCGAAGAAAGTATAAGACTCTCTGCCGGGTTGGAGGATGCCGAGGATTTGGTTGACACACTCAAGGATGCGCTCGATGCGGCGATAGAGGTGAAGAAGAAGGCTGCCCCGAATGGCACTAATTGAGCGTTCAAGGCATGCTAGTTGCTATGGTTCACGTATGACGATACAATGAGATCAATACCCCAAGGACGTGTTTACTCTGTGAATAGATGAGTGAGTGTAATATGGACTGGGTTCACAGTGCTTTGTTTCTCCACGATTAGTAATATCTTCATGAGAAGCATGAGACTCATAATAAACATCGCACCCTTTATTTACATGCGAGTCTTGATAACGCAGAGTGGTTATCCGGCTTCCTAACTGGGCTATCCGGCAGTCCAACGTAACAGTATTGATCTTTCTACTCACTATTACTGCCTGATAGGTTATCGTGGATATGTTGAATCTCTGCTATCTATCACCATCTCCTTCTGATATATGTCTAAACATCATGTACGTGGTATAGCCATTTCCTCTAAGATATGCAGTAATCAACCATGACCATGAGACTCTTCACCCATGTCGTCGATTTCACAATCCCAATTCCCGGCTATAATTAGCACTGCTACAACATTATCCTTCCCATCCAAACAATTATCCAACACGGCGATATTAAAAACACTACTTGTACTGCACACACACACACATAAAAACGCCTCAACCTATCACCACCCAAAACGCCCCCTCAACATCCATCAACATCACCACTTCCCTTACGAAACAAAACACACTACATAACAAAAAACGTTCACTCATTCTCAATCTCATCAATATTCACCCCCATCATCATCATTGTTCTCCGCTGGGGTTTATTCTCCAACAATCCCTCCTCCATCCCCCCATGTAGCGGAGCACTCCTAACCACATCAGGTTACTATCCGGAGAAGCACATCGCCGGGGGAAAGAGACGCCCTCTCGGCCATCGAATCTTCCCCTCTTGGGGAACCAAACTACAACAACTACATATACTTTAAATATTTTAGCCCAAGATAGTTCCCGGGGAAGTTATGGTAGTAGTAGTGGTAGTTTCTCGGCTCTCTCGTCTGGGGTCCGATCTCGTCGTCTTTCGGATTTACACCCACTCTGGCTTGTCATTCTCGATCTATTTGCTTGGATTGGCAAGGTGGCAGCGTCTCTTTTTCTCTGGATATTTCCCCAAGAGGGTTTTCGATGGGAGCCTAGATCGGATAGACGAGATGGCCCAAGCCCGAGATGCCTCGTTTCGATGGACATGGTGGGCTGCTGGACGAGGATAAAAAGGGAATCGCATGCCTTGATTTCAAACAAGTAGATCTCTGTCACTCTATCGATCTGAACTATATTCAAATTCATCGCCTGCTGTGCTAGTTAACCATACACCTATCTTTGAAGAAAAAAAATGACGTGCACTCAGCATTACGCTACAGACACATTTCCCTCCGAAGCCGGCAAGGAAATCACCACCGTCTATGCAGACGACCCGGCCACAAATACCACCCTGCTCCATTCCCTATTAGAGAGGGATGGCGCCGTAATCGTCAAGAATCTTTTCTCCAAATCCCTCTGTGCCCAGATCAAAGAAGATCTCAAGCCCATATTCGACGCAGACAAGCCAGATCCCGCTGGTTTCTTCCCCAGCACAACAAAGCGTGCTCATGGCATCCTTGCTCAGTCACCTTCCAGTGCCAAGCTGGTGGTGAATCCGCTCTTTCAGTCCGTCGCAGAGGCCATGTTGACCAGCAGATACACCTATTGGGAGGGCCAAAAGCAAAAGAGCGTGGCGGCAAAGCCACAAATTGCGAGTATCGTAGGTTTCCGCGTTGAGCCTGGTGGCAAGCAACAGCCTCTCCACAGGGACGACTCGGACTACCATACTCGAAACTGCGATATGCCCGTCATGCTAGGTTGCGTCACGGTATTTGCATGCCCCTTGTTTACAAATGATAATATGAATCCCGGGCTGACAATCGTGATAAATTCCAGGCACTGTCCAAGACGACAAAGGAGAACGGCGCGACGGTCATTATCCCAAAGAGCCACCTATGGGGACCGGAGAGGTGCCCGCTCGATGAGGAGACCATTTCAGCAGAACTCGAAGTCGGAGACGCAGCCATGTTCGTTGGCAACGTATATCATGCTGGAGGCGCAAACGTCACCAAGTACTATCCTCCTTGAAACATTCCTGGGCAGCTCCCATCAATGGAAATCTATGATGCTGACTTTTTGTTTACCCGTGCTAGGGACGACGCACGTGAGACAATCGGCGTGTTCATGTGTAAAGGAACCCTAAGGCAAGAAGAGAATCAGTATTTGGAATTGCCACCAGAGGTAGCAAAGGATCGAGGTTTCTCACCGCAATTGTTGCGTCTTCTCGGGTATGGACTCTGCCCACCAGCGCTGGGCTTATACAAGTATAAGGACCCAATGGAGGAGATATTCAACGTCTTGGATGAAGACACAATCCGCAGATAAGAGCCATGCATGTAACATCGATGAACAATCCCTTAATGCTTTTATACGACAAGAATTCTGAGTCCGTTCGCTTGCAACTGTTGTGCAACCGGCAGCCAATTTGGCTCTGTACCACTCCAAAAGGCGTTTAAAAAGCTCCGGATGGTCTCGTATTGATTAAAGCCCGTCGTTCTGATAGTCTTGTCGAGAATGGTGGCGACCTTGTGCTGCCGTTCTGTGTCGCCATGACACTCCGTGCCCGCGATGAAAATTGGCCACGGGAGGTTTTGAATGCATAAAGAGATATTCTCAATCTGATCCAGCTGGTCAAACAACTTAGTCACGGAAGCCAGCCAATCGAAATTACTGGGAATCGCATAGCCCAGGCATCTGTACGCATAGACAACGGCAGCATGGTGGTATAAGTCCACCAGCCTTATAAAGTCACGGCGCACAACCGGGGGGTTTATTTGCAGCTTCCCCGCAATCATCAGCGTCTGGCCTCTTGCTTGCTCGAAGCGTGACTGTACTTCGATGATGGTAAAACTCTCGGGCCAAAGCGATACGTCAATGTCCTCGTTCACAGCCATGGATCGTCGCGAAGCCAGCGTGATTTGATGCAGAAAAGAAAGGTACTCGGAGAACAGCACATGGCTACCGGAGCCTGGCGTGGGAAGAATAGTTTCTGCGACATCGGCCAAGTCAAAGGATGTGCAAGAGCCGAGGACTTCGTGAATTGCGAGCTGGTTCCTCAAAAAAGCAAACAGGCCCTTGGTGCACGCCTCGTGCTGCCCAAATACGTTGACGATTCTCCTTGCCGCAAGTCGATGGTTTTCAGCAGCCACAGAGTGATTCTTTGCCATTTCGTAATTCGCAATCACGAGGATGCAGGCCAGCATCCATTCTGCGTTGGCAACATCGGCTCGCGTATTAAGCTCCGCTCCGCTGTTGACCCGGGTGTTCATTTCTCGAAGCTGTCTCTGGAGGACTTCCAGGCATGCGTCTCTCGCCTCCTCATGGTATCGGGCCAACTCGCTCGGGAATTTCATGGGCCCATGGTAGAGAGAAAAGGCGGCAATGGCAAAACGAAGGCCTGGAGCATTGGCGGCCATGGGCAACATACGACGCCGATAGTCATTTTCATCCGAATCGATCCATACCATCCGCCCTGCCAGATACTTATCGTAGTATTCGATGATCTCTGGTGAAGACGCCCACTGTGTAAAGTTCAACAAATCCGTGCCTGCAGAGGTGCTTTCGATGGCCCTGTTAATGCTGAGAGCCGTCTGCCCCATAACTTGAAGGGCTCCAGAAATAGGAGAGGGTACCGGTGCGGGTGCCGGAGCAGGAAGAGGAACGGGCTCCTCGATTGTCGGTAACGCCAATTCCATGGCCATCGAGCCCGCCACAGGCAGTCTCCGACCCTTCAGTTTCCCTCGAACCGCCACTCCATCAGCCCAGCGCAGATGCCGCCCGTATCCGGGGCAGCTCAGGCCCTTCTTGATGCATTTCGAACACTCCGGACGACCGAGGTCACATCGAATGCGTCGCCGCATGCAAGTGCGGCAGCCTTTGGGGACACCAAGTCAGCGCTGCATCAAGCGGAAGGGGTACCAGACCTGGGCGAGAATGCCTCTCTCACCTTTTGATGCGTCAGCCGAGCCCTTGGAGCTCATTGCAGTCTGTGCTTATAATGATAGACGCATTCATCAATCCTGAGGCTCGAAAAGTAGAGTAGCGTTGGAATAGTATAAAGTGGGCGAAGACATGGGATTACCGTTGTAATCGAAGACAAAAAAAAGTGGACGGCATCGGAGAAATAAATTCTACCAGATGACTTATGTCAGTTTACGTACAAAGAATGCATCGCTTCGCCTTATCGTTTTCGTTAGCACATGTACGGAGTAGGCGGCCTTTCCATACGAGCTTTAGCCGCGGCGCCGTTCACCATCCACTCGTCGGAGAGTTCCGTTAGTTTGGCGCATGTAAATAGCTTCAATTTGCTAGGGTGACAGAAACAGCAGCGACGAATGCCTAGCAATACATACATACTGTGTAAATCATTATTTTGTTACCCGATAATCAGCATCCCGCCTAGCCATTAGACAGTCCACATCAGTACATTTTACCAAGGATGGAATCAAGATACCTTCTCTTCTCGCCCCAATAAGAACAGAAAACTGAGTGTTATCAAGAAAAGCATCAACCCATTGTCCCGCCGTGTCACACAATGCTCGCTTCCAGTAGCAATCCTCTATCTGCATCAATTAACCGTTCCCTAATCCAACAGTTAAAGCCACCTTACACACACAGGTGACACAGCAACAAGAGCACGACGCTCCCAAGGCGCAGATTCAAATCTAACAACAGAGTATTTAGATAAAATGGGGAAGAATAGCAAATTAGGCTTGTTTTCATTTGTTTTCAAATTCGCCAGCAGCACTCGATTCACAGGTGCTAAAACACAGCCTATTTGCCCAGGGGCACTCTTAAAGCACCTGCAGTGCATCAGTTACAGCAGCACTTGTTTATCCCTCCTATTTCTTCTCCCCCAAAAAAACTCCATGCCTCAAATCACCCTCTTCGACAACTTTTTCTCCTTCACCACCAACCATACAAACTACTATATAGAATCTCTTCTTCCTGCCTTGCCCCGGCAATCGGGTTGGTTCATCTCTTAGCACATCTCTATCCTCCCATATTCAACAAAGCCCCATCATGCCAAAGGACTTCATCAGCGTGGTACAGGACCTCGAGGACCTCCTGTGCCACCACATCACCACCTCGACTCCAGCAGATTTCACAGAAGAGCTCGCCGACGTCCTCAAGACCGTGCTGAACATGGATCGCAACACCCACTGGAGCATCCAATCATTCCTCTTCGACTTCCGCGAAGAATACTTTCGTCAAAGTATGTCCTCCCGTTTCCCCCTCTTCATGCTTCAGAAAACCTCTAACCAAAGCCAACTGATTTCTTCCATCAACAGAGCTCACAAACGAACAACCAGGCCCCGTCCGCCCCCACAACGACATCTGGCCTCGTCTCAACCGCTCCGCCGTCGAGCCCCTAAGCAACATGCCCATGACCCACGACATCGGCCCCGATCTCTGGGCCTTCGCAGTGCGCTACGCCGACCAAGTCTACAATGTTCTCCGTCTCCAGGCAAAGATGCCGTATAAGCCCTTCATCGAAGTGCTCACCGAAAACAGCTTCATCAAAGGCCTAGCAGACGCCGATAACATCGTCATGCAAGACAATGCAACTGATGGCAGCAGCGACCACATCATGGACCGCCGGGAATACGACGTAAGCCTCCATTCGAGACTGATGTTTCTAGAAGACCGTGTCATGATCCTTGAGAAGAGGGAGGAACTATTAGACGGTCAGCTCGATCGGGCTACTCAAGCAATGGGAGCCCTGCGCTCTACAAACTTGGATTTGGCCAGAAAGGTGTCGGAAGTGCAGCAGCGAAACCACGACCTACGCAGAACGTATGCTGTGTAACTACTTCATCAAGGGAGTATTTATTATTGGTTGGTACACACGTAGATGGAGGGCACTATGGCTGCGAGGTATCATTTGATATATTTGTCATATCATTCTTGCTAACTCTGGGCCAAAAACTCGCCCGCATCTTGCAACATAAATAGCGCCCCCCTCTAAATCATCAGGCAGAAGAACAGGAAAACTCCCCCGTGCATATATGAAAGAGGTCGTAAATAGTTGAATGACAGTCAACAGTCAGCAACCAAAATCCAAACAAGCTTCACCATTAAAATAAGTCCACAATCATCTTTTTGACTTTTGTACATCGTCATAATCATAATCATTATAAGCAGCAAACGAGAAGGGAATCAAAGAAGAAAAGCGAGTTAGGGATGGAATATCAGCTGATAGCCCCCTCCAACCCTGGTTCATTATTTTGAAAGAGACATTTGCTCCAGGAGCTCAATCTTAGTGGGAAATAAATCGTGGCATCGTAAATGGGCTGTTATGAACAAGAAAAGAGAAAAGAAAAGGAATGAGATAGAATGAGGGAGAGTAGCGGCAGTATAGTCACTAATGCAGCCTCTCCTTCACATATACCATGGCAGCATAGCCAGCGCAGCACTTGGTGCTCATCTCGTGGAAGCACCACGGGCACTTCACCGTCACGGATAACGCGCCAGTGAATCCGACACTTCCCCTTGGTCGAACAACAGCATCTGGGTTGGCCATGGCTTCATAGATGTTGCTGGGCATGTCGTGGTAATACTTGCATCCACAACACTCCACAAACATTTTGGCAATCGGCTCGCCACCGACAGGTGAGCCAGTTGTGTGTCGCGGCGCCTTCGTCGGCGCAAGGTCGGTAGTAGGGGATGGCTGGCTCCGGATCGAAGATGGCGGCGTGACCTTGGGACCAAGACGTGGCGATCCCAGCACCTGAGGAGGCGGAGCGAGGGGAGCAGCTTTCCGGGCTTCTTCTAGATAGGAAGCAGGCCACGGGGAAGGAACCAGTTGAACCTTGCCATTTCCTTTTTCCTCTCCAGAGAGCAGTGCAGTCGAAGGGAGGTGTTGCCTTGGCACTGATACATGTTCCACGGCCTTCAGGGGCTGGTGCTTCAATTTCGGCAAGAAATCAGTTGCGGTTATCGCATCCACGTCCGTTTGTGACCGACGGTGGGCAGTCTGGCCTGTAGCCACAGTCGTATTTTTGGTGGAGACGACGACGCTCGACGTGCTGGTGTTTCCCACGGGTCGTGTGCTCTTGGGTGGACTTGAGAAGCCCCCACCCCCGATCTGGAGGAGAAGCGGCTGTCTGACCGGGCTTGTGGAACCATTCCTGGCGCGAGGTGTGGCTACTCGTTTACTCTCAACATCTTGCGTCATGGGGGGAAGACCCTTTTCAGATTGAGGTCGGGAAGTGTCAGGCGTACCAGGCATTGATGGCGAGTGGAAATCGTCAGACGAGTCATCATCGGTCGACGTCGTTGGAACCGAATCGTCCGTGAGACGGCGAACAGTAAAATCACTATCATCTCGAAGGGATCCGTGAGATTTACGGATCGGAGATAGAGATACTTTGGTGTCGATGACCTTCATGACGGAGGATTGAATATCTTCCCATGTCGGAATCTCTATCGGGTCTGGCTTTTGACCCTTGGCAATGCGACCAGCCTCCCGTGGAGTAGTTTGGAGAGATGCCCCGCCGCTCTTTAGTTCAGTGTTTCCAGACGCATTGTTTGCGATATGCTTGGGCCGGCCAGACAGACCATGATTGCTGTTGGCAGACTCGGAGCTTCCGGGTCTTGGCGTGCGTGGAGATGACATGGATGACACTGAGCCATCTAAACTGACCATGGAGTTCCGCTTTGAACTTCGACGGGGCGGTGCTGGAGGCAAAGTTGTCGTCGCGAGGGTTGCATCTTGGGCATTTCCACTCTTGACAGCGCCGTTGCCTTCGCGTGAAATCCGGGCAAGATTGGTTTGGCTTAATTTCTCTTTCGCTGGCTGCTGCACAGTAACAGCAACGCTTGGAAGGAGATCGCGATCGCTTGTAGATACGCTGAGCTTGGGCTTTGTGTTCTGGTTCTCGTTGCCAGCAGGTGAGACTGGTTGAGGGCCGTTTTGACCAACAGCTGTTTGAGGACGTGTATCGGCAGTTAATCCCGCGTTTGCACTGGTCTGGGGTGATGGCAGTGCGGATGCGGATTTGGTTGCCTCGTTAGTTATTACAGGCTTCTTTGACTTGTCTTGCTGGGCGGCGGTCTTTGATGGCTCGGCCGAGTCCTTTGGCTTCAGGCCCACAAAAGCTCTCCATTTGCTCTCCATTGTCCCGGTCTCCTGAGCCTCCATCTCTGCAGACGAAATAAGAGATCTTGTCTTGGCGGCTGCAGCCGGGTGTCGAGTGATGGGAGGATAAACTCGGCGCTGAGACTCGGGGGGCGGGCGTGCTGGAGGGGCAGACCACTTCTGATTGTGAGCGTTGTTTGTTCGCAGTGCCGGGTGGATTTGCGACTCGTCCATGTTCTCAGGCGATTCAGCGGTCTTTTGGCTGGCCGCATGTCGTTGAATCTCCAACTTGATGCCGCCGATGAAGCCCGTCTCGCTAGGGCGAGCAGTGTCAGCGGACGCCCGCCGAGACTCGAACGGCGACATGATATACGAGGTGAAAGAGCCGGAACGCCTGTGATGAGGGCGGACAGGCACGTCATCTTTGGTGAACTCTAACGCGCTCGAAGGTCGCTGTTTATCTCTGGCAGCTGCCTGTGCCGCCGCTGATGAGCGATTCGCCTGCTCCAAGGCATGCGACGAAGAAGGGGGAGGTTGCTTGCTCAAGCGCTTCTTCTTAATTAAAGCATTCCTGAGCGCGGATTCCTCCTTTTCCCGCTTCGATGCCTTCTCCTGCTGCTCCTTTTTCTGCTGCTCCTTTTTTCGCTGTTCTTTCTCCGCCTGTTCCTTTTTCAGCTGCTCTTTCTTCAGCTGCTCTTTTCTCAGTTGTTCCTTTTTCATCTCCTCTTTTTTCAGTTGCTCTTTGCGTTCTTGCTCCTTTCTCTCCTCTTCCTTTTTCTGTTGTTCCTTCTTCAGCTGCTCTTTCTTCAGCTCTTTCTTGCTGTCCTTTTTATCACTCTTCTTGCGACGACCATATGCCTCCCAGCTTGGAGACTGGCAAATCGACCTCCGTTCATCTTCATCGCTTAACGGAACATCGAAAGAAACAGCCTTGAGAGCGGGCTTGTCCACCGGTGGAGGGTTATGCACTACCACAGCGGCCCTTTGCGCGTTGTCTGACTCGGGCGCAAAATCTAATTTGAGCTTGGGAGAACTGACGTTGATGGTCAGTGGAACTATTTGAGCAACCGGCAATCTCTCTTTGGTGATGTTGGCGCCCATTGGAGCATCTTTTTGAGGAGCCGCCTCAATACGTTGAACCTGAACTGCAGGGCGATTTGATGCCGGAAGTGGTCGTCTGGAGACAACGGCAGCTATGGAAGCTGAATTGGCGGACAGCGCATTCGATTGTGAGCTTGCGAGACGCTCAAGCTATATTTGGACGAACAAGAGAGCGTATTAGCTTCCACGGGGCTACTTGGAGGCATCTGGCTGAGAAATGCAACGCGATAGGAGAGACCGCTCTTACCATGTAGCGTCGCTCGAGCTCGAGCATGCGCTGCAAGCTGTTCGAGCGAGCGGGTCGAGTCTTGTGGTTGGACATGATTGCCAGGCTGCGAGTTGGGCGCTTTGGCAAATCCTGCCCGACGAAATGGACGGAATGCGTGTAAAAATAGAGGGCCGAGGACGAGAGCTGGCAAGGCAGCACAAGGGAGAGACTTCGTCAGTGGCTACGATGTGGCTGGTAAGACTATAAGCTGGCGCACGACGGCGAGCAATGCGCCTCTGCTGAGGTCTGAGGATGGCCAACTCTCACGAGCACTGTATCAGGACGAGTGTTGGGCGATTCGATTCGAGCACAGAGCTCACCCGCTGTGGAAACGAGTGACGATGGAAGACGTGAAGAAGAAGGAGAGAGAGAAAAATCATCCAACGGAGACATGCATGAGCTGCCCTCGGTAGAAAAGCGGTTGGGCGTTGGCCCTTTGAGGAAGCATTCGACAAATGCACGTGGGGGCTGGCCGAAGCGAAGACGACGACGTTTGGTAATCCGAGCTTCTGGCCCAGGGACGACTCAATACTGTGCCGTACGAGAATCCGTACGGGTAACAGCACAAATATCACTAAGAATCGGTGCTAGCAAACTAAGGACCGGGAGCAAGCGGATAAAGGAGGCGCCAAAAACCAAGCCAGTGCCCTTGGTGCCCGCAATACGAGCTGGGGAAGCAAGGTTTGGGGCAGTGTGGTGTGCAAAGCTGAGACACAGGCGATGAGGTGGCCCAATAAGCCGAGCAGACGAACCACGCCAGCTGAGCAGGCGGCAAAGCAGTCGGACGATTGATTGACGCACTTGGGATCCGTATTCGAGAGTGACAAGTCCCAGTTCTGGTCCCTGGCTCACCGTCGACGGTGCGACCCTGCAGGCAGTGCTAACGGAGTCGGGAGTAGGCAGAGCCCACAGAGAGTGTGATTCCGGCTCCTGGGCCTGGCGCTGGTGTTTTTGGGCAGGTGGAATTTTGAGGGCACGCAGCGAAGCGAACGACGATTGTCGGGTTTTGCAGGGGTTTGACGATGGAGAATGTTGAGGGACCCCTACGGAGTACGAATGAGGCCATTGATGGATTGGGTTGAAGTGCGAGTTAGCACAGCAGAGGCCCAACCGCAAAGGACGGACGGCTCCCACTAGCACCAGCAATCCAGTAGCGCTTCGTACAGGCTGGGGCCGCTGCGTGGGGACGTGCGGTGGGAGATGCCCACTGATGGCGCTAGTGCTTTAGCGCACCTGTCGCTGATGCCCAGTATCAATCACTCACTGATCCATGTCGACCTGCAGTCAGTGCCTGACCCGAGAATGCAATGCCTCCAGTTCCATAGAACCACAGCCCTCAACTCAGCTAAACAATGCGCACGAAAGCCACTCTCTCTTCAATACGAACCGCTAGAGACGCCCCCAAAGCAGCCCATCCCTGCTAGCCCCGGTGGCTGTTGCAAAGGCTCAACTTTGATCTCGTCGCTGGGGGCCGATCGTCGACATGGATGGTTGACTTTGTGACCCGCCGGCCACTAAGTGCCACTAGCGCGCCAGCAACACGTTGTTCCACCTCGTTTTTATTCACGCCAGCATAAAAATAGGAACAAATTCCATTGGCGCCATTTTGAAAACGAGCTTTGGTGCAGGGTAGGCCATGACGTTGGAACTGCATGAATTAGTATTTCCAACACGAACTTGTTGAACACTACTACATACGAGTATGTAGGTAAGGGAAAGATGTCGTAAAGAAGTTGGCGGACATGGGGACGAGCCAATGACAGTTGAGGGTAAGAAAATACGATCTAAGGGTGCGTGTGAGCTGACTGCACTGGTGGCAATGTTCAACTGCCGCTGATCTATTGATCACTTTACTACGTGATTAAGGTAGTATATAGCTTTACCTTTTTATTACTTTGATCCACGACTGTCGATTTTTTAACCTCGTATACATGCAAGGTACCCATTAATGGTTGCAACCCACGTCGAAAGTCAAAGATCCGCCTTTGCCTCCCCGCAGGTCCCGTTCACAGCATCACTATCTCAACCCTGCCTGTCTTTTTATATACACATCAAGTACACATATACATGGAATGTCTATTGTTAGAGTATCTAGGCAGCCTCAGCTATTATTGCATAGATGCTTACACGGACCAATCGAGATCAGTTAGTATAGTAACATGTTGTTTCTCACTCATAGTAGGTCAAAAGCGACAACGTGCTGTTTATAAGTGTCTATCGACAGGCAATTGATCGCAAACTGCATTATGTACATCACTTTGTTCTAGAAAGAGGGTATACTCCCTACCGTCGCCTTAGAGGTGCACATAAACTGCCGTGTCTAATGAAGCCCTGGCCAAGCCACGCTGACAAGTGGGCTCATCTGGTATCCATGGAATGGGTGTTTTCTTCCGGCATATTGATGTATCAAGAAGGGGGACGGGATATCGGAGCTAGTCATGCGAGAAGCCATGCGCAAAGTTGAAGCCAGCTTTAACTGGGGGCGGGTGTCTCTTCTCGTGAAGATGTGACTGGGCCGCTGTCACTACAAAGCCTCGATCTGTGATCTTACTAGAGAACTAGAAGCTAGGCTAATACAAGCGTAAAGTGTACTACCTACGCTGCCGTTACGATTCTATCCTTGCCTCGTGTGGCGTCTTGCGGAGCCTGTTTATAGAATGAAGAGAGTGGAGCTTCCACTAACTGTTTACAAGGCCTAGAGATCATGTATGACTACCTGTTTCTTGACTCTCGTCTACTTAAACAATGACAGTCATTAGGTAACGGGTTCAAAGAACCTTGGAACTGTACTCATCTATGTGAATAGTTGTCTAGAGTCGGGAGATCTTGGGCGCCGGTTGTGACGGAAACAAGGACTGAGTTTTTAGTTGCGGATATATTCCTAGTAGTAGTAAGTGCCTATATTTACGAAGTACTTGTTGCCTTTCTACAGAGCTGAGCTTCTCAACACAGCGATACAAGCCTCAACTCCAGCAAAGATGTAATATCAGGGGCTTTTCAATTAATAAAGTCATGGGTATTCAATTGAGAATTGACCCAGTAGGCTTTGACGGAAGGCCAGTCGTGACAGGCAGTCCTACTTGCTCGTTCTGAAGAATAATCTCACTAATGGCAATGTCTGAGACACACTCATTTTGTCGTAATTTCAACACCTGGCAGTGCCTGATTGGCTGTAAAAGTTCACTGAAGAGTTTGGGCAGATATCCCTGTGTTGGGAGATATGATCCTTGCGTGGAAATACATTCCAGTTCAATGTGCAAATGTATGTTTCACTCGTTTCTACAGAGGTTCATATACTAGTCGTCGTTTAAAGTACTTCTGTGCTTACTGAATCATGCACCGTACAGATCTAATTTCTCCCATACGGAGTAAAGCATTCAATCTCGGTGCGCCATGCCTCCAGCTCGTCCGCCTCACGTATAGCCATAGGAGTTTCACGCTCACTGAGTAGCTCTTGAAGCATTACTTATATATCATATATAATGAATAATTAAATATTAATATCATAGCTTTTTTTAAAGGATATATTATCTATTATAGATTTTTAATTCTGAAAAATTTAATTATTTAATAAAGTTATATAAGTGTTACTGCTACTACTACCTTCTTAGGAATAAGTAGGTATTAGACTTGTAATTCACTCGGGCCATAGTGAAATGTTATTTTCTTCACAATAAATCTGATGCCTGTGTTTCTACTTCTGCAGCACCTGAGGCTGTGTTGCTATATGAAAATAACTCACTAGAGCAATAGCGAAATGAACCTACGGAAGACATGGCGAATAGCTCAGGTAGTCCATAAATGAACGTGCTGATTCCCACCATTTTTCACAGTAATTGAAGCTATACCTTCTGGCATCGCACATCAGTCCTGTTAACCTGCGCAAGCATTTGTGTTTAAGGCGTCACGTGTCTACAATAGCAATAACAAGGACAGTAGGACAGCGGTGAATTATTTATTGTACCTTTAGGCAGGGGACTGGGGATCTCATATCTTCTCAGACGCCCATTAGGATCTGCTACTACTATACGTACCTAGGTAAACTGGCCTTTCGCACCACCAAAAATTAAGGACCTCCCGCCTCTAACAGTCACAGAGATATTAGAGTGGGTGCGTCACAAACCATTGCCATCGACAACAAAATAATAAGAATCCTCCGTCAGGAGGTCGTCCAAAGATGTCGTGACCCTTTGGAGGCCTGCTCGATCGAGAGCAAGATAACCAGCATCAAATACATTACCGGCAACGATCTGACAAGCTGTCAAAGCTGTTTTATGATGTAGTCCGTAAACAAGACCACCTTCAAATGTCTCACAATCGACTCGTGGGAGTATGAAGAGCACCGGCATTGGACATTCATAACCAGGATGTAGACACCGGATTTCATCAAATTGAGGGAATGTCTGAGGGAGAGACGGCGGACGTGGCCCAGCCAACTGTGTCGGAGACATTTCGGTGGCCATTCTGGACAATTATTGTCGGTGGAGAAGAAATAACAATTCAAGATCTGTTAATGCAAGATCTGGTTTCGCGCAAGCTCTGGCGAAAGGCCAGTGATGCAAGATCTGATTTCACTATTGCTCTAGCGAAAATCCGGTGATACAAGATCTGATTTCACTATTGCTCTAGTGAGAATTTGGTAGGACTGGTGATTTGCAGGCGTGGATGATGTTGATGAAGGAAAAGAAAAAGAAAAATAAACAAAGGGGGGAGAAGTCTAGATATAGTCGGCAGAAATCAGGGCGGTGAATATACTTAATACATTCAATTGCTGAAGCATAAGGCCCAATTTGAACTCTATAGGTCAAACGTGAAGCCTCTCTGGCGTATGGTTTTGACCTTCAACTTTCCCGGTTCATTAATATGTTCTACGGCTTCTGCCGTTGGTGTACTTCGAATCTCCAATGTTCATGGCCGAAGTAACCTAGAGTTTGATTCTGATCTTTGACCGAATGGCTGGGTAAAAACATTTGTTCGACTTGTTGTCTACTAGTACCTGAGTCACTGAGCAAAAGAGGTTGCTCCGAAAATAATGGAAACTTTATTACATGTACCTACTTAGGTACCTAGATATAACAACTGAGGTGTAACGCTAGGCCGGTATTTCGAATCTACTGATATCACGTCGGCACTCTGGCACGGATCTAGTCGGGTGTCTACCTACGCAATGTCGGCATTTGTATCCTGCAAACCGACTAATATGTACTTGCAACGATGCCTACAACCACCTTGAGAGAAAGACGGTTTCGGTAGTAGCCATTCCGCTCTGGGTGATTGCTTTGGGTCCGTCTGTCGCTGTCAGGGTATCGACGGCCAGTGATTGCGTGGAGTTCACGGTCGAAGTAGGATACGAAAGGAAGCCTTGTACATCAAGGACGACACATTCTCAGCCTCGTTCAAGGATTGGAACTACTCTCTTGAGCAAATCCGACAGGGGTCTGTCGAGACTCATAAGACCCTTTGGCGAGGGTCTTACATACACCCATTCATGTAGTACGCGCCTCTCACCGACGAACAATTTGAGTATATGTACGCCGAACAACAAGCAGACGAGCTGGTGTTTCCTGACCGAGAGTTGGGGCCGCGAAACCCCCTCTGGAGGGAACTGATGTGTGTGTATTTGCTACTGCAGATACTAAGCACCCACCTAGTGGTAATCGATGCCCGGGTTTTGTGTATCTGCTACCATCAACTATCTTCTGCTATTATCGCTACTTTCCTCTAGTACCTGCTATTACAGCTATACTCCTCTGGTGTCTTGTAATATCAACAGGGTTCAGGACTAGAAATCATTCATGTCTGAGTAATGCCTTAGGGATTACTCATTGAGCGTAAATTTCGTGTGAACAGCTATGGCGATGTAATATCATTGCTTTATATGGAAGAGAAGATCACTTTGTGCTAGATCTACACGGTCGATAGCATCTATTGTAACATATAAAAAACATTCCACCACTAACGCCAACCTCCTAGTGCTGTTCATACATTCGTTTCCATTCGTCATAATTCTTAATATACAAACTCGATTGATCATACAGGACGAGAATCATGCCATCATGCCACCATACCGCTCTCCCTTTCGAGGAATTAGCAATCACGAATCACGCAAGTGATTTCATCGAAATTGGTTCATGTATTCTTCCACCTTCTCGTGAGTAGGGCACATGTGTGTCCAGATTTCTTCCTGCTCTCCGAAATCATGCAAGCCATGGGCGAGGTCGGCCACCTCACGCCCAGCACAAATAACGAATCGCCAAGTACGACGGAACCATGCCTTTAACCGTACTGAGAACTCATTGGGTATCTTGAGGCGAACAGCAACCCATTTGTGATCAGGCGCATGGTCCGTCCGAAGAGGCTCTGTGGGCTCGGGTGGTTGCTCTGCAGATTGTAGCAGCTGCTCGTCTGCCCACATGTTGTATTTGGTCTGTTCTGGAGGCAATACGATTTTAAGAAATTCCAAGGATGCCGTGATAGTGAGAGAGATTGCCCGTGTCGGATTGACCATGGACTTCATTAGTATTGACATCCATTGAGGATACAGCACGGCGAGATCGGTCATTGCGAGATGGGTTGATCCAACTATTGTGAGCATCCAGCACAATGCCCCAGATTCACGCGCTTCATCGCTGAACTCGACAACTTTATCAAAGTTGTCTTTCCAGTGCATGAAAACCTCGGATGAGATTGATATAAGCGGCTTCGCGATCCGTTCTTTTCGATTCTCTCCAGCTGGAGGCGTTGCTTGACCCCAGGCGTCCAGAATAACTCCCTGGCCTATCCATTCGAGTGTATGATCGCGACAAATCTGGACCGTAGTCGCACCTCCAAACGAGTGTCCCATCATGGTGACATTATTTAGAAACATGCTCCCCTTCCAGTCTTCCCAGTTGACGCCATTGAGACCCACGGAGCTAGATGCCACATTGCCTTTCTTTCGGAGATTCAGAGACGCAACATCATCTCCATGACCAGAATTGAGTAGATTGAGAATATGGAAGGCCTCCTTTACCTCTTCTTGCCTCAGTTCAATTTGAGCTGACCTCAAAGTGTGATCAACACCTCTGCGGTTATGAGGAGAGGTGTCCTGGGCATTGTCTTTGGGAAGAATATAGTCGACAACATAGTATGGATTCAATCCCTCCTTCCTTCGACGTTGCACTTTCTTGTCTTTGGCATCATTTTCCTTGCCATCGTTATTTGTGTGTATTTCGGCCGTTGACGATTCTATAGCCGCGGCCTCAACATTGCTCGGAAGACTGACATATGTCCTGGCACCGCTGCCATCACGATGTTCTATCGCTACCACAACAAATCCGAAGCTCGCCAATTCTCCACAGATTGAACTGTAGCAGAGCCGCGAGCCGCCAAGTCCATGGCTGAAGATGATGACTGGAAATTTCGGCCGACTTGTAGGATCTCCTTCTTCCTCTCTGGCCTTCTGTCCGGTTGGACCAGAGTCATTGCATATGTCTTCCGGCCAATGAGCAGCCAGTTTGGCATTTCGAAATGCAGGCAGCTTTGTGAAGAGAGAGGTGCAGGCAAGGTAGGCGGTAACTGGGAGTGCTGGAATGTGAAGATATTTGGCGTAGCCCTTGGCAGTTGCAGCTCTTGGTCGTGGCATCCAGTCGACGCGATGGGGCTTTTCTGCACCAGTAGAAGTTTGTAAATCACACGGATAATATATTCCCATCAGGATCGTGTCCAGCCGAAGGACTGGTTTCCCGTTTCTTCGTAGTTTGGAAACAGGTCGGGGATCGCGGACTGGAACTTCGATGTCCATATATCCAACATTGTAAGGTCCATTGTAGTTAGGAAGTCGATGGAGAAATAGTTCTCTGAATGTTTTTCGTGGTTTGACAGCTGACCTGCGAAGAGGTTTAGTATTGGCTTGTGGAGGATTCGCCATTGTGTTTATGCTGGAATGAGGATGAGGCCGCTGAAGTGTGTTAATGAGAGTTTAGCATGGTATTTGTGGTATTTGTTCCTTTGTTTGCTTTTTGCATAAAAATAAGTTCAAGCTTACTGGATCAGCACGGGGATTTATGTCGTCGTTGACTTCGATGTTGAATGTTTGGGCTGTGACGTCAAGACTACATGTGCTCGCACTCAAAGGCCGAAGCAGGCTTCCCTGCGGGTCTTCAACGGTGCACATCGTCACTGCAACTTTCACATGCCTCGAAAAAGAACTTTTACGAAAGATGCTGCAATCGATGAGAGAATTCAGGTTAACTAGAAAAAAAGTTAATAAGAAGCTCGACTGGGGTTTATATCACTGCAATAATTCTTTGATGCAGAAAATATATTGATATGGCAGGCTGAAACGTTTTGTCTATCCTTCTTGTTCAATAAGGCTCGCCATGTCGATCTTTGTTCCTTACACAGGCATTTTTTGAACACCTTTCACAATAAATTTATAATATTCAGATATATGTAAAGACAATATTGTCTAACTACTGCACGACCAAGGCTTATTTTGTTTACATCTTGATAGCTGCCAACCATCCTTGAGATTAGACTTCCAATGTTCTTGAACTTTCTAGTTCACGCGAGCAGTCAATAAATGATGACGACATAATGCAGCCAAACATATCGAAGTAGCGTCGCACCGTTGAGATGAGAGTGGGGCTATTTATTGGCCAATAGAAGGGCTTACTTTCAATGTCCTGCAAATTCGCTGGTCCTTGACTCATTCGCCGGTAAAAGTCGGGGCTAGATTAATCCGGGAGGGCAGTCCCCGCTCACGTGATAGATACCTCTCGCCCACAATCATTTGGCGAAATCCCCCAAAAATCTCACCGCGCCACTGCAGATTCAGCGTCCACACATCATCGCCAAATCAATCTATCACCATGGGTAAAGTTCACGGATCTCTTGCCCGTGCCGGTACGTGCAAACTATCCCCAAAAGTTTCGCTTCTATCTTCAAGCCCACTGACTTTTTTCTTCTCCAGGCAAGGTCAAGTCTCAGACTCCTAAAGTACGCCGAACCGACTCGCTCATCTCCCGCTGACGAACCCAAAATACTGATCATTTTTCCCGCCCTACAGGTTGAGGCCCAGGAGAAGCCCAAGACCCCCAAGGGTCGTGCTCTTAAGCGCCACAAGTACACCCGACGATTCGTCAACGTCACTCTGACCGGTGGAAAGAGAAAGGTGAGAATATCGGAACAGATGGGAATATCCGGAGTTACGTTGCTGACGACGGCGATAGATGAACCCCAACCCCGGCTCTTAAACGAATTAGACCATGACTAGGGAGAGAAGGATGTAAAGATTGACAACGGGGCCGTTCTCCGATGGTTGCTTGATTTCAGCAGAAGGCAAATGGAATGAGTCGGGTCGATTGGCAGGCTGAGCATCATCTACAGTTTGAGAGATGCGAAGAAGCGCGACGGCTTTACTCGGCGTCTGGTGTCGTTCGTCAATACAACGAATTTCGTCCACGATGAAAAAGTCCCATTTGTGATAATTTTCGTGATGTTAAGATGGGTTGAAATCACAGGCGTTTCTACGAGGGAAATCAACCATACGTCTATCCTGTCCTGATTTGCGGCTGCCTACTTGTCGGTGGTGTTTTAGTACATACAAGAATTGTAATCTGCTGCGCTGATCTTTTACATATCTGCCCTTCATGCTTGCCTTTAACATATTCAAGCCATAAACTAGCAACATATGCCCCTGACTTCATGCCCATAATACACCGACATGGGGAGAGGATATTTAGGCGTATCGTTTACAACAATAAATATTGCCATATAGTTTATGTGTATGTGACTCTGCCGGCGATTTCTTGATAAAATTATGACAGTTTTGATGACGATGATCATGCCATCTCATAAGAAAGCGCTTTGAGCTGTCGCGGTCACGTGATAAATATCCAGCATCCAACTTCTCTGCCCCGCGGTCAATGGCTGATCTGATCTACAAAGCTCCAGCATTCGTTCAAACATCATTCTCCTCGCAAACATTAGCCATTGCCCAAGATGGCTGACGTAGAAATGGAAGTCGACGACGTCGCGCCGTCATCAACGCGAAACGAGTCCGAAATGCAGACACATACCAAGGCAACAGCGGTCCGGTCAATCGAAGGATGGATTATCATTGTCACAAATGTTCACGAGGAGGCCGACGAGGAAGCTTTGCAGGACAAGTTTGGAGATTATGGAGAGATCAAGAATCTTCACCTGAACCTCGATAGACGCAGTGGTTATGTCAAGGTATGAGACGTGTCGCAAAGCCAGGGCTTGCAAGCAGGACACTGACTCTTTTCCGCCAGGGCTACGCCTTGATAGAGTACGCAACACTAGAAGAAGCTCGAGCTGCAATCGACGGGGCGCACAACACAAAACTGCTGGATCAAACGGTGCAGGTCGATTTTGCCTTTGTCAGACCTCCCCCGGGCAAGGGTAGGCAAGGAGGAGGCAGGGCTGGAGGCAGGAGAGGACGCAGTCGAAGCAGAAGTCCCGACGCCAAGGGCAACGACGCATGAAGATTCTGAAATAATACTAGGACAACAAGTGTGCGGCCGATGTGATGGCCCGTGGTCATGGCATATCGGCATGTGTAATTTAATTCAGCGAGGTATGGGTCTTAGAAAGCGAATAATTGTCTGGTTCGTGGCTGACTGTATCTCTCTAGGATGCCAGAGTCAAGCCCGAAACCATTGGGATCTCATTATCACCATTATAAAGATGATGGCAAGGGGCCGTGTCGAATTTGATGGATAATAGGCACGGTGACTTTCAAATTGGCCCTTGACTCGCCTAGGAAGCAAATGGAACCATACGATACAATTCATCACAACGCCGTGACCTCAGACTGGATGGTCTTGGGTCTAGAACAATACGATATCTGAAAGCCTTTCTGAGTAGCTTTGACTACTCATCACATAAATGGAAGATCATTGCGCAAAGCTTATATTTCACACAGCCTGAACCCTACAGATTGTGCATGCCCGCTGGCATTTGGAAGCATGCGGTATCCGATCACAAATCTTGATGTATGTACTCCGTATGTTGCTCGCCTAATACTGTAGCCAGTCGAGCTGCAGTCACGAGGTGGTACAAGATATCATCTCCATATCAGATAAATTCCCTCAAGTACATTCATGTATTATCTGATGCTGCCCGACCTGATCCAATGAGCCCTGAATTCATTTTGCTCCCATCAAATGTGTTTTGTCGCGCTTGGAGCACGCTTTGGAACTCCTCTGCCGTCAATGGCGGCAGCCCCCACCTGGTAACTGAATGCTCAGGATTTCCCCACTACAACGCTCTCCAGTCAGCGTCCAGTTATTACAGAGGTATAGTGCACAAGTGCCTGGTCGGCGCAAGCTACAGGCACCTTATCCTCTTCGGTGACTTCATGCCCACTGTCATCAGGCATGATCGCGACGACATTCAATCCCAATCCTCAGCAATCCGAGATACGCAACCTTTTCTCCGCGCGCGCCTCATAGCAATACGCAATTGAGTCTTAGAACAAACACTCTTCACACGCGATGCGCCATTGAGCCGACTGGCATGGCTCGCCAGGCGCATTTCGACTCAAGGATTATGCGCAAGCTTCTCGGCAAGGCTGCGCCAGATGCCTCCAGCGGTGATCTGACCAACAGCCAAGGAAACATCCCGACCGTCTTCCGGCCTTCAAAATCACAGAATGCCGTCCATCCTGTGGGCAGCCCCATTGCCTGTCTTGATATAACGCCGGATCACCGTGCCGTGGTCCTCGGCGGCCCTCACGTCCTCAAAACGATAGTTGCGGATTCCTCTGTCGACTCTAGCTTCAGCTTCAAGTTCACCGATGGGGTAGATGTCAGGGCAGCAATTACGGCGCAGAAGCCGTCCGGTTCGGGCGGAAGTCTTGTTGCAGACCAGCTCAACATTCGCGATGTCAAGTGGCAAGGCGCGTCTACAGTCTTCACAGCTTGTGCTGCCGGGAGGATCTTCGCCTACGACGTTGCCAGGCTCGGCTCTGGAGGTGCATCTGATCCTCTCGACTACATTCAGATCCAGGAGGACTCGCGACAGGTCAACAGCTTGGATGTGAACCCTCATCTCAAGAGCTGGGTGCTGTCCGGCAGTCAGGATGGCGTTGTTCGCGTCTTTGACGTCTCTGCGCCTCTTCAGACTCGGGCCGGCTTCCTGACATTTAGACAGCGATACTCACAGTTGAAGACCAATGATTCAGTTAGACAGGTCAAGTGGTCACCCAAAGTCGGCCACGAGATGGCGTGTTGTACCGACTCCGGAGTGATTATGAAATGGGATGTACGGCAGGCAGCACGGCCTTTACTGCGAATCAATGCACACGAAAAATCCTGCTCCGCCATTGCCTGGCATTCGGATGGCATCCATTTGATCAGCGCCGGCTGGGATGCAAAGCTGCACGTATGGGACTTTGGAGCCTCGGCAGACAAGCGGCAGAAGCCCAAATGGAGCATCACTACACCAGCACCTGTGACCACAGTCGCTTGGCGACCCGGCCTTTGGTCTGCAACTGCTCAGACCCGACGACTGGCCCAAGTTGCCGTGACTTACGATGAGACAAGTAATCGACGATATGGCACTTCGGTTGTCCACATCTGGGATCTGGCAAGGCCCGCAATGCCTTACAAGGAGATTGAGCGATTCGACAGCTCACCGTCAGCACTCTCGTGGCTAGATCAAGACATGCTCTGGACTGTGGGGCGGGACGGCATGTTCAATCAGTGCGATGTTGCCTACGCACCAAAGGTCATTGACCGAATGTCTACCTCTGCTATGGCCTTTTCATCCCGGGGAGACGTAGTCATGTTCCTTGACGAGCGGCCGCAACCTCCTCGGCCACACCCATCTGTCGGCCATGACTCCGAGGTGGTACCCCGAACTCCATTCAGCACAAGCCCCAATACCCCAATGCTCAGCGTCAGCCGAAGTGATTCGGAAGAGGACGTGCTGGGCAGCTTTCTGGGACCACGAAGGCGGACGATTCGGAAAAGGAGGTTTAGCACTAGATCTGGCTTGCCAATGAGCACCACTCCGCCGTCCTTGCCCAGCTTATCGGATGATGGAAAGCAAGTTCTCGGCTTGGAGCAGTCGATCAACGTTACTGGCATGTTCAAGACGCAGCAAGGCATGGCGTCCGGCCATGTTCCATCTGCAAAGTCGGTCGGTGTGTACCAATATCTTTCCAGCATTTACCTAGAGACCCTTCAGCGAGAACTACCTTTAGATAAAGGCGACAAGTCACTCGTCGAGCGAGTGGCGGGCATCATGGAGCAGTATGCTGTGGCAGCGGAGAACGTCCGATTGTATCGCCTTTCGCAGACATGGCGCATCCTAGCTTATGCCATGTCCCTATTGATGGAGAGACGTGCGGACTACCACCTGAGGCTCAGGACAGCTCGATTCCGTAAAAGGAGTCTTGACGAAGGAAAAGGCACTCTTAAGAAGACGCCTAGCCACATCCATGTCAGCCGCCTCGCCAAGGTCGAAGACCCCCCGCGCAGACCATCAGGGCAAGCCGGCAGTGTCGATGGCCGCTTATCAATGGCGAGGTCTCTGCTGTCGGAGGAAATTGAGAGCACGTCCAATGTACCAACGCCTCTTGCGAGGCCTGTCGGCGAGGGCGATACGGTTGAGTGGGACGAGCGACATTATCTACATGGGAAAAAACTAACACCCATCATCGAGCCCGAGAGCCTCAACTTGGGACCTTCTGCTCATGGATCCTATCGTCCAAGCCCACGTCAACGTCACGATTCAGCCCCGATTTCAGAGATGAGTCATGACAGCGAAGCATCCAAGATATCCATCACAGAGGGGTACGACTTTTACGACATGGAGGCTTTAGCACGAGCCATCGATGTGCCCATGACCAAGAAACCTCACGATGATGCTGAAAAACTCCAGCGGTTAAAGGCCATACGGCACGATTCAACTGATAGCTTTGCTCAAGTGTTTTCTGCCTCTGATAGCAGCGATCCCACTTCGCCGAGGAGAGACTCGTCTAATCCCCCTAGCTCATTGAAGCCCGAATCATTAAAAATATCGGCGATAGGCAACAAAATTGGTGCAGAGTTTGCTAGTTTAGCTCACGATGATAGCGAGCAGCATTCTCCAAAGCAAACCAAGGGGCCGTCAAATGGCACCGCAACTCATCCGCGCGCAGACTCCCCTGAAGAGGTCTTCATGATCTCTCAGACGACCGCTGCCACGGACGAGACTTTTCCGTCTCAAATATCGTTTGCATCACAAACCGACTCGGAAGTCCATCAAGGGTTTGCAGGTCATCACCCAACTCCATCCAAAGACATTCAAATGGCGAAACCTGCCAGTCCTGCTCCAGTGGTGACGGCCCCCGAGTATGATCCCAGCCCTAATGTCGTTGTGACCGATTATTTTCCCTGGCCAGGTGATGGACCTTATCCTTTCCCCACAGACACACCAGAATCCAAAACCTTCGCACCACGCAGCATGCTTGCATGTCCACTGGATCCTTATTCTCTCATAACGCGTGCTCTGGAGTTCGAGTCGCGGACTTCGGCACTCAATGCCTCTGCGATAGTGCTCCTACTCAAGCCCCTGGTCCCCGAGTCTATCATTGACACCTTTCAAGCAACTGCAGTTTTGAGGCAGCATCACTCTCGTCTCATGGGAATGAGCCTCTTCGTCGAGGCTGCTCTCCTGCGCAATCTGGCAATCAAAGGCTGGCCTGCTGGGCTGCCCTACTGGGGCGAGAACTACACCTCCTTATTCACGCCAGCACAGCAGGGCGTCAAAGCAGGCTTCATGTGCTCAAACTGTCGCAAGCCCCGAGAAATCGATCGGAGTACCGGGGACTCTGCCTTTTGGACATGCGAAAAGTGTCGCCAGACGGTAACGCCCTGTGCGGTATGCGGGCATAGGGATGCGGAAATCGCCAGCTCGATGCCCACCGAAGTCGTCGACATCCCCAGCATCGAGTCCTGGATGACGGAATGGTGGTACTGTCCTAGCTGTTGCCATGGCGGCCACGCATCGTGCATGCAAACCTGGCACGCCGCCCTCCGCCCGTCCGAGGCAACCTCGTCGTCCACCGTATATAGCGACGGGTGCTGTCCCGTCGACGGCTGCGGGCATGCCTGTCTGCCTGGAAAATACAGGGGCGAGACGGCGACCGCACGAGCTAACGAGCTCAGCCACGCCGTGGTGGATGGCAGCCGCATGCGGGACGGAATCGCGGGGGTCAGCACCAGCAGGAGGTCCAGCCCAGGGCGAACTGGTCCAAGTAGCATGGGCGTGGATCGCAGTATCAGGAGCGATGCCAATGACGTGCTGCAGAGCAAAGCTGTTGGAATGGCGAGGGAAGCGCTGAACAAGGGCAGTGGAGGCATCCTGAGTTCAAGTCCTGGGCGGACTATGACTGGCGAGAGGGAGAGGAGGAAGAGCGTCAAGTTTGCTAGGACGGAGCGTTGAGACATGATGCGGGTGTATGATGCCTTCTTTTTAGAGTGACTTCATCAGCTTTTGCTTTGTTTTCTTTATTTTCAGCATGGTGTTCTGGGAGAACTATTGAGTTCGCTGTTGGGCAAATTGGGTTTGCTGTTGGGCAAAAGGAGGGTTTGTCTGTTTAGTAGCTGTCATAGCAACATATCAGGGGAAATGCAATTAGAAACGTGTACAACCCATGAAACTTTGAACAGACAATAAACGAATACAATTTTGATGAGAATAATCCATCAAGCTCTATTTAATCGCTTTGTTTGGTACGCTGAAGATATAAGATACACGGCTACTGCCCCCGCTGTGAAGGATATCTCAATCCTCCCTCCTCCTCCCATTTTCAAGACACCGATACTAAGTGCCTCTGACCTCCTTTTATGCTTCAACCCGCAATATTCTCTCGTAGGCCCTTCGTCCTCAGTGTAAACTTAGCGTCGCCAGAAGCAAACGGCAAGCCCAAGTCTCTATCCGGACTCCACGCCCCATCAGCCACATCACCTCCCGCACCATTACTATTACCATTACCGTTGCCGTTGCCATGCGCACTATTACTCTTCGCAATGGCGTTTCTCAGAGCATCAGCATGCTGGGTCGTAAGGTCACTATCCGAGCTCCCACGCCTACTGCCCGCAGCACTACTGCTCTCCCCATCCATCAGCGACGGCACAGCCGAGAGCCTCCCCTTAAGCCTCCCTGCCCAAAGGCCCCTGACGCCGCCCTTTTTCCGCGCAGGAACCTCTTCCGAGCCGGCGCTGCAGACGTACAAAAGGTACTTAAGATTTGGAAGCGTTTGTCGAATGTCGACCACTTTGAGGCCCTGGGAGGTGCATAGAGTTTCAATGTCCTTGTTGAGGAGAAACCAGGCGTATTCGAAGCGCCACTGCAGGGCGGTTGATCCTCCCCTTGGAAGATAGAGAGGAAATTCTCTACGAGAGCCGCTCTTGTCCGAGAGGAGAGAGATGTCGTCCTTTGCGTAGGAGCGAGAGCCATAATGATACAACGGATAAGGCAGCGCATGACCCAAGTAAAGCTGCAAATGGCGCGTGACTAGCGCAACCAGCCCCAGCCCGGCTGAGAGAACATCTTCGTTGAGGGTCCTGGCAGTGGCGGCGTCGTATATCGAGTTTGGTAGCGGCACGTCACAGATCTGGAAAGAAAGCGGCGGCGCATTGGGTATGGGTGTAATCGGGAAGATGTCGGCCAGCTCGGAGCAGATGCGGCGACGCTGACCCCGGATTTGCTGCTGCGTCTGTTCCAGTAGCTGCTTGGAGGCCACCAGCGTCTCGCGGTTGTTTCTAATATCTTCATCTACCTTTTCCTGGAGCTCCCTGCCCGTAGCAATGGCAGCACTCCGCTTACGCAACGACTCTTGTAATTCGTCTCTTCTCGCCAGTGTAAGTTTATTTGTGCGCTGCTGCATGGTGACATACTTTTGGGCTAGAGCAACCTCTTGCTCGGCGACATCCGGCGGATCGGTAGTAGAGCTGTTTAGAATCTCGTTAATCTGTTCCATAATTCGTTGCTGAGTCTGGATGGCGTCTTCAATGGAGCTCTCGAGGTTGGCCAACTTCATCAATGCATTATATGACGAGGTTGCAACGGGGGGTGCGTTTCTCGGCTCGGATTGTCTCGTTGGAAAGTCAAAAGAGTAGACGCCGTCTTCGAGGTGGAATATGAGCGCATTCGGGGGGTATTGGCGGTCCAACAGCGTGCCAATGAAGTTGAGGTTCCTGAGATCAACCAGCTCCTCCAGCAGAAAAGTCCATGTCGTCTGCTTCAGCCGCCTAGCCCATACTCGGATGACGATACGGCACGATCTGGAGACATCGCCTCCCCGGGATACGAGATCGAAGAATTGGAAGTTGAAATTCTAGAATGGACAAGAAGAAAAAAGCAAGTCAGCGTCGGAGCCTTTGCGAGCTTTGTCATGATGCGCAGGATCCGTTTGGCTCATACCGCCGATCTCTCGCGCACTTCGCTGACGTAGACGGGCTCGTCGATGCCGGCCACGTGCAGCGAGAAGAAGACGTCTCCGAGAGTGTCGTCCAGCAGCTCCTTGAGCCGCTTCTGCCTCTGGGCCGGGCTGAGGCTGACGGTGCTGAGGCTCGTCCTCCGGGGCGGCTGCGACCTGGACCGTTCGGGCCGCGCCTCGTGTCGCAAGTTGTCCGACGACCGCGAGCCATGCAGCTGCCCGGCCTCCTTGAGCGCGCCCAGCTTGTTGGGGCTCCTAATCAGGGCGACATCGTCCGAGGTGCGCAGCTGCACGGGGGCAAACGACAGATTCCGCAGCGAGAGGCCCTTGAGGTGACGGAGCTTGCGGTTCTGCGGTAACAGACGCGGCCGGCGAGGTTCGGAAAGCGAGGACATGGATGCGAGGCTCGAAGCATGTCGTCAAACGATCGGAGACTGGAGTCGGCTCTCGCGACCTGCACGATGGAGTTGCGCCTTACTGGAGCATATCACAGGCTCGGCTTGGATGAGGTTCGTCACTGTTAGGTTACGAATGCACTGCGGGTGAGAATGTAGTGGGAAGAAGCTCCGAGGCCCCGGCCATAAGCATAAGACGTAGCGGGCGTGGCATGCCTTGTAGCTCTGCACTGAGAAACCGGGGCAAGGTACAAGCTTGGTGCTTTCTGCAGTACGGCTATTTGCATACCTAACTGATATTGAGTAGAGCAGAACTCGAGCTTCATGGGCTAGCTAAGAGGGTAATACAAAAAGGCAAGATAAACATGGAGAGCAATAGAAAAAGAAAAAGAAAAATAGCAAGTGCGCATCTGTGCCCGTGGACAGAAGCAATTCTACTAAAAATAGCCTTGCATTATGCCACGCGAGTGAGAAGCATCCAATTAATATCCTGCATGCTGATGCATATGCTCAAAGCTCTGTTGGCACTTACATCATGCAGTCATGTCTTTCTCCTGAGTCACTACTACTGGCTATCATTGAAGCACGCATCACCAATGAATTCTAGTGAGCATTTTAATGGGCATTTATCTTGCGCAACACGTTCATTTATTACTATAGTTCATTCTCAGTCTATAGTCTCCAGTCACAAAGCAGCTCTCGTCCCAGACTTGAATGTAATTGATGACTTGACGTCTTTTTCTTTATCGCACCAGTCGTATCCTACCCTAGAACAAAAATTCACAATCCGGAAGAGACAGACATGCCCTCCCTGCCGCCCATGATATCCATATCCATGACCTTGTATCCATGACCTTAGACAATGAGTACCGGTGAGAAAAGAAATGGGGAAATTAAAGTAGAAAGATGAAGAAAAGAAGAAGAATCATAAGCAGGGGTAGGATAACGTGTCGAAACCGAACGATGCGTAGGTAGCATCAGAAGCCTTTCTGCTTGATAAACTCCTCGAGGCTGAGGTCGGATGTCTTCTTGATCAGATTCACTAGAGGCAGAAATAGGCCGTTCGTTGCAGTACCAGCAGCTGCAGCGTCATTGATGGCCAACAGCTCATCCCACGACTTCCAGTACCATCCGTCGCACTTGTTCTTCTCCATGACCTATTGACACCCGTTAGCCACCTCATCTAGCATGACATTCCGTCTGATTGATAATGAGGAAAGGGGGTGAAGAAGGCCATGCCTTCCACCCATAGTTCCTGAGAGTCTTACCTGTGGCTCCTGGTTCGGGTCCTTCATGACGAAGTTGGCGAAGATTGTAATGTAGTGCTTGCCTTCATTCAGAAACACATCATTCGTAATAGTAAAGACACCCTTTCCTTCGACCTCAAGGCCCGTTTCCTCAAGCGTCTCTCGCGCGCCACAATCCAGGAGCTCCTCCCCAGGCTCCAAGTGTCCGCCAGGGAACTGCCATGTGCCTGTGGAAACCCCCATTCGTTAGCTCTCATGTCAACAAAAAAACGCGCAGATATACGCTTCTTATCCCATTCCAAGGCAGACTGGAACACGCTACAGAATTCCATGAGGATGAGGTGAGGAAAAAAAGGGGGACACTTACCCTGGCCATGGCTGCCCTTTCGGATGCTGCAGAGGAATTTGCCCTCCGCATTTTGGATCACAGCCGTGACACCAACCCTTGGAACAGCAACTTCTGGAAGTTTGGCTGGTGTTGGAGCTGCTTGATCGGTGGTCTTGTTTATTTCGGTGGTGGATGCGACATCATCTCTTAGAACCTGGGTTGCCGTTTCTGGCTCGCCGGATGTAATTTTAACACTTGGAACTTCAGCCGACATTTTGAATATTGGTCAATGACAAAGATTGAAGTTGAATAGAATGAGTTGAGAACGATTCATAGTTGCTTCAATACTGGATATCTTGCATTCAATGCAGCAGACAACGGGGTCTTTTAAGTACATGATGAGCTATGCCTGTGCAACAGGGCTTATGTAATGCTCCAACAAGGCGTTCTCACCATCAGGCAGCACCAAGTTCCTTTCCTTTCACGACCGAGCCGCCAACGCAAAAAATCCACAAAAGGAACAAAGAAAGCGGAGAGAATTATCAAAGAAAAGAGTCACTGCCTGGTGTCGCGTGCCGCCGGCCTGAGCAAACTTCTCAAGTTCATACACTTTCTCTTTGACCTAGCCCTAGCCGACAGTCAGGCTCAATCCAGGAGGGGCTGTGCTTCCTCCCGTCTTTGTTCTCTTGTGCCACCAGGTGATTAACTATCCACTTATCTCATTGCACAGCCCGCGAATAAAATCGTCGACTCACAGGATTCCTCTTCTTTCAAGAACCTTCAAGGTGCCTCAGATTTCGCGCGCTTGTTTGCTTCTTTATTCTTTTACAAACTGGCCATAGCCCTCAGTCTCGTGACGCCGTTGTCTTGGACCAGAGGCCTTGGCCATGCGACAAGAATGACATGAAAGAAGACGAAGATCAGGAGGCCTACTGGTGCTACCGATTCCAATCCCAGGATGATCAGCGGCTCTGGATGAGACGAGGCAACAGCTTCAGTAGACGTGGGCACAAGACAAAGGAAAGGCGCTGCAAACATCCCTATACTACTAAGATCAAAGAGATGCTGGCGAATACTGCTCGAAACAACACCGGCAAGGCATTTCGCCTCCCCCCTTACTTATTTCCTCTCGCCCTCAGGCCAATGGCCTTTGACCGGAGCAAAGTCCTGCAATGTTAATTGTCTCGGCCAGTCATCCAGTGAGACACGGTGGCCCTGGCGGAGCAAGGAATTCGTGCTGTCTCAGGGCCACATTATGAGATGCAAGGGGATCAGCCTGCCAGGGCTATGCGTTGTCAACTTGTGAGTGGTATTCCCTCTCACCGGCTCTCTCCAAGGTGTCGCTGCATCTGCAGGCAGAGTTGATGTGACGTAGCCAGTGTTTTGCGTAGGTGAGCCTGCATATACGGAAGACCATCCTATTATTCCACCAGCCTCAATAACCAACCTCGATTCAACTCTGGACTCAGAGCTACAGCCCATTACGTTAGTGACAACATTTACATAGTAGGCCATTGGGAAAATAATCAGGCTACTTTCAGCATAAATGGAATAATCGCTACTTGTCAAACATGCTACTGGCCAGAGGACATCCCTACAAGGCAGTCTGTTGTTTATAAACACTCGGCGATAGGAATGGTGCCGCAGAACGGCGTACTCGAACGGCGTACCCGTCCGGAGTACTCCTTCTGGTCTTCATACGAGTACGCCCAGAGATCTCAAGCACGGGAAAAAGTATCCATACTGCACAAGTCAAATCCAGAGCTGTTCAAAAACGGGTTGAGATCAGCTCGCCTGTTCCATACTGCAAGCATCCCCTTTCTTTTCCCTTATTGAAAGCCAGCCCACGTACCTTTGAGAATGAAACACAATGTTTATCAATAGTCAAAACGCCAACTAATGCGAAGGCAAATCAAGACAGACGCTAGAATGGGAACACTGTCATACGGGTTGCAAAAAAACGCCGCCGGTCTACACTATAAAATTGTAAGTGGTAGACGGCGGTGTTTTTTGCACCCCCTTTGGCTGTATCGATACCATGGCCTTTGAAATGGATCATCTCCATTGGTACCTGAAACATCGAACGTTTTTTTTTTTTCATGGTGCATACTAGTACTACTCGTGCAGCACCGAGAGCCCGAGACATCTAGGGGAATGTAGCCAAAGGATGCTCCCGTCGTAGGGAAAGGGGGGCAGTTAGAGGGGCCTTACCGCTGCCGATCAAGGTCCATGAACGGGAGCAGCCCTTAGCAGAAGACTCCCGGTGGGCTGATATCAAACCGTCATTCTCAAGTCAAGGGACGAGTAGTCACCTAGTAGTCTGGGGTCGGTCTTTACTCCTCTTGAAGAGAGGTACTGCTATGAGAATGAGGAGTTAACTTCCCCTATCTATTTTTTTCTTGGAGAGAACCAGGGGCGGCGCTCGGGCAAATATGTTGTCAGCTTGAATTGAATAATGTTGTAATTAGGTCTTGAGCTTTGGCGTATTAGGAAGTAAATCTCATCCAGTCGTACTCGTAAGTTTTGAGCTGGCTGTGCATCACATTCTGCGAATGAAGGGGTATGTGGAGGTGTATAGGGGAAGGGGAAAACCACCAGAGGGAACTGGAAAATGGATAGTTCCCCGCAAATCCATATGCCAAGAAGGGTCTCTAGAGAAGGCCGTATTGGCAACTTCTTGCAATCAAGCTTACCTGCGCATATATGCAAAGCCTTGCCAGGGGTAAACGTCCAATTCGCACCAATAAAGGGTAAGAGTCTGAAACCTCAAACCTAGTTTCGTAAATTGTCTTAACGTCCATCGAACATGGCAACCCTGAAGAGGAAGCAGCAAAAATGCTTCATTTAAAGTTGGAATGCATCGCCTTTCGTGTTGACGCTTGCTGGTCAGACCAAGGTCGCCATTGGTTGATGGCTGGGATATCTCGACAGTCAGGACATTTGCGCGTGTGCTTAAATACACATACTTTTCTCTACTCTCGGCTGGTCGGCTTCATAGTGCTTTTGAATCCCAACACTCCTTCATCTCCTTTGTTTCATCACAATCGTTTTATCATTCGTTCGCTCATAACAACATGTCGCGGTCTTTTCGCCGCGGCCTCCTGGCGGCGGCAGCTGTCTGGGCGGCATCGGCGGCCGCTGGCAGCGAATGGAATCAGGAGCACGACAATGACAACCAGTGGCTCGCCTCGACCGTCGTTGTCACGAGCACCGTCATGGTTGACTTGAACGACATCAACGAGAAGTGCCTCCGAGGAGAATTTGTCTGCGGTCCCACCCCGCCACCTACTGCCGACCCGGAGCACCACTGTCCCGAGTGTGAGAAATGGCATGAGGATCCCAAGGATCCTAAGGCTGCTTGGGATTCTGTAGACATATACCACGGGCTGTGGGGAGGTTGCTCTGGTGATCATCACTGTCCAAATACGTGCAGCTGTAGCTCCAACGCCATCTGCGAACACTCCTCTGATGCTGAAGGGCCCGAGTGCAAGAGTAGCACGGAATGCTCGCCGGGTTACATGTGCAATTCTTACGGCTACTGTCAGCCTCAACCTGGCCCTCGATGTCACGAGAAGGCTTGTGTAGTCGATGATGGACCTGAGTGTACTACGAACAAGGACTGCTCCCACGGTGAGGTTTGCAATCATCACGGTTTCTGTCAAAAGGTTGTTTTCCCCGACTGTGAGAAGAACTGGGACTGCAAGCACGGCCAAATCTGCACCAACAGAGGCATTTGCAAGACAGTCGACGAACCACAGTGCACTTGCGATTCGGACTGCAAGGATGGACAAATCTGCAACTCACAGAGAGTCTGCCAAGACGTCGAGTGCCCCAAGTGCCAGTGGGAGAAGGAGTGCCACGAGGGCGAATCCTGCAACGACAGCTTCTGCAAGCCCAAGGAAAACAAGTGCAAGGACAAGGACGACTGCGAAGACGATGAAGTCTGTGACTGGGAAGGCAAGTGCCGCCGAGGCAAGCAATTCCGATGCAGAGTCGACTCGGAGTGCAAGTTTGGACATATTTGTGATATTCATGGTAGTTGCCAGAAGCGCCCGGTTGGTCACATTTGCAGTTCAGACCGCGACTGCAAGACAGACGATTTTTGCAATGCATTTGGATACTGCGAAAACAAACCCGAGGAAAGGTGCGAATCGGACAACACGTGTCTTCCTGGAGAGATTTGCTCAAGTGGCAGGTGTCTTCCCAAGATTGGCTGCTCGAGGGACAGAGACTGTCGTCACGGTGAAACCTGTGAGAACAGCTTTTGTGTTTTCAGGAGGTTCTGTGCCATCGATTCGGACTGCAATGGCCTCCTCAACGAAGTTTGCAGGGACCACCAGTGCGAGCAGGAGAGGGTTTGCACATTCAATGTCGATTGTGACCGAGGAGAAATTTGCGTGCCGAGGACTCAGCGCCTGACGGCCTTGGTCGCGAGAGCAAACGAGGTTCGACAGGTACAGGATGGTGTATGCGTCAGGCCCGAATGCAATGTCAACGGAGACTGCACAAGGCGTGGTGAATTCTGCAGGGACCACCAGTGTGTTGAGGAAGAATGCACAATCGACAGAGACTGTGACGATGGTACACAGACCTGCAGAGACGGCCAATGTTTGACAAGGTGTTTAAACCAAGCGGGCTGCAACAATAACGAAACTTGCGAACTTGGTGTATGTATCAGGAGGAGGTTTTGCCTCAACGCTGCAAGAGACTGCGAGCTAGGTCAAATTTGCCTAGACAACTATTGCGAGGACCCTCAGGAAGAATGCACAATCGACAGAGACTGTAACGATGCCACGTTGGCCTGCAGAGACGGCCAATGTTTGACAAGGTGTATAAACCAGCTGGGCTGCGACAATAACGAGACTTGTGAACTTGGGGTGTGCATCAGAAGGAGGTTTTGCGTTAACGCCGCAAGAGACTGCAACCTGGGCGAACTTTGCTTAGATGGCTACTGCCAGGAGGATGAATGCACAGTTGATGGAGACTGTAACGTTCTCACGCAGGCCTGCAGAGATCACCAATGTTTGACAAGGTGTATAAACGAGCTGGGCTGCAACAATAACGAGGATTGTGAACTTGGGGTGTGCATCAGGAGGAGGTTGTGCGTTAACGCCGCAAGAGACTGCAACCTGGGCGAACTTTGCTTAGATGGCTACTGCCAGGAGGATGAATGCACAGTTGATGGAGACTGTAACGTTCTCACGCAGGCCTGCAGAGATCACCAATGTCTGACCAGGTGTGACGACCAAACGGATTGTAACATCCTTACCGAAACTTGCGAACTTGGGTTGTGCCTTAGGAAAAGGTTTTGCGCCAACGCCGCAAGAGACTGCAACCTGGGCGAAATTTGCGAAGACGGCTACTGCCAGGACCCTCTTTCGAATCCAGAATGCACAGTTGATGCAGATTGCGGCGATGCCACGTTGGCCTGCGTAGACAGCCAATGTTTAACCAGGTGTGACGACCAAACGGATTGCAACAACAATGAAACTTGCAATGGTACGGTCTGCATCAGGAGGAGGTTTTGCGTCAACACCGCAACCGACTGCGGGCTAGGTGAAATTTGCTTAAACAACTTTTGTCAGGCACCTAACACCTGCGGCGCCACCACATGCGAGCCCGACGAGAGATGCATTAACGACAGGTGTGTGGGGAGGTGCGGCGGCGTTTTCTGCACAGGAGACGACATCTGCGTCAACGATACGTGCGTAAGGAACCGCACGTGTGGTTTGACGGCTTGCGATGCCGATGAGATATGTGTCAACAATAGGTGTCTGCAGACGTGCGGTGCTACTGTCTGTGACGATTCAGAGCTTTGCGTTGGTCTTGAATGCCAGCCAAGATGTGGCTTGACAGTTTGCCAGAACAATGAGGTCTGCGTGGGCAACACGTGCCAGGCAACGTGCGGCAATGACGTCTGTCTGCCCACCGAGACTTGTGTAGCCAACCAGTGTAACGAGAACTGCGGACTTGTTGTTTGCGGACCTGATGAGACATGCAACGACCTCCTCCAATGTGTTCTGAAGCCCCTGTGCGGTCTCGTTGTCTGCGAGAATGACGAACTTTGCGAGGACGGCACATGTCAGCCAAGGTGTGGCGATATCGTCTGCCAGGCCGATGAGGTTTGCAATAACACAAGATGTCTACAGAGATGCGGACTCATCACCTGTGGGGATAATGAGGTTTGCAACAACGACGACGTATGCGTCCAGACATGCGGATTAGGCACCTGCCAAGCTAACCAGATTTGCTTGAACGATGCTTGTGTCCAAAGGTGCGGCCTTGGCGTCTGCGACGACACAGAGACCTGTGTGCTTGGCCAGTGCCTCGAGACCTGTGGGTTGACAACTTGCAATGCT